ATGTGTTTGCACAGACATACTTGTTCTGCCATACACAAACATTAACCATGCACAATATCCATTAGTCTCTAGTGCATGGAAGGGCTGCTAGCATCCCAATTAAGCTAACTGTTTGAACTATGGTAGACTATGATCAACTATAGACATTAAAGAGAAACAAAAATGAAACATGAATTTAAGTGACATCCCAAACATTTTCTCCTTTTTACAGGGCTATTATAATGAGCCGTACTACCAAGATCCTAACCCTGGACTGGCAGAGGCTGAAGAGCCTGGACAGTCTGCCATGTTTGATGATGAAGCGGTGAGAAGAATATTGCTTCTTCTATCTGTATTGTTTTGCTGTATAACTCCGTACTGTAGAAGTATGAATATTTTTGCTTTTGTTTGACTGTTTGATTCCCCTGATTTAGGTTAAATAGTAGCTCCTAGTTCAAAAAGTATGACTGTTTGACCTTAAAGCCAGGTTGAAAATGTTGTTCAAATGAGCGTTTTCTTCCTGTACTTCAGTTCATGCGGCTGCAAGGGAAACGGAATAGGGGCAAAGAGGAGGTGAAGTTTCTGGAAATCAAAGGGGACGACCAGCTGAGTGGCAATCAGCAGTGGATGACCAAGAGCATGACAGAGGAGAAGCAGAACCGTCAGTCCTTCAGCAAGGTGACCAGTGACTACATGTCTATCAGTTTGTGATGGCCCAGAACTGACAGGGTTGGATGTGAGCTTGTGTTTAGGCTTATGTTCAGGATTTTGCTCAGCTTGTGGGAGCTGCAGAGATGTTTTCTGTTTTTTTTTTTTTTTCCTGTTCTATTGATTTACACTCAGTTGAGACTGAGAACAGCTGAAACCCTCAAGCTTCATGGTTGATTCAACAGACATGATTCTTATCTCTCTAACATGAACATTCACAAGGAAGGAAGTGGCTTTGGTCATTTGTCTCTTGATGAGCTTGATGTTTACAGCTGTTACAAAAATTATTTCATGCAAGTCAAAGTGCATAAAAAAATCCGAACATGTCCTGATTGCTTGCAAGAATGTTAGTTTTGCAAAGAAACAACACATTTAACTTTTTCCACACATTGGTTCTTTGATGTAACATCCACGTTTTCATTTCTGCAGAAAAAAGGAGAGCAACCTACAGGACAACAGCGACGCAAGCATCAGATAACATATCTCATTCACCAGGTGAGTGCCACTAAAGCAGAAATGATACTCATATGCTCATGTTTTGCGGTGGTCCGTCCTCTGTGGACGTATATCAGCACCTTTTGAAATGTTACATTCTAAGTTTTTGACACCAAAACAATGCAGATTTCAGTTCATTGCTGTAAATAAACACAAATAGCATATATTGTAGCTAGGGCAACAGCTTCTATTCTTATTTTTCAGTTGGTTTTTAAGGTGCTACAGAACAGGATGGGAGTCAGGGTTTCCGTTTCAAGAGTCTGCACTCCCAGTGTGACATGTCTGCACACATTCAGCTCCAGGTTGTTGGCCGCCATGCTTGTTTGTACAAAGCAGACTTCAAGCTTTGTGTTGACTGCTGTAGATTTAAGCAGTAAGCTGACACAAAACTTCATGACGAGCCTACACAAGCTAAAAAAAAGTAGCCAAATCATGTTGGGTATTGTTCTGTCACACAGCAGGTTTTCATTTCATGTCACCACAGACGGTATTCAAAGTGTGGATAAGCACAGGGTGGGGATTTATTTGCATTGTTAAGTAGGGTGTTATCCATATTTGTCTGTGCACTACATTCAAGCGTCTAGTTTCTCTGAACTTAGGTTCCCCCCCAATATCTCTGGTAGTGTGACCACCAAATTAGCCTTGTTTACACATCCCACACTGATCACACACATTTGAGAAACTGTAGCAAGTGGTTCAGAGTACCAAAAAATAACTTCAAATCAATATTTACTCAATTGAAACTCATTATTTGAATGACATTTAGTCTTACCAGGAATTTCACTTTACCTTCTTCCTCCACAGGCAAAGGAGCGGGAGTTGGAGCTGAAGAACAACTGGGCAGATAACAAGCTAACCCGCAGGCAAACCCAGGCCAAATATGGCTTCTAAATGTCATAACGTGGACTCTTGGAGGCATGTGGAAATCCTGCATCAGAAAGTAGAGTAGAGCTTTCCAGATTTTCCTACACAAAGGGAAAACCTGTGTTTGGGAAGAAACTATACACACCTTTTAATACAGATTTTTCCCCCCCCTCCAGCCATCCCTCCTCCTGTATTTGTGTTGAATTGTTAATACTAAGTAGTTCTTTTGGTCAACTGTTTTATAAGGTGTCACTCCTGTACCGAAGATCCAGTTACAGTAAATATAGGCGCTATACCTACATAACGATGTAACAGTGTTTTGTTCATACTGCGAACATTAATGTGTCACTCCTTTTTTTTTTTTGTGAAAGATGACTCTACAGAACGGGTTTGGTTCTCTGGCAATCGTACAAATGTTAGTAAAATGTTGCTGTTGATAATGAGAAATGAACTGGAGTCATTTGAAAAGCTGTGATACATGACATATTTATATATTGAATCAACAACTTTGTAATAATAAAGATGATGTTGGAATACATACGCTGCAGTTGCTCATAACAACTGATTAAATTAAGGGTCTAAAAAGTACCATGTCTATGTTGCTATTATTTTAACCCCTATTTTCCTCCTTTTTTTATGTTCTTGCTCTCTTAAATAATTTATTAAGTTGTGAAAAGGTCTGCTCTAAATGAATTGCCAGAGAACCAAACATTAGTTTTAGTTTCAGCTGGTTCTTGAGCTGCCATCAGGCCGGAGAACCTTGTGATTTGAACCTTAAACAGGAACTTTACCTCTGTTTTACTTGGCTGCATCCAGCATGCATCTTCACACATTTGGTTTTCTCTTAAATCCCAATGTGGGTCTTTTTACTATCTTGAATGAATGTGTTTGGCAGTAAGGCAACACATTTAGCGTCTTGAAGATGCTAAATGGTAAATTCATTCATGTCAAGTTTTATTTTAGTTGATTGAGAGGAGGTTGTAACTTATTCTGTCTGCTGCTCCAGTTTTAGGAAAATTCGGCCATTTAAAATGAATCAGAAAATATCTGTGTATGTGGCCAGTCAGTCAGCCAGAATGTTTAAAATATGGTGAAGACTTTTATTAAGGGAAACTGCTATGAACTGTTAGTCATAGAACAAAATACTGCCAATCTCTCCAGCTCTGGAGAATATTGCAGATTTATGCTTTCTTTTATATTTACTGTAAATATTGATCTTGCATCAGTCGTTCCCATCCTGCAAAGTAGCCTTTTGAATGGCTTTTCATTGAAGCACTGACATTTATTTATGCTGTAATGGGTTCCTCTTCCTGTAACACAGCAATGGGTAGTCCACCCCTTTCCGATATTCTTTTGTTTTCTAAGAAGGAAATGGAGCATAAATGTGAGCCAAGTTGCTTCCACAAGGACTTCATTACACATGGGATTTTGCAGAGAGCTTCATTTGTAAACGTTGGCTAGGTGTGGCGGCGGCGGCTCTTCAGTCGTCCACCATTACTGTACCAAAACATGCACAACCTGATCTGCCTCAAAATCTGTTTGGCAGAAAGACACCAGCAGTCCAGGGATATCTATTGCTTCCATATTTCATAGTTTCATCTGGTACAATACCGCCTGCAGAGCCTGTGTCACAGCACATTTACACACCCAGCAGTGGACATACAGCCCAAAGCAAGTAGCTGACTGTCTGAATACATGTCCTCACACTTATAGACAAAGGAATATAAATTATTCAGCTTAAACTCTACACTGTTTCACCTGAATCTGTCTCCTGGGGCACTAACAAGCAGGTTTCATTTTAAGACAAAGCTTACCAAACTTAGCATTGACATTCCAGATTCAGTCACAATGTTTGATAGCATTGCTGGGAAAAACTTTGTTAACCCCAATTTTTTTTGTTATGCAGTTTAAGATTAATGAATAAATATTTTCCTTTCTTGGCTCCATAACTTTGAATGCAACTGGGTAGTTTTTGGTCACGTCTCGTATCAGGATGAAGCAGCAATTACATACGGTAAGATTACAAAAGGTCATATTATCCAACTATAATTTGGAGTTCATGTGGAATATTTCCCAACATAACACTGCCTTTTCCTTTTATTTAAAACTGTTTAAAGTTCCTTTGAAGCCTCGCTTTTCCTTATAACTTTTACATTGTGGGAGGACTATCAACTGAAGCAACATTGGTTCCCATAATACTTCACTCAGCAACTGTTTAGTGGTCCAAAGTTGGATTGAACATTAAGCTGTAATATTCACACACATTACTAGGTTATCCTTTTTTAAAACCATATGTAATACTTCTGCATTAAATTCTCTATAAAAACTAGACCTGTTATATATTTTGTTGTACTTATGTTATCCCAAATGTTTCCAACAATGTTCAAACACAGAAAATATAATTTTATTTAGCTAACGGTGGATTTTACCCGTCACCTGTCAATGGCTTCATATCACCTTTTATACACGCGTCAGTGTTGCGGTAGTCTGCCAGAAGATGTCAACTTTTAACCCAGTTTTAAGTAACATTTTTAAGATACACTTTTTAGATGTCAACTTATCAGAAAAACAAGCTGAGCTCGGCTGGCAGGCCGTCCGGGACGTCCTTTACCCACCAAACAGTGTCTGAGAATCACAGATTGAAGTGAAATTGCTTTATATCATTTATTTATTACTTTATTTCACCAGTGTTACTGGGTCTGTTTGTTTTGGAGAGGAGGAGACCTCTGTGGATAATTTGGCTCCTGCTGGAAACCTCCTGAACAATGAACACAGAAGGAATCTTACTATAGAGAAGCGGATGGTAATGACGGCAATGGTGGTGAAGGCAATAACTCCCATGATCCCACACTATTTCAAGATGTCACTAAACTTCATCTTGTTATTGTTTTGATGTGGGAGACCCCCTGATGAATTTGTATATCGTACGTTTAATGACACGTGCACCCTCTAACTGAATGAAAATGAAAATTTTAATAATCAAGCAGAACATTTTTGTATGCATGTATAATGTGTATTATCCATTTCAGTTCTATAGTCCATTTGGAGTCCTTTAATCTTTCTTGGGGCTGTCACTGGGGGGTGCTGTTGTGTCTTGAATAGTCTGTGCACTGGCCGATGTTTCTTCAGCAGCTCCTGTTGAGGTTGAAGCTTCACTACTATAAGTCTTCACCAGCTGCAGAAGGTTCTGAAAAATGTACGCCCGCCTACTGTAGCTTTTGTGCTTTCAACTGTTTCTGATACTTTGTGGACGGGTCTTCGAATGGCACCAGTGACACAGGGACGCGAACTGTCTCTATTCCGTTAACCTGGGAGATAAAAGTATGAAGAATAAGCAGTGTGGTCTTTGGTAGAATAACAGCCTTAACTTGCTTCTGTTTAGAGAGATTTTTAATTGTTTTCATGTGTGGGAGACTGATATAAAATATAAACAAAAGGTTCAAGGTAATCCTCCACAGAGAGAGTTAGCTCTTATGTGTTGCTACTGTATTTTGCAATAATTAAAAATGTGTTTATTTTTCTTGCAACATGCAGTACCTATATGTGAAAAAAACATTTCAAACACTTGGCTAGTTGTATGGAATCAATTTCTACTATTAAAAAAACATTGAAAGTGTGGAGCCACACTTGATGCAAATGTTTGATAATAGAATTAAAAGAAAAACAACACTTCTTACCGTAACTTCACACCAGTAGTCACCCACGTCCTTGACAGACTCAACTGGAAAACTCAATGCGTGAGGAGCCACAACAACTCCCAGCTGAGGAAAAAAATTTATTTAAGTCAATAAAACAATGTTATTTATGTTCATCAAAAGCTTAACATAAAGGGGACCTATTATGCTCATTACCAGCTCTATAATAGTACAGAAGCTTTGCATGATTAACTTATCAAAAACATCCGTATCCTTATACTGGCCCTTCATGTAGCAACTCAGTTTATCCTCCGTCTGAAACAAGCCGTCTCGTCAGCTCGTCATGTGAAGTACAAAAACGTTGTAAACACATTTAAAGCGCTCTAAATTCTAAACATTTAGCTCACAATGATTATTTTTACATAATTATTTGACACTTTGGCCTCATTTAATATCCGACGGAAACTAAGGAAAAGCATAAGAGGTCTCCTTTAATATCAAAGGGGACATTTCTCAGTGTTTTGAGCAGATATGTGAGGGAAATGTAAAAGACAAAGACAGTCGTACCTTCTTGACAAACTGTCTGCGGAGGACCTCTTTAGTGACCTGGAATTCATCCGAAGGCATTTGGTTTATTTTCAACGTGGCTTGTTTAAGAAAGTCCACTGTCTGTAAAAAAAAAAAAAAAAAAAAAAAAAGGAAATAAAAGAGGAAACTTTGTTAAAACACTGACAGCTGTTGATCTCTTAATAGCTGAGACTCAAGCACAGGACCTACAGTAGGTAGTGAAGAAAGATAAAATGCTTTTAAACATCTTCAATAGATGCAAACTTACAAGCTGTCCAGTGCGGGTTTGGGTTCTTTCCTCTGGCTTCCCCTCACGCAAAAGCTGTTGGTAAACAAGGTGACAACAATCAACAGCTGTATATTGCTATCTGATATGTTGGGGTTGGGAGATAAATGGTATTAAAATGCAATACGCACTCTTAACTCCTCGGCAAAAATCTGTTTGTTCTCCGGTGATGGATACACTGCGAGGCCTTGGGGCAGCAGCTTATTCCTGCCAACAGACTTTTTCACTAACACAGTGTCTCCTCGCCCGCCGACCTCTGTCGGAGCAAACAAAGTTATTATTATTAAACAAAACGTCATAGTTTCAAAAAGGTTTATGGGACCTGTTGAGAGTACTGTAGATACTCACTGGGCACTGTCTGTGTCAGGATGAGCTCCATCTTCCCTGCGGGATTGCGTTTGGTGTCTTCAACCAACTTGTAGATTTTGTGCCTTCGAGGGTGAAGCCTCGGCGGGCTGCCCACTTTAGATAAAGGCACCTGCCACCAGCGCTCCACCACAACCGTGTTCTGTGGAAACATCAAGCTCAAGCTTTCTGTCTGCTGTCATGTCAAATGTTGTTACAAGTGTGAACTGCAGACTTCACAAAGCTTCAGTTTGTGTTAACTGTGTGGGTTTGTTATCTTTGTTGTTATGGCTCTGAAGTTAAACACTGTTAGTGGCTAGAGAGGATGTTATTAAGGGTGGAGCTTAATGGCTGTGTTAAGTGAAATACAATAAGAGGGGGAAATTAATTAAATGAACAATTATCAACAATTCTTTAAAGTATTGGATGAAGCTGATAAGTTATATTGGTGTAAGTGAAAAAAAGAAAAAGAATGAAACAAAAAGGAGAAATATTTCTATCAACAAAGTTTGACAATTGGTTAAAGGGACCAGTGTGCAGGATTTAGTGGCGTCTGCAGCTCGCAACTAACTGAACACTGCTCGTGTCTTTATTCAGGTGGTTACAAACTAATGTGAACATACCTGTGAATATTATATAATATATTATATACAGATCCTCCTAAATGTCACACACTGGACCTTTGATCCATATCACATTCATTCAAGGACACAATTACAAATATTCTCTGGTGACAGGCTCTGATATTTCAGAATTAGCTTTTAATTGGAAGTAACTCAAAGACTAATCTTACACTCTGGGACAAATATTATGCACCCTTTTTCACTATTTTATGACATTTCACGACTAAACAATGGAAATAATCATAACAAGTTTCAAACCTAATAACAATAAGGACTCATTTGCCCATGCAGGGGGTCTAACTGTGTGGAAAAGTATCAAACGTTAAACCCACTGACAGTACAAACAGGTTACAGGGTTGTGTTTCTGAGAGTCAGCTGTAGTGTGAGCTGCAGCAGATACTTTTTGGTCCACTGACCTGAGCAGCAGTCACAGAGAAGCTCCTGACAGCAGGCTGGACGAGCAGCTCCTGAAGGACACGGCGGCCGGAGCTCCACATGTTCATTGAACGCAACAATTCACCAACTTCAGTGTTATTACTCAGACTAATGCGTCTTAAAAAACACTTCACTGCAGCCTCTGCTTCAAACCACGGGCTTTAATTTGTCCCTGCACCGCCGATCACACGACTGTAGCATGGGTGTTTTAGCTAAGAGCTAACTGGCGTTGGTAGGGACGTAAAAAGGACCCCCAGGAGCGAGAAATAGTAGTCCCGAGAAATGCCTGAATTAAAAGATTAACGCCTTTGGAAAATCGCAAAATGTATTTATTTATCACATTTCACCATATTCGGGTTTAAAGTGACTAAGTCTGAATTTTAATTTTTTCTTTATTTGTTGTTTTCTTTTTCATTTGCACTGAATATGTTTAAGCTGTAAGGTAATTTACACAATAATACAGATTATCAAGAAAATGGCATCATTCAAATTTCATTTAATTTATATTTTATTATATACATGTATTGTTTATTTTTAAAAAATCCCCATTCGCTAATTTTAAGGCAAGTATCTAGTCTATCAGTAAAGTTCACAAAAAATATTAAAGACGCATCGCAGCATACAGTAGCCTATATATACACCATAGGATGTACATCAGTATATCATTAATCATAGTTAAATAAAATGCTATATTTAATACCTTAGGATGCACACGATGAGATTTATTATAGGGCATCCTAACACCAGCCTGAAAACATTGTCTTTGCTGGCCTCCAGTGCTTCAACCTCTCAGCTCACTGCAGCGATGTAGAAGTGCACTCAGCACACAGTGACATCACTTTTGGGATGTGGTTCCTTTTTTGGGTTTTTCTAACGGTTTCTATGGCAAAACATAGCCACGTATGAGCCTCATTTTGTAGGTGATCACTGTCAAAGCACAGACTAGAGAGAAGAGTTAAAGCCAGCACATCTTTATTCAAGACCATCATCATCTTCATCTCGTACCATATAACTACTGGTGGTAGTGACAAGCCAACCAGACAATCCTTTGGTTCTTAATAGTACCCAGGACACACACACACACACACACACACACACACACACACACACACACACACACACACACACACACAGCAGAGTAGAATATTAAAAATTAAGAAATTATTTTCCATTTCAATACTGAATCAACATTAACGTCCACCAAATTATCTAACAACTTATCTTCTGTTGGCACAAATGTTATCTGTTTGTTTTTGGGTGTCAACAGGAAGCATGTGATGTGACAGTGCAGTTATGTGAAAGTGATGTGGTGTTTTTTTTTTTTTTAGCAGGTCTTATAGATTTTGACAACGGTGGCCCGCCAAGTAATATTGAATTAAACTGGACAGAAAACTTCATCAAAATGTTGCAAAAAGTTTACTTATGTCTCAAGTGACGTAAGGCACATTTGTTCAAGCGTTTACAGGAAGATTGCAGGAAGAAAAATCAGTTTTAAGAGCTGCTGTTTCAGTACTTTTACTTGTAGCTGCCAACCCCATTTATACATACTGTATAAAAACTAGCACATATAATAAAAATAACCCTCAGCAGCAGGATCAGTCAAAACTTTTGGTCCTAAAACCAACGTCAAGGTCTGGAGACATTTGGAGACAGGAACAAAGGTGGAAGCGAAGAATGAGACTAGTTATAAGGTAAAATGTGCATATTCTCTGATTTGTAGCTTGTGTGTGTTATTTAAAAGACCAGTGTGTAGGATTTAGTGGGAGTTTAGTTAGTTCACAGGCTGTGAACACGAGGCCCTTTCTAGAGTCAGTGTTTGGTTTGTCTGTTCTGAGCTACTGTAGAAACATGGCGGTTCAACATGGCTGCATCCACGGAAAGCGACCCGTGGTGTAGATAAAAACAATTCATTCTAAGGTAACATTCAGGTGATTATACACTAATGAAAACATATCTATGAATATATTATATTATATTCCATTCCTGCCAATAGATCCTCCTAAATGTTACACACTGGACCTTTAAATCACACATCACCGGCAGTGGGTTCGTCACTCACCGCACCATAGAAACTACTGCGGCTCGGTATCAGTCTGTGTCTCGCAGTTACAGTCGTACAGCAGGTCACAAAACTGAAGCAAAAACCGCAGACAAACATGAGAGCCATAGTGGCCCACACAAGGGTGGTGACAACGAAGGCGAACAGGTAGGTTGTCTTCTGGCAGTACGGGGCGAATCCAGATTTGTAGTTGGGAGGATATATAGTATAAACCCAGACGGTACCTACAGGGGAACATTTCAGAACATTTCACACTAAAACTGAAAACAATATTTTCTCAGTCTACTTTAGGTGGTCCAACATGAACACATAGTAACATACAGTTGTAGTTATTTTCACATGAGATATTTCTGCCTGTGCTGCTGGAGCATATACTTCCGTGCACCAATCAGGTTTCAGCAACATATCAATCAGAATCTGATGACAGTCGGTGGTTTATTCGGTCACCGTCAACCAAATCTGATCAAACTACACACTCAAGTGTTTGAGCGTTAAATGTTAAGGAGTGTTTTTTGTTTTATTTTTTAACTTGAAAGACCCTGAAAACTCACCTTCAAATCCAAATGATACAGAGAAATACTTAAAAATTCAAACCCAAGTTTTCTGTCACTTCAAACGAAGCATTGTACGTGTTTTTGAATTGTAGTATATAGTTTGAAATGGAAATACCTCAAAGTTGTAATAAGGTACAGCACTTGGGTAAAAGTACAGCCTGAATCCTTACAAGAATGTAGAGTCTACATTTATCTTGGTATAAACACAACATCTCTCAGACATTTTCTCCCACCTGCGATGAACCAGCAGAAACTGAGGAGGTGCAGGAGGGCTGTGCAGACCGAGGTCAAGATGTAGATACATCCTTCCTTCCTTATGCTCCTGGTGTAGGTCATACACAGAGAGACGATGCTGCCTGCTCCCAGCACTATCAGGTAGATGGGGATGTTGGGCTGTAGTGGACAATGGCCCAGATGTGTAGCCCCTATGATGGAGGTGTCCAGAATAAAAAGAAAAAATATTAACATGGGGGTTATAAAAAAGACTTAACTTGGTGCTTGTAGTCAAATATTTAGTGATCAAACTGAAGTAAACCCACCCAGATAAATGGCTGCAATCATAACCATCCACCAAATAATATTCACCACAACTACAAGAGAGGAAGAGAGAGAGGGTCAAGGATCAGTATAACAGGAAAACATAAAATAAGGCAGACAGACATTATGGAGGAAAGACTTCTAACTTGTTGTTGAAATCAGCACGGCGCTTTGAGGCCTGAATTGCACCTCTTCATCCATATCTGCAGAGAACAAAGTAAGAGTGTTGTCACAATTATACAGAGAAATAAACAGGAAGAGGGGCTGAAGGAGCAGCAATGTTAAATACTGTACCTGTCCAGCTCTGAACGGAGACACTTTAAAGCCTTTTTTTTCTTCTTCCAGTACTCACTATGCACTAATCCCTTCTTAACAGTCTCAGCTTTGTTAATATCCTTTGGTGTTTTGTCAGGATGTTAAGACATGTTGTTCGAGGCCAAAGCATTTCAACAACTGTTTCGCAATCCTCTCTGTGTTCAGCTTGGAGGAAATAATGATACAATCTATTTCCCTTATCCGAATCCGCGTGCAAAGTGTTTTCTAAACCACGAACCAGTCACATGGTGTCCCTCTATTTCTCTTGCAAACCACACTTTTATGATTTTTTTACGTTTTGCAAATCATTGGACATAATCAATAGATCTTAATGTGATTGGATGGTGCTGCACAAAGGCTCGATGGATGTACTCCAGCAGACAAAAGACCATGTGGTACACTTGGAGTTACACAGACAGGAAACATCGTTTTATCAGCTCTCATCAGCGCAGCGTTCGCAGGGTGCAAAGTCATCACACACTGTGTCATCTAATTTTTTCCGTAGAGCAGTTTGACAGTTGACTGCAGTTTCTCTCTTTTTCTTTTTATTTAATTTCAGCACCGGGACTAAAAAAAGCTACCATGAGTTAAAATATTACATGTTTGCCTGAATAAAAACAAAACACATTTTAGTCTTATATTCAATATTCAAATGGGTTCTAGGAAGTGTCTTTTACTGAGATACGACACAGTGCTGCCGTTCTACCATGGTAACATCATTGACCAGTCTTTAGCTATATTAATATCCTAAATCTAAAAAAGTGAAATAAATATAGTGCAAAGCCGACCAGAGATGAAGAATTATTGATCAAGTTTTCAGAAACTGGTAGGCCCAAATTGCTCATTTTCAGCAGCATTTAAGAAAACAATTTGAGGGGCATTGGATGGGGAACCCAGCTGTAATCTGATTTCAACCCCACCTTAAAGGGGGACTTCAGTATTGCACTTCTGTAAAGTTGTGGGACTTGCAAAAGAACAAAAAGTTGGCTCCTCAACCGTTTCAGCACTGTTACATTGTTGGACTCATGAGGGACAGTTTTAGTATCAAACCAGGAGGAGAACCAGAGATATTGTTTGTTTAATTCCAGGCTTTCTTCTTCATTGTTAAAACTGCTTACATTTATCACAATGCAACTTGTCCACTGATGGTTCAGTTGGAGATTCAGCTGTTGTGCTAGTAGCAGCTAATGTAGTCTCGAGCAGATATGAGGAGCGGGCTACAGAGGTTTTTGTTCTTTGTTCTTCTTAACATTTGTTTCATTTTCAAACTGACTCAAATGACATCACTGCAGTCATACTCCCCAAGTAAACCACCACGTAAACGTGACTCAAGTTCTGCGAGTCTTGAAACAGCAGTGTGACAGTTGAAGTAGGTTTGTGTTGCAAAGGCTGACACACTTGACACCCTACAGGGAGTTGGCCACCACCTCACACACCAACGAGCCAGAACAGGATGTCAGTGCCAACACAACTTGATGCCAAGTGCCTCTGCAGTACCACTGCCACCCGGTGACAATCCCTGTGACAATTATACATGACTGTTTACATCCGTCAACCTGGCAATTTTTGCTTTATTATAGTTTCCAAAATGATGATGTATATTCACAAAATGTATCAAAACAGCAATTAAAACACACTTCAGTAGTTTCCATGTCAGTTTATTTTCACATGTTGCCATCAGATTTTATTTTTATGTGACATTTTATTTTGTTCCCAGTATTTTTCGTGATTGACACAATGAGAAGTTTCATCCAATGTATAATTTAAATCATGTTCAATCATTACTATTGATTAGTAAAGTGGTAAGGTTAACCTTCACTACTAAATTTGACGACAAGTGCTCTATATCTTATTGATTGTACTGTCACTGACCAGTCTACTGTTCTCTCCCTATTGTGTGATCATCTTCTTTCTCAGTGAAGAAATTGCATTTTTCAAACTTGCCCTAGTAGGCACCGGGTTAAAGGACTGACTCTTGATGACCTTTTTTAGCTGGAAGTCAATGATCATTTGAATAATAGGAGCAGCTGGGAAGTCCATGCAAACAATTCCAAGGCGCTGGTTCAGGTCCGTCTTGGACCTCAGGTAGTTGTACAGCTGTGCATTGACACGCTGAGCAACTGCTCTGGGGTACGCGAACAAACCAGCTCCACTGCTGTAGGTGAGGAAAATCTGGGCCATGTTTCCTGTAGGTGCGGCTTCCAGGTGCTCGTAGACGCTCTGCCATTTCTCATCCACGTGCAGAAGTGTGGGTACCTACAGGGATACATTTTTACATAAACATATGGCACCAACAGCTATGTGTTTTGGTCCTGTTCACCAGGGATTAATTAATACCATTTTAAGTGTACGTGTATGATTCTAACCCTTTGACGGACATATTCACTAACCAAGCTTTAACTTGTGGCCTTTTAAACACTGCTTGTTTATATGTGCTGGGTGGAGGATGTAATGAACACATCAAGCTCAAAGAGACATACTACTCTACTCAGCTGGAACATTTTATAACATCTACCAACCTGTGAGCTGGAGTTGGTTTTGATGCGTGTGTTCAATAAGTGGCACTTTCATACCTTCCAGTGATCGGCTATGTCCAGTGAACCATAGCGCATCCCCAGGTCTGGCCCAGAAAACTCCTGCAGGATGATGAGTTTCCCTCTGGCCTCTGCCATGGTTGGCACGAGCCGGCTGTGCCACAGCATGTCCCAGTGAGCGTAGCGATGGATAAAGTCTACCACAGACCCGTAGATGTCATACGTCTCGCTGAACTCCTCCCTTAAACGCATAAGCACTGTCTCATTGGGGTATTCTTGAAGGAAGTCAACCACACCCTCCAGCACGTGGCCAAAGTGCGCCCGCTGATAAGACACCCCGTGATGGATGGTGAGGTTCCCTTTGACGTGTCGGACACGGATGTCCAGGAAGCGGATGCCGGCTCGGAGCTGGGAGGCCAGGCTCCAGGTCTGGCACTCGGCATACACACCGCCGTACAGGGCCATGGTGTTGTGGGTCCCAGGCATGGTGACCTCAGACAGCAGCTGATCATCAGGGATGCTGGTCATCCAGGACGGGTTGAGGAACTCCGGGTTGGGTGTGTCATCATAGTCAGGTCTCTGAATGGCACCGTGACTCAAACCAATGAGTCTGAAACATAAAGCACATTTGTCAGAGGTCTTTGTAGTGAATGCATCAGGTTTTCTTGATGCTCTTATTGTTCATGATGTAATAAAATAGGATGGAAATACATTTTTTATGTCTAAATGTCTAAATTTAAGCCGTCATACGGTTTGTTTTAACTGTTGGATTTCTTCATCATCACTTAAGTAAAAAATTTAATAATAATGTGATATAAAACCTAAAATGGGAATGCAAATAAATACATTTGTGCTCTGTTATGATCGTGCATTATTAATCTGAATGTTGCTTTACTTTTCCTACCAGTAAAAGTTGATTTTATTAAGTTAATTATTAATTTAAGTCTTGTATTCCCCTTTCTATCCATCCTCTTAATTATTCTTATTGTTAGTTTTTTTTATGCTTATAGTATAGTTAAGTTCTTATTTAGATATTCATATTTCTCATATAGTTTTTTAAGCTTATAGCCTTTGACTGCTTTAGCTTTGTTACAGCAGTGTTTTTTGTCATTGTGTGTATTTGGTAACATCAGTGACAAGCTGCTGCTTAAAACTGCCTTTAGTATAAATAAAGTTGTATTCAATTGAATTAAAATCCCAAAATGGGAAATTAGGAAAAGAAATACGATGTTATTTAGTCTGTTAAAATAATGTGTTACTCACCCCACCAGCACCATCAGCTCCATTAACATCTTCATCATGTCTGATCAGTTCTGATGACGAGAAATACAACTGAGGACCGAATTCAGTTAAATGTAACCTGAATAACAAACAATAAGATGATCACATAATTAGCAAGTGGACGGACAATAGATCTATGAATTAACTATCAATAAACAGAACAATGACAGCAATAATCAAAACATACTGTACATCCATACTTTATCCGCTATTATTTTTAAATATTCTGATAATATTTGACTAAGATGTTGATGATGACCTGACAAATTATTGTAATAAAAGGATGTTGTATCCTTTCCTCCATTGATACATAAATATTACCCAGTCTATGGTGCTCCTGTCATGGCTTTGACCCGTGCACTCCTGATTATTTGATACTTAATTCAAGAAAAATGCCTGAAATGTACATTTATCACAACATGGCTAGAACTCAATATCTGTTAAGAATAAAACAAACTTAATTTCCCCTCAACCAGGCTAGCATGTACCTGCACATTACCAAAAAAAATTAAAACACGTTCCCTTTTGTGAAAGTATGTCAGCAAATATAGAAACTAAACACTCAGTGGAAACAATTCAATCCTGGTCTGAGCTGAAGTTGACCTCAGCTCACCCCAGCAGGCCAATTCAATGGCAGGCTTAAACCTTTCTAATCCCACAACTGAACCAAAACCATCCACTGCTGCTGTGTCAAAACTGTTGATGTGTTGATGTGCTGCTCTCGTCCGCTGTGGTTCATACCTGAAACCAGAAGGTGTTCGTCCTCAGGGTCCGGGTGACTGGGGGCAGAAAGAGGGAGAAAGAGAGAGAGAGAGAGAAAGAGAGAGAGAGAGAGAGAGGAGTGGAGAGGTCAGAGACAAAATGACAGAGTCAGTGTGTCAACCTGGGATGTTATTGTGGGAAATACCATAGAGGAGCAGCTGAGCGATACGTTACAGAGCAGGGGTGGGAACAGAGGGCTGTGTTTGTGTGTGAGGGGTATTCATCTCATCACGTCCCTCGTTACATAAAAGAGTATCCAAAAACGAAGCCAAAGGGGCGTGGATTAAAACATCCTATGAGTTTGTGAATTTAGTGTTGGGCTTCTGGACAAACTGGTGTTAAAGGTTTCTTTGAGTCCACGTTGGTGTTTACCTTTAAAATACAAAATATGGTCAGCAACAATCACTCAGGAATGATTTGTTTTAGTCACAACGGTATTAAGGGTCTATGTGTATCAGCAACAGGTGAATGTTTTCCCACAGGGTTTCTTATCAGTTAGTGAAAGCCTAAACATAGGCCCAATACTGATAATACAAAAGTAGGAATTTCAATAGAATTTCAATAAAAATAAACCTGTAGTTAAGATATAGAAAATAAATATAGGTAAGAAATACAACACAAATATTTTTCTATGTTGAAGAATTTTTGTTTGGCTCTCTAAAATTTAGTTTTAATTCAATTATATGAGGTGGACAAAATAATAGAAACACAGAAACAAGGAGGATGGATATATTATATGTTGTCATCAGAAAAGCTCTTGTGATGACAATGATGATGTCCTCTATGTGATGCTCTTATATTAGGGCATCCTGGGTCTGTTGCCTTTTCAGACAAAGGACAATAAACTGGGAAAGGTGTGAAACTAGATCGCAGTGATCCACTTGCACTTCGGTTGGACTCTGAAGAAGACCCAGCTGTTGTTCAGACATGTGTTTTCTTGCGAACTGTACACATTTAAAACAATCTAAAACTATTGCTAGACCAGGAAACAGTAGCACCGTATCTCAGAGCTTCTGTGAGTGACATTATTATGACAAATATGCTTGAAAATCATATTTTTGGACGAGCATCCCACATAGTTAGAGTCCCGTCAGAGGACTGAAGGGGAGTGAGGATCTGAGCTCCTAGGGATCAAGGAGAGTGCATCTGGGCTATTTCTTTATGTGTGTGTGTGTGTGTGTGTGTGTGTGTGTGTGTGTGTGTGTGTGTGTGTGTGTGTGTGTGTGTGTGTGTGTGTGTGTGTGTTTGTATGGTCCATGGAAAAGTCAGCAGATGTTTTCCAGATTTGTCTCCTATCTGCACTATGTGGGAAGTCAAATATTACATAACAGACTTGTCCTTGTCCTGCTGAATAATATTTGGTTAGCTGTTAATTATACACCCAGAGTGAAAAGAAATTATGGCTGTTTTATCAAATAATCCGGCTCATTGAATAAAGGTGAAACCAATAGCAGTTTCCATCACTTTTACCAGAACAATGAAAACATTCAACATTTCTAATAAAATATAAAATATACATAATTGTATTAACAATACTACTAATTCATTTTGATTGTTTGTTCTTAAAGCCTCTTGTGAAGCTGACATAATATAATATAGTTCATGTGAGTGGCCATGTGTGCAGGAGTGTGGACTGTGATGCGTGACAGTGCAATTCTTTATACTTCCACCAAATGGCGCCAAAGTGATACATTTTAAAATCCTGGCTTTAAGTGTGAGTACTCCTTCAGGTACAAAACATCAAGTAAAACACTTTGTGTATGAATTGCACAGTATAAATTAACTTACCTTATATTGCCACAGTCATAGCCAACAGAGCTGATAATGACGATGATGATGATGATGATGGACAAAGTGGACCTAGAGTGTGGAGGACATCCAGGAGAAGTCGCAGGAGATTGTGGACAAACAGAGTAAATGAGTAAATAAAATAGATATCCATATTCACAAATACATCAATCAATCAGCAAACCATGGTATATACAGTGGCACTAGAAAGTTTGTGAACCCGGGACTCTGCGGTAAGGACGCTCAACTAGGTCAGCTACCGATGCGCCTCGCAAAACTATTTCTACAGAGGTTGGCCTTCATCAATCCACTGTCAGGCAGATAGAGTACAAATGGAGGAAATTCAGCACCATTGTTACTCTTCCCACGAGCGGTCGTCACTCCAAGAGCAAGACATTTAATACTCCAGGAGGTCACACAGAATCTCAGGGTAACGTCTGAGGATCTACAGGATCTACTCTGTCAATGTTCCACCATCAGACAAACATTGAAGATGAACTGTGTTCAGTAGGTGGGTCACTGAATAAAACAACGAATGAGATGAGAGAAAGCAATCACAGCAGGAAGAGCAGCAAAGAGAGCGTCACTACTGTCTGAGAAGAACATTGCTGCCTGTCTGAAGTTTGCTGAAGGCCACATCAGGAGGTTATTGGATGCTGTGGACAGAATTCAACTTTTTAGTGTTAAACATTTATATTATAAAGTCTCTGGTGAATGTAAACTCTGCAATCCATTATAAGACCCTCATCCGGTGGCGGCAGTATCGTGGTTTGGGATTGCTTTGCTGCCTTGGGACGAGGGCGGCTTGCAATCATTGACGAACAATGAATCGTACCAGCAAATTGTACACAAGAGGTCACATTTATGCAGAAACACAGGAAACAGGAATGGTTCACAATATTTCTCGCAGCACTGTACAATGCAGTGTATCACAAAGGCCATGCTTACACCTATAACTACTTATTTTACTGCATAATTCTGACTACTGCAGCAGATGTAGATTGACTTTGATGTAAAATATACATTAAGAGCTGATTGTTATTATTATTGTCTAGATACGAAGACACAGACCTTTTAATGATCTGTGGGGGAGCACATACATTGCACTATAATACTTTATAATATACATATACATAATATATAATAGTACATAATGTATATAATATTTCTCCACCAGAATTATTTCTTTTGGGGATGTGTGATTGTGGAATTTGAACTCTTGATCTCAATACTTCTGTAATCATTTTTTACTTATTGTGAACTTGAGTTGTAACTCCTTGCTGCATCATTTCAGTCGTTGTAAGTGTTGATATTTTACTTTTAAAGTATGTGAATGAGAGTCAAATTGTATACGATTGTAAGTGCACTCTTCTCCATTTACAGTTTCTCTGATTTATATGTTTAGGTAACTGCTGATACATTTTTATTTAATCACTATGAAAACTTTAACAGTTTAACAATTAATTTGTATTTATATGGCACCAAATCGTAAAAGGAATTATCTCAGGACACTTTTCCTATAGAGCAGGTCTAGTCTCTCTTGTTTTACAAAACTACTCTAGCAAATAAAACCAAATTTACCTGCTTGTTTTGATAGCAGCTGACATAAGTGAGAAAAAATATATTTTGTAATTTGGGTAAACTGATCCTTTGCATCCCATGTAAAAGAAAAGTGTATCTGACTGGACACAAAATGATGGAATATTGTCAACTTTGCACGGTTCATAAGTTGTTTGAAATGTAATTTTCATATAGTCAGTATCAGTGGTACTGAAAGTTATCCTGTTTCTTGGTTATAAGGAAATATACTAATAACTACTGTGGTATCTGGTCCGGTTTGGTTGGTATGTGAACCTACAACTGAACCAACACAATGAAAAGGCCTGTGGGTCAGCCTGTGTGTGGAGCTTGCAGCCGCAGTGCATCTGGAAGAACTCCCCTCATCCAATCAGCACAGGGCCTGCATGAGTCACTTCCTCATGTTTCCTCCCTTATTTGGAAGGAAGGGGCTGTCCTTATTTGACTAGGGAGGAAAATGGTGGAAAGGAGAGTCAGACGGCTCGAGTAAACAGAGGGATACCAACAGTTTTATCTCTGGTGAGTAAACATCTGTCATCTCAGGGCTTTGTAATCTTTGATCTGAAGGATGTTTAAATCCTGCGTGATAGCCAGAGTCAGCTGGGACTGATGAAATGTAACGTAAAATATGGTTGATTCATATGTGTGTGTGTGGCTGGGAATCAGGAAATAAGAGAAACAGGCTTTAAAACAAACAAAGTAACACATCCTGAGTTAAAGTTAAAGATGCCAAATAGCCACTAGAAGCTATCGAAACTATTAAAGATGACTTATGAAAGGTCACGACCTGTAACCATTTGTTTATTTCCAGTCTTTCTTGTGTTACTACAAAGACACACCCACTGTTGTCCCTGAGTTATTTTTCCAGCAGGACAACATTGGCAAGGATGATTAATGCCCAAACTATGAGAAAGATGCTTTACAATTAAATTTTAGGGCTGTGGTCACTGAAACTAGATGTAGGTTTCTAATAATTCATCTGTGTTACTGCACTTAAATGCTTCATAAAATGATTTCCTTAAACACAATGCTTCATTTTTAACTGTAGGCTTTATTCATAAAACACTGTGGAACAAGTTTCCTCTTTAGCTAATTCCATTAGTTGATTCATCTATGAGATGATTGATATAAAATACCTGAATGATCAATTAATCATTTGACTCATTTTGTAAAATTCCCCAAATTAACTGATTCCATGACGTCGGTGTGAATACTTACTGGTCTTTTCTTATATTAAACTTATTTATTTGTTTTTGATTTTAGAATTTTCTGATTAATAGTAAGATTAATATATCGTGAAAGTATTAATTACTTCCAGCTCTAGCTTCCTCCTCTGTTCACATGTCAAAGCTCTTTGTGTGACTGTAGACAACACAAGCCCTCATTGCGACCTGTTGCCAGTAATATTAGAGTGTAAGATGAGACCTTTTACAATATGGCATATGTGCAGCAGCTGGTGACATGTGGGCTGTAGTACCAGCAACCTGAGAGGTTGCTTAGTTTTTAGGGTAATGCAAGAAGACACAACATTTGAGGCTGTCAATCTTTCACGTTAAAGCTCCGAGTTGTGGTCAGAAGCTGAAGTTAAAAACATATGGTGCTGTCTTTTTTAATCTCTACCAGCCTCCAGACTCACTTTGTGTGAACCCTAACGTGGCAGAATAAAAGCAGCGGCGATGGCTGATGCAGAAAAGATCAAGAAAACTGCAGCCAAGGTGCTGTGCTGCGTGGAGAAGGTGTCCTCCTTCGCCTCCTCCATCGACCCCATCTTTGGCATAGTCTCCTCCCTGGTCGGGGTGGCTCGCAAGGGCCTGGTTGACGAGGAGGGCCACGCTCTGGACAAGGACTTCCAGGCGATCAACACCAAACTGGAGAGCATCTCAGAAAAGAACCAGCAATGCCTGAGGAAGATCCGCATCGACGAGGTGAACGAAACATACGGCAAGTACGAGGAGTACATCAAGCACCAGTACACTGCCTTCAACAACATGGTGGCACAGGTGAAGAAAGATCCGGACAACACCCAGCGCCACATGGAGGCCTTCGAGAAGATTTATGAGAGGGACAAGAGCGACCTGAGCCTGGATGTGTACTACAACGGTGTGATGGGTATCAAAACGCTGTTTGGAAGATCCCTGCTGAAGGTGTACCTGGACAGCTGCGACGGCGACCGCGAGATCATGGAGCGTCGCTGTTCACACATCGCCCACCTGTTCCACATGGGCCTCATCGCCCTCATGGCCTACACAGCTGTTACAGAGGACGACGAAGACGAGGTGCGGGAAAAGTGGGCAAAGAGGGTGGAGGACATCCAGAAGAAGATGCAGGAGGTGCTCAGTCAGTGCAAAGACAACTCATCCTGAACATGGTCCAGCAGGGAAAGGATGTCCTCTGGGGGCGTTCGGTGGCAACGGCACTGGGAACAATCTGTACTCTGGACAAATGGAAAAATATAAATTATGTTATAATATATATATAAATAAAAACCAAAGCCATGTTTTGTGCACTTGAGCTGCAGCTGTTATTCCTATTGCAGCATTTTAGTTATTGTATCGGCTTTTTGTGTTATTTGTTTTTGTTTTAAAGAGACCACTATATGTTTCAGCTGCTTTGTGTTACTGTACGTCAATATATGCTGAAGTTTTATACAATCTCTTCAATTAAAATGTACAAATTATTAGTTGATCCAAGTTGTATGTTTGTGAAATCCATTTCATCTGCACTGAAATCATTTATACACATACGGCCATGTTGTACTACATACGTACGTGGTCATAGCTCCGAATTCAAAATGGATTAATACTTTTATATCCACACACGAACACACACACCCTCTTCTAGAAAAAAACATCTTAATACATCAACTCTTAATACTTTTTAATATTCCTAACCTTGAATGAATACCAGATAAACAATAAACTTGAAGCTCGACAAACTATTTGAATCCATTGTTACAGTCACACCTCAGGTGAAACTTTTTATGCTGCTTCTCTCCCCTTATTCTGTCTTTGACCCAAATAAAATAATAAAACTAATCTACATTTTGAACTTGGTCTCTGAAACAGGCTTCCGCTAAACAAAACGAGCTATTTCAAAACATCAACTCGCCCTTTTGGAAATTTAAATGGACATTTTTCATTGTATTTCACAATATTTGAAAAGTAAATCGAAGGTAAAAGAACTGCATTTATATTCTTATATTATATATACCTTAACAGAAATCATTCTTGTGGACAGCAGAAGATTGATGCAACTCTCATATTTGTCAGGTAAACGCAGACCAGCCACCGATTAGCTTAGCTTAGCATAAAGGGTGCAAACAAAGGGAAACAGCTAGCATAGCTCTGTCCAGTAGTAAGTTAAAAAAAAATGTAATAATTGTTTTATTATATATATATATATATATATATATGGATAGACTTTTTCTTGGCTGGTAACTTCCTGAAGTCTTTGGAGACTGACATTGCCTGGCAACCGTCTGATGGTTGCCTGGCAACCGTCTGAGCCAAACAACAGTCCAGCACAACAAAACAAAACACTTTAGTTCTTTTATGGATGAAAACAAGAGTTATAGTTAATTAGTGATCTTCAAAGGTGTTGACTGGTGGACAGACTGAAGGTAGCATGAGTCCCTGCTTTTTTCAGTCTTTGTGCTAAGCTAAGTTAGCCAGCTGCTTGTAATTAGCTATATACCACACACACACACACACACACACACACACACACACACACACACACACACACATATAGGCTATATTATATATAATATATATATATATATATATATATATATATATATATATATTGAAGTGGGGCCCACCAGATGTTTCTGGTAAAAGAAAATAAAAACATTATAATATTAAAAAATATATCATATAAATCACTGTTTATGTTGTTTTATTGTCTTTAAATATTCAGGATCGCTATTAATAATTAATGATTTATCATAATCTGAGCACACTGGACACAGTGGCACCATTTTGGTACCATAGGTGTGTAATTATGGCATTCACCCACCATTAAACTTCAGTTTTGGTCCTCCAAGGGAAACATAAGGGCACCCTGTATTCAGGAAGAACAAATGATTAAATTCTGACATAAAAAATAAAAATAAATGTACAATATGACTGGTGATGTAATTTTCTTACTTTACCTCGTAATAACTGCACATGTACATGTAAGTTAGACACTGTTTAAAATATTCCTTTACTACATACTGCATATAGTGCATATATAATCTATGATATCTTTATAGTATTTTAACACTTCCTGCACTACATCCTCTGCGCTGCTGTGTCAGACTTTAATTTCTCCCCCGGGGGATCAACAAAGGAACATTTTATCTTAATCTTAAAGGATTACAAATGCATTTTTAATTTAATCTGCACTTTAAGGGAGTGTATAAACAGTCAGATGCAGTTTATAAACACTGGGTCCTGTAGCAGTACAGTACTTCCTGCAGCCGCACTGAGTCCCCCTCACCGCCAGAGTCCTCTGTCGTCCAACCGGAGCTGCTGTACTCAAACGTAACAAGACTCCTCTGTTTGTCTCTGCAGACCTGCCCTAAACTTACAGGCCTGCTGCTGCCTCAACCAGATTAAAAGAAGTTTTACCTGGAGCCAGCTGACCGAGTGAATCTGGAGAGAAAGCGCTGCGTTTGGGTGTTTTTCTGGGGGGAAAAGTCGCGTCGCTCTCGGTAAGTTTCAGCCGCTGAACGAGCGGAAAAGCGGGCGGTGATGGTGAGTGTAGCATCCCGGCTACAGCTGCTCATACAGCCCATTAAAAATAAACAAAAGTTTGTATTTGTTGTGGTAGGATGAGGTATTAATTGTGGTTGTATCCTGCAGCACTGGGTTTGGATTAAAGTATTGTCTATAATGTAGTAATAAGTGTCTGAAGACAACACAGTGAGTGGTTTCCGGGGCGGGACCCTCCTCTGAACAACTCAACAACTTCTGAACTGAAAGTTGTTTATTTTAATTTCTGTTTTACTTTATTGATTTCCTGTAGTCAATGTGTGTCTTTGAGGAGAGGGTAGAACCTGAAGCCTGTACTGTATTATCTACCTGAGAAATTCTTTATGATAGGTTCATTAGGAATGGTAAAAGTTACTATAATAAACCTCTATAACATATCTGATAACACACTGCAAAACTACTGATATTATTACTGATATATAATAAATAGGCAACATTAACTGTAGTAAAATAACTGCCTCCTATCTTCACCCACTTGTTTTTACTTCAAATGCTGAATTATTATTATTTATTTTTCTAAAACCTGAATATTCTCAGCATGCACAGTTTGGTTTTTAAATATCTGGAGGGAGGAAGCGATGAGGGGAATTATGAGTGAATGAATTATGCAGAATATTGTCAACCCAACCCTGTCTCAGATGTAAATATAAAGTCATTTCTACAGGAGACAAAGTCAAGTATCACAGTTGGTTGAAAAGTTATAAATATAATGTCTTGTATTTGCAGTATGTACCTCAAACATCGGTCTGGTCTGGTTAGTTAAGTTAAGTTATAATAAGTTATAATAAATCAATTAACCTAATTAAGATACATGATAAAAAAACGGGGATTAATAAAGTTAAATCTTAAATGATAAATTACCTATTATAACACTTTGGCTGTCACTACAAGGATTTTCATTATTGATTAATCCAATAATTATTGCCTCTAATAATCTACAAATATTTAAATCCATAAAATGTAAATAAATCCAGTCCTTAATCCAAAAATACAGCGGAAAGCAGCAAATCCTCACATTTGAGGAGCTGAAATGAGAGAACATTTTTGCTTAATATCTTCCTTTAAAAATATTAGATTGATCAATATAACTGTATGAAAATACTGGTTATTGTGCTTTTTAACACTGATGTAAACAAGCAGGATGTCAGTCTTATAAGCCTGAACTTCCTTATCTCCACAACATGTTTACTCCCTGTGTGATGCTCTGTTGCAGGGATGCCTCTCCACAGTATTTGGCCCTTTTTTAAACTATTTTGTCGGGACTGAGATAGAGTCGGCAGTATGGGCAACGAAGGTGGCTTCGAGGACGTGTTTGTTGCTGTCATTCGCCCAAAGAATCAAGTCAGCCTGAGCTCAAAGGAGTATAGAGCCAAAGCCTATGAGGTAAATGAGTCTGTCACCAGCCAGTTAACCCACCTTTCCAGTCCAGTATTGTTAACTCAGTTGCCTCTGGTTCCTGTGTAGATCCTGCTGATTGAAGTGCCTCTGGAGGGGAAGGAGAAGAAGAGAAAGAAAGTCCTCCTGGCAACGAGGATCCAAGCAGGAGGAGACAAATCCAAATCCATATTGGATTACGTTGACGAAAAAATTAAACCCATATACAGTAACCAGGGCTTCATTGGTGAGTGTGAGACATGATATTCAAACTAATGTATCACCACTACTGACTGTCACCATGTTTCTGATCTCTACAGATCAGGAACCACTGATCAAAACACAGTTTTGGGTTTCAGGAAAGCGTGTGGTGCATATGAAGAAATTCCCCCTCGATGGGGACAATGAAGGGAAAGAGGCTTCGCTTTTTGTTGTGCCAGTCAGCGTTAAAGGTGAGCAAAGAATCTGTCTCACTACATTGATGCTCCAGATATGATTCAAGCTGTTCGTATTGTGTTTTAATATCTCATTCTGAACAGACAACAGTAAGCCTGTGTACAGCGCCGGGAGCCCGAGCTTCTACTGCTTCCAGGATATCATGCGGGTGTGCAGTGAGACCAGCGCTCACTTCTGCTCCATCACCTCCAAGATGCTTCTGGCCTTAGACAAGTGAGGATACGTCTGAAAACATATTCTCGGATTAGAGACCTTTTGGGGAAACTGAGCTGTAACTTTTGCCTCTTTGACCTCCGCAGATGGTTAGCAGAGCAGCACACCGTCCCTCACGCCATCCCCGCTCTGTTCAGACCTGCGCCCGTGGAGCGGGTGAAGACCAACGTCAGCAACCCGGCCTACGGCAGCGAGGGCAAACTGAGTGACGAGGGTCTGCACATGGGCTACACTGCCCTGGAGATCAAGAGCAAGATGATGTCCCTGGAGAAGGCAGACATGTGCATCCTCAACCCGCTTTACGGCTCCGATCTGCAGTACACCAACCGGGTGAGAGCAGAAGATCCTTTATAGATAATTAAAACAAACGTATTTTATGTAATCTACCATGGCAAATACGTTGTCTAACCCTTTCTTTGTCCTGCCTGTCTGGCCTTTTTGTTTGCAGGTGGACAAAGTTATCATCAATCCGTACTTTGGGCTCGGAGCGCCCGACTACTCCAAGATTCAGATCCCCAAGAGGGAGAAGTGGCAGCACGGTCCAAACTGTGTGACAGAAGACAAGTGAGGGGTTATTCTTACATGAAACACATTGTTTACTTCTTTACACCATGAAGTCCGATAAAGAAAATATATCAATAAAATTTTCTGCAGGGAGCGCCAGTGGGTGGACGACTTCCCCCTCCACCGCAGTGCCTGTGAAGGAGACACGGAGCTGCTCTCTAAGCTCCTAGACAGCGGTTTCTCAGTCACACAGCTGGACAGCGACCACTGGGCTCCCATTCACTACGCGTGCTGGTGAGTCCGAGAAAGTCTGAAGCATCCAAAAGTTCTCATTTGCTTTGAATTTCAGGTTTGTCCTGTTGATGAAACGTTAAGTTAAGTGGTTAAGTTTTGTTTTGGTTCCATGCAGGCACGGTAAAGTCGAGGCGACCAAGCTGTTACTGGAGAAAGGGAACTGTAATCCAAACTTGCTGAACGGTCAGCTCAGCTCCCCTCTGCACTTTGCAGCCAGAGGTGGCCACGCAGAGATAGTCCAGCTCCTGCTGCAGCACCCGGAGATCGACAGGGTACGAGACGTCACGTCACTTTGCTTTCTACCTCTTGTTCCTCCCAGAATATAATGGACGATTTGTAGCAACCCAGCTAATATTACTGACTCACCAACAACTAAAAGCCACTCCCAGATTTAATCTTGTCTCCACTTTTCTCCTATTAGCTTTCTCCGTGAATATCCTCTTATGTTGTTGATACAATGTGATGACAAATTGAATATTTGATGTTAATAAAACTGAACTTTGTGAGTTAAAACCTTGTAAATTTGACCTACAGTATGTCACTAATTTAGACAATATTTATGTGTTATGATGCACTATTTTACATCTCACAATACAGCTATAGTGGCAGACAATAACCAGTAAATATTGATGTTGACTTTCCCACCAACAGCACATAGAAGACCAGCAGAAGAGATCTCCTCTGCAAGTGTGTGAGGAGAACAAACAGAACGAATGGGAGGAGACGGTGAAGCTTCTGCAGCAAGCAAACAGCAAACCCGTGAGACTCTAACCTTGTTATTGTGTTCATATTGCAAACATGACAACACGATTTAGAAATTACACCCACATCAGCATCACCATCATGAGCCATATCAAGCTACAGCGGTAAATAATGATAAAAGCTTACAGTGATAAGAGTGATAATGTGTGTTGTAGAGGGGATTTTGCACAGATATTAAATACAGCTTCCATTATACTTTAGTCTTTTTTTAGGTTATGACATTATGTTTTAAGTCTGTTCTGACAAGACACTGTTTAATATGAAGATAAAGTTTGTTATTATTACATCTAAACATATTCAAACTCTAATTCACTGTTTCATACATGAATTTTGATGTCTCATTATGGCTGTTTTTTTAAGGTTCATATGTACGCTGTAGTGTCCCTACTGTGTATTTATCAAGGGCATAATGAATGTAAAGGAACTGTTATGTCCACATATATGAAATTAGTATAGATAGGAGGAAAAAGAGTATAAATGCTGGAGGAGTATGTAAAGAAATATGTCATTTGTTTTGAATGCTGTTAGTTTTACATATTTTTGTTGTAGTTAATGGTGCTGGCCACTAGATGGTGCTGTTTCCCTTGGTATTTGTTTATGGTATGAATGTGTGTTTCACAGTATGAAAAGGTGCGTATCTACCGCATGGACGGCTCGTATCGCTCTGTGGAGCTGAAGCACGGCAACAACACGACAGTGCAGCAGATCATGGAAGGCATGCGTCTTTCACAGGAGACCCAGCAGTACTTCACCATCTGGATCTGCTCCGAGAACCTCCGTGAGTTTACTGAAGTCACTCTCACATTCGTCCTGTAGCTGTAAAACCAACTGTGACCAACACCATGAAACTGCTCAGGCATGTTTTATCCTTGCAAAAGAAAAAAATAAATAAAGATTGCTCTAACATTTGTGTTCATTTTGTGTGTCAGACCTGCAGCTCAAGCCGTACCACAAACCTCTGCAGCATCTGCGGATCTGGACGGAGATTGTGACGGACCTGACGGTGCTAGATCCTCAGAGGGAAACACCTCAGCTGTTCCTCCGCAGGGACGTCCGGCTGCCGCTTGAAATTGAGAAAAAGGTAACTCACTTTATATTGTACAAAGAAGCTTCTTGTTTACAGCTTAGGTTTGACTGGAAATGTGGGATTGTTCCTCACTCTGCTGCTCACCGTGTTGTTCCAGGTGGAGGATCCTCTGGCCATCCTCATTCTGTTCGACGAGGCCCGTCACTGCCTCCTCAAAGGCTTCTTTCCTGCTCCAGACACCAAGCTGATCACACTGGCCAGCCTTCTCCTGCAGATCATCTACGGCAGCTATGAGAGCAAGAAGCATAAGCAAGGGTTCCTCAAGTAAAACACTTTTTCAAATCATATTTACATTAATTAATACACAGAATATTGTAAATATATGAACTGCTGCTTCATTTGGCTTGTGAAGTAAAAAGCTGCATTTCTCTGTTTTATTTTCAACAGCGAGGAAAACCTGAAATCAATTGTGCCGATATCGAAGGTGAAAAGCAAAGCGTACCACTGGACCAACAGGATTCTGCATGAATACAAAGTATGCTCAGTTTTCACTGTAAAACTTCCCCCCAGTCTTAAAATCAAAACCTACTCTTGGTTTTATTGACTCTTCTCTCTCTCTGACAGGCCCTGAGCACCAGCGAGGGGGTGAGTAAAGAGATGCACCACCTGCAGCGACTCTTCCTGCAGAATTGCTGGGACATCCCCACCTACGGAGCCGCCTTCTTCACGGGCCAGGTCTACACCAAGGCCAGCGCCAGCAACCACAAAGTTATCCGCGTCTATGTCGGGGTCAACACCAAGGGGCTGCACCTCATGAATATGGAGACCAAGGTATGTTTTTATTCTGTTTTAAACTTCAGCTATACAACAAATTGTCCCGCGTGATCTCCAAATGTAAAGCTTACTGAGTTTTAACATACATTTTCCTATAGATGAAAGGATGTGGAATATTCAGTCACTACTCGCCCTCATATATCTGAACTTCAGTAAAGTTTGTATGTAGAAAATGTAGGTCAGGAGGTCATTATTGAAAACATACCATTGAATGTTATATTCAATTACTGCCAATAGATCCTCAAACTGAACCTTTAAAGAACTTTTGCTGCACAAGCTGCTTGAACAGTTTTAATACATGTTTTGTGCTTTTGTAGGAACTGAAAACAGGACATAGTGTTCACTTCACTTAATCCTCAGACATGCCAATGGGTCAAACAGTAAAAACTTGTGCTGGGCAGCAAAGAAATGTTCAAACTCCACAGAACTTTATTTTAATTTTTAATGAAGGTTTATTGTACCAGATATGTCAGCCTGAATTTCGGGGAAAATGTGTAGAAAATGAAGCACAAAACCTGACATTTGTATTAATATTTAAACTTAACTTTATTTAAACATCATGCAACTTAAAATGAAGATTTTAAATTACACTGAATTAGCATACTGTGTGGGTAAGATGGTTTTCCAACATTAAAGCTTTGTAATGTGAAAACTATATATAAAAAGGTTCTATTTAATCGTCTGTAAGAAAGCTGAGATGAAGTGAAGTGTTAACTTACACCTGGAAGAATTTGTGATAACTGAAATTTAATTGTGGGGTTAGTTATTTCTGTAAGTCTAGTTTGGGATCAAATATCTGTTAATGATTATTGTCTGAAATTTCAACACTTAACTTATTTTTATGAATTATTTAAATGGTTTTCCTTGTTTTGTGTTTTGATGTCTCTCTTTTCTGATTGCTTTATTTGATAATTTGTTAAACCTCTGCTCTCCCAGGTCCTTCTCATCAGTTTAGAGTACAGCACATTCATGTGGCAGCTTGGACACGCTGACCAGTACTTCCAGATACACAGTGGTGACAATAAAATGAACTTCATTGTGCACACAAAACAGGTAAAAACTACTTTTAAAATGATACAATCACAAATGAAGCCCAGAGTCTCAAAACGAGTTAAAACATGCAAACACTGACTCTCTTATGTTCATTACGTCCCTACAGGCTGGCCTTATTGTGAAGCTTTTGATGAAGCTGAGTGGACAGATGACCCCAAACGACAAAGGTGTAACAGACAAATATGCATATGGCTGAAAATAAACCCACAGCTGCCAAAGATCCCAGTGCAGGTTCTTCTTACTGACTCTCATTTGACTGCAATAACTCTGGATGAAGAGCAACGTCAGCCTCTCCACAAACGCCTCATTTTTGTATATTAGGCTCACCGTTACCTTCACATTGTGCATTTTGACGAGTCGTATATTTTGATTGCATGTAAATATGTTTATTTAATGTTTTGTTTTAATAAACGGATTGATGTATGAATGAGGATGTTTGTGTTGTGATTCATATAATGGAAAATTAGACTGATGGTAAATTATAACAAGACCTATTGAGACAGATGGCTTTAAAGTGAAGGTGTGAAATAATAAAATATAAAGGAACGATGCAGATTGTTGACACTATAAAGAAATCACCTCTTCATGACGGTTAGATTTATACTCTAAAACACTTCAGGAGGGTATAAAATCACTTTTAGATCTAAAGGATGCAACAATGTAAGAAACTGATAGAAACAAAGTACCATGTCTATTAATGGCTAATATATCAGTATTTAACAAGATACTGTAGAAATAATACATTAATGACATAAATTAATGGGCATATATTTAATGTGTGGTTTATTAGGATTCATTCATTAATTATACCTAATTATAAACCTAATATTTAGAAAATACAAGTTCACACAGCTTTTTCAGGGTACTTGAATATATTATTATTATTATTTTATAGACTTGTACCTAAATTTCAAGCTCAACTTGTGCTTTTGTTGACATAAATTGTCAATTTTGCTACTTTAATTTGCCACTGTGTAAAATAACGCCAGTAATAGGAGCTGAAAGCTTTATATAATACTATTTTCTCCAATAAATGATCAATATCTTGGTATGTTTCAGTACTTCTGGGACAATATAAATAAGTGGGAACTTTTAAACACACATTTACTTATTTTAAGTTACAGAAACAACAATAAAACATTTATTTTTATAATAAATATCGATCAGAAATCCTCTTTATCGTGTTCGTCCCGCTGCTGTGACATCATATAGCAAGACATCGGTTCAGGTAGCGGCAGCCAATCACAGCGCGACTTCCTTGACGGACACGCGGTCGGCAGCCAATAGGAAGCCGCTGTCGGTCAGGCGGGGGCAGGACCAGTGCTGACAGGTAGAGATGTTGGGGGAGAAAATATCACCAGACGAGCTGCAGCCTTCAGTACGCGTCCACTCATTCACTGAGGTGTTTATTGTGGCTTCAGTGGAGCTCTGGTTGTTGTTGTAGAGGGCAGATCCGGTAACATGTCGATGCATTTGTATGAAATGAGCAGCAGACTGCTCGGAGTCACTGTCGGGAAAGTGAACGACAACCTGACCTCGGTGGTGCTGGCGGCCTCTGTCATCACTCTCACTCTGGGATATTTCTCAAAGTTGCTGCTCAAACAGTCCTCCGACAAAGATCAGGTGAGTTTGCAAAAGAGAGATTTGTTTGATAAAGTTTAAAAGCATTGTTTGTTTGTATTTATCATTTATTGTTATTATTGTTTTCTTTTTTTTTTTTTTTTGCAGAAATATCCACCTTACATACCCTCCAGCATCCCCTTCCTGGGTCATGCCATCGCGTTTGGGAAAAGTCCCATTGAATTTCTTGAAAATGCTTATGAAAAGGTAATTATTACTGTAGAGTCTATTAATTCATCTATTAATCGATTAGTCTGCAGCTGTTGTGATGATGAATCTGTGGTTTAAGTGATATTTTATTTTTAAAAAAGCCCAAATAAGTTAAATGCTCCAGCTTTTAAAATGTGAACACTGTCTGAAGTTGATATTAAATTAAATATATTTAGGTTTCAGACTGTTGGTCGGACAAAACTAAGCTATTTAAATATGTCAAACAATATATAGAGTAATAGATTAATCCGCTAATGTAGAAAATACTGGTCAGATTAATTAATAGTTGCAGCTCTATGTTACAGTTTACTCATTCAAATGATTACTTGGATGAATTTCTGAAAATAAACCTTTAACTTTCTTATTTTACCTCTCACACACACACACTGATTCACACACTGTGGTTTGTAACTGGGGGGTAAAAAAGAAGAAGTAGAAGTAGAAGAATGTGATTTAATGTCTGATTTCTTTTGTCCTCTCCTCCCCCGCTGTGCACCCACAGTACGGCCCTGTGTTCAGTTTCACCATGGTGGGGAGCACCTTCACCTACCTGCTGGGCAGCGAAGCCGCCACGCTGATGTTCAACAGCAAGAACGAGGACCTGAACGCCGAGGACGTCTACTCCAGACTGACCACTCCGGTGTTTGGCAAAGGAGTGGCCTATGATGTCCCGAACCCTGTGAGTCCACCTTAACTCTGAAATCACATTTAGTAACAAATCCAACGTGGGTTTATTGAAGATGAACCACCGCGTGTTGCAGCTGTAATACAGGATTTCTTTAACATGTTGCAGATATTTCTGGAACAGAAGAAGATGCTGAAGACCGGACTGAACATCGCTCATTTTAAGGAACACGTGAAGATCATCGAGGCAGAGACCTTAGAGTATTTTCAGAGATGGGGAGACAGTGGGGAGAGAAGTAAGATCTTCCACAAATCACTTCATTAAAATAGGAATATTAGAGATTGAACAGCTGACTTTTACTCAGACAGTTTGTCACTTAACAGATGTGTTGTGCAGCCTTATATTGAGTCTTTTTGTTGGCTGTTTCAGACCTGTTTGAGGCGTTGTCTGAGCTCATCATCCTGACGGCCAGCAGCTGCCTGCACGGGAAGGAGATCCGCAGCATGCTGAATGAGCGAGTGGCCCAGCTCTACGCCGACCTGGACGGAGGTTTCAGTCACGCTGCCTGGCTCCTGCCCGGCTGGCTGCCGCTGCCCAGCTTCAGGTAGGACTGCTGGAGGAGCCCAGGACGGACACGGACACACACACACACACACACACACACACACATCTGCCACAGGATGCTGCTGAGTCTGAATTTCAAGACCAGATTTTTCAGCTACAGTACATTTTCCAATTCCTGAACACAGACGACAATATATTATTCTAGTAGTTGTATTTAAGGTGAAAATATTAACTCAAATATAACTTTTTTTTTCTCAGGAAAAGAGACAGAGCTCACAGAGAGATCAAGAACATCTTCTTCAACGTGATTCAGAAGCGCAGGCAGTCTGGAGAGAAAGTGGACGACATCCTACAGACGCTCATCGATGCCACCTACAAGTAAGACAGCCTCAGTGTCGTTATCCAGGAACTGACGGCACGGTTTCAGTTCTAACCTCACGCTGCTGGATCATGTTTAAATGAATCGTTTGTTACATTCAGACGTGTCTCGAAAGACTTTTGACTGTTTTGTAAGATGCTGAATAAGAGAATTTTTCATGTTTTAAGGAGTTTCAGGAGTTTGTGATCTTTAAAGGAACTGAAAACACTAGCTGTACTTACTTTAATCATTCATTTAAATCTATAAGCAAAGGTTATACTGAGCTGAGAACTACTGTATCATATTTCTGACTTGGTTAACCACGTCACATGTTAATTAGACATATAAAGGAACAATTTATATTAACATTTATCATGTGATTATGGCCCTTCAACACGCCCTAAATGACTCTGTTTCCTCTTTAGAAACGGACGACCCCTGAACGATAACGAGATCGCGGGGATGCTGATCGGCCTCCTGCTGGCGGGTCAGCACACGTCCTCCACCACCAGCGCCTGGATGGGTTTCTTCCTGGCCAGAGATAAAGCTCTGCAGCAGCGCTGCTACGCGGAGCAGAAGGCTGTGTGTGGAGAAGAGCTGCCTCCTCTCGACTTCGATCAGGTGAGGATGGATTGTTTGATTGTATCGGCCGTAATTATCACAATATACAATATTATCTACATTTCTACAATGGAATTTAAGCACACTACAGACATTAAAGCTTTCCAATAACAATAATGATGTAAAAAACATGAACACAAAAACTACCTGTTTCAGCAAAACAATGCTCAGTAATTAAACTAGACACAGAACAATATGGTATCATTTCACTTGCAATTAATTAATGAAATAAGTCCCAAAGTCACAATTAAAACATGTTGTGGTTTGTTGCCTCCACCTGTGTTTTCCTACGTGATTGAGTGACAAACATTGACACTAAAAAAACATTAGTGGCTCCCCCTCCCGGTAGTAGAAATGTATGATAAGATAATATTTAAATGTGTTGTGTGCTTTAAATCAAGATACAGTTTACAGTTTAGTGCAGTTACATTGATTGTAGTCAATAATCAAACTGCAATCGTCTATACAGATTTATTACAGATTAAAATAGATCACATTTTCCTAAAATACCTGGTTTCACAACAGCTTTTCTAAGAAACTGTGATGCATGTTGAAATGTTTTTAGACATTGTCTTACAATGGGAAAGTGAAAATTGCAAAAATGGTGGCGATTATTTTTATGTAATTCATAAAAAATGTAAGTATTTACCCAGTTAAAATAAAATCACACTGTTTGGAGGGTAAATGTAAGATGTGCCTGTATCGTCTGCATCCTCACAACTAGAAACAAGGAAGAGAGAATACTAGTTGCGATCGTAACTTCCTGGAGGGACTGAATAGTCTTTAATTATTTCAGTACATGAAGAGGAAAGAGAGGAAACAGGTTATAAAGATATTTCAGGACACAGCTTGAATTAACTACTGTATGTTAGTGCAGTGATATGTAGTAGTAGAAGTGTTAAGATCAATTACAGACTTCAAATGTTTTCTGCTGTTGGTGAAAGTAATGGTTCCTTCCTAATATCCGGTCCTGGTTTCGTCCCCAGCTGAAAGATCTCGGTTTGTTGGAGCGCTGTTTGAAGGAGACTCTGCGTCTCCGCCCGCCCATCATGACCATGATGAGGATGGCTCGCTCCCCTCAGGTAAGAACATCTGGCTGCTCAACTACACTTGTTCCAGTTACAGGTCATATTCTACAAGTTTCCCCCGTTTTAATGAATACTTTATTTTTCAGTATAGTATAGAAACTGTTTTCTTTCTTCCTTATTCTCTCAGACTGCGGCAGGATACACCATCCCTGTGGGCCACCAGGTCTGCGTCTCCCCGACAGTCAACCAGCGTCTGTACGACACCTGGGCGGAGAGGATGGAGTTCAACCCTGATCGCTACCTCAACGACAACCCCGCCGCAGGGGAGAAGTTCGCATATGTGCCGTTTGGAGCCGGTAAGAAACATCTATAATTTTGTAAACAGTTTTCAGTTTAAAGTTCAATTCAGTTCCACACCTGTAAACAAATTGTTTTTTTCTTAATTTCTGCACAACAGTTATTATTTGTTGGATTTTTGTTCATTATTAAAGTTTCAGCAGTCTTTTTTTCTCACTCATCAGTAATTTTATTATTATATGTAAATAATTATCATGTTAAATGCAGTTAATTGTGCAAAAATTCAAACGTGCATTCAAATCTTTTAAAATGTAAGTGCTGTCTCAACTTGTACTTCAGTGTGCAGAATCTTTACAGTATTAGCTGTAGCTTTAAAACACATTAAATTAAATTCTGTACAAAAAAATGTTTTACTTGCAATTTCAGCGGGGAACAGACGTCTAAACAAACAAATCCAAACTGTACCTTTACTCTCTGCTCTTCAGGCCGCCATCGCTGCATCGGGGAGAACTTCGCCTATGTCCAGATCAAAACCATCTGGTCCACATTACTGCGCATGTACGACTTCGACCTGGTGGACGGATATTTCCCCACAATCAACTACACCACAATGATTCACACGCCTCACAACCCTGTCATCAGATTCAAGAGGAGGAAACAGTGAGAGACTGAAAACAGCGGAGGAGGAAATAATCAAACATCCCGAGTGTTTGAAGTGAAGCTTGAACTTCCTGGGACTTAAATTTAGGAAACTCTAGATGAATGCACTTTACTACATGTCCAACATTTTACTTTTTGTGCTTCTGTCAGTCCTTTTTTTCCCCCTGAATGTCAACATTATTACACAGAGTTTTGAAACTTGAGCACAGGTACTGATATTCAGATACAGTGTCAAGGTCAGATATACAGTGCCTTGACGGTGGGACATATTGGTTAAGTGCTTCATTCATTCGTTCTTTCCTTCTTTGGGGGCCTAGAAAATGTAATTTAGTGGGAAAACCAAGCAGAAGGTTTTAGTTCTTCCAGATCTGGGCAGGAGGGTTTAGGGGTTTTATACATTTAAATACATAGAACCCCCCCCACTAAAAAAAGCAATATTTTAAGTGATATTGCATTAAATGCACTGATTTGGAACAAAAACAGCTCCTACTGTAAATGACTGTGATCCCTCTGCTGCACAGGGAGTCTGTGAAGCTGTTTGCGAGAGGCCAGAAAATCTTAAAAAAACACTAAGGAGGTCATGGCTGCAGATTCTGCAGTCTGTATCGTTGCACATTTGAGGAGATAAACAGAGTAAACTTTAAATTAAAAGGTGCCCTGTGCTAATTAGGAGCTGGACCTCGTTAAATTAACGAGCACTGACTGATGTTTTGTGTGAAGTTTCACTGCTTAAGCTGTGTTGTTGTTAATAACCGTAATTCCTTCTTTCAATAAAGAAACTTTTAAGAAACACTGTCAACACTTCATCTGTATTTAATGACTGTTTTCATACGGAAACCTTCATTATCTTTGTACTAATGCCTGTTAACAGTGTGTAAAGATCATTTATCTTGTAAAAAGTAACTTCGTCTCTCAAAGGTTTTATGTTTCTATGTACAAAAGAAGAAAGATACACAATTCTTTCAAATAATGTAATCCTCTTTATTTCAGTTTTTGACAAAATACCCAGAAAATTCAAAGCTCCTACACTTTACAAAAATACGTTCTCTACAAATGTCCTCTGTAGTCTGTCTGGCCTAAACAAAACACAGTGTAGTGTAGAATATCCAGTAGCAGCCTCCTTAACAGTAAACCCAAACATTCTCTACATAACGCTCCACCCATACAACACAAACATATAAATTAATCACAAGGTCTTAAATTAGCATTAGACAAATATACATGATTGTAGTCCATCCACAACAAAGAGGCAGATTAAATTACAAACATAGCTGTTTTTCAAGTGCTGGCGACAAAAAAGCCTGAATACAACATGTCGTACACTGATAAAAAAATGTGTTTTGGTCCACATGGAAAGATACAGTCCACACCAGACTAATAGAAAACAGCAGAGCGCTCAGCACGAGAAAAGGCAACTGAGTTTCTTCAAGCCAAAGTTAACTCGACGGCATCTATCTTCTCAAGCCAAAGTGCAAGTGAGCATATGAAGAAGCACCTGCAGAGAAAATAAAAGTTTAGTCAATTTGTAAAAGACTTTATAGAGTTAAAAAACACAACAGCTTGAAATATCGGTACACTGATGAAGCAAACACATCCTGATTGAAGTTTAAAGTTTTGCCCACCAGTTACAAACTGCAATTAAGTGTAAAACAATATCTTGTGTCTATATAATATCTTGCATCCCGGTAACATCCAACATCACAGCCCTCAGTTCATGTTGTTTACAACACTGCTATCTAGAGGTTGAGGATTAAATACAAAAAACACCTTACAACTGGAAAAACTAATAATAAAACATTTAATATTTGAAAAAAAAACATTTCACTTTCTCTTTAATTTGAATAAGTCAGATGGCTCAAGTATCAGATGATGTTACACACCGCCACTATAAAAGCCAGTATACAGAATACAGTATTAACTAACTAAGAGTACAGAAGTGGGCTGTACAGGTGTGTTTTACCTGATGTCACACTACCCAGCCTCCTCTGCAGAGCCTCCAGTCTGGAGATGTAGTCAGTGAGCGCTCGGTCGGGGTCGTAGCTCTGCAGGTGGGAACAGGTGAGAGCTCCGTGGTCTCCAGCCATGTGAAACCTACACAACACGGACACAACAGACATCGACCTTCAATTTAAATAATATGGTCAAAAAAGATATACATTAACGTATACGATGATTATTTTTGACATTTTACAGACTACTCTAGATAACCTACTTGGGGAAATGACTGTTAGATTATTTGACATATATAACAGTAACTATTAGTCACAGCCCTATTTTATGTTGCACCTGTGGTGTGTGGAGGAGACGCCCGATCTGGGAGATTCACGTCCACTTCGCCCCCTGCTGCTGGAGACTCCTCCTCCTCCTCCACTCCCCCTTTCTCTGCACATCTCCACACTGCCCGGGTGAAGATAAGGTGAGTCTCGCACCTCTGTACCTGAGAGAGATGAAGAAAGATTTACTGAGCATCACTTCTAACATGATATATGATATATGATATATGTGATGTTACGTTTTGGTTACCTAATGTCTGTCCTCCTCCATTCTTGTTGACGCTGCAGGAGGTTGTGGAGCTCATCCCCGTCGCCTTGTGCCAGCGCTTGACCAGGAAACGCATTCTGAACAGAAAATATGTATGCTTTAGTTTAATAAAATAAGAGAATGTAATCTCTATGAATGCATATACATCTGTTCTTAAAGTGACATTAGCAGAGCACTGGCTGCCTACCTGGACAGGGCAATAGAGACGCGAACGGCAGAGCGGAAGCGCATCAGTCCCCGGCGGCGCTGGCTGTGGGAGTCCAGGTTGGAAAGCGACGGCCGGCCACCCATTCTTGAGAGGAGCGACAGCGTGGCTTCCTCACACTCCTGGAAGCCACCCAGCAGTAACAGCAGGTACTTCTTCTGGTAGATCAGCGCTTTGCGGAAGCTTTCTGACCTCAAGTACTTCCCATACATCCTCTGAAGTCAAAGAAAGGATTGAAATGATGAAGTCTGTTATTACAGTTAACTGACTACAAACTCCTCGGATACGAGTTTAGAATTAGTGTGTTTTTATCTGACCTTCAGTGCAGCATTGTCAGCCTCAGGTCCAGTTATCTCTCGCAGTGTTTCGGTCCTGATCTCCCCCCTGAGTCGGGCCACCTGAGCCTGGGCCAGATGTAAAGCCTTCTCCAGGCGGACCTTCTCTCTCGACCAAGCCTCACGTTCCTGGGAATGCAGCATTCCTGACGAGTCCACTTTCGACACTCCTCTCCTGCTGCTGAACTGTGGGAGGAAATGAAATAAGGAAATTTAGTTCAAGTCTTCGGCATGCAAGCTGAAAACAAAGAAAACAAAACATCTATGATCTCTGGTACACAGTTATATTGACTATATTTTCCTGTCGTGTACTCACAGTGTCACCAGATCCCAGTCCAGCCTGCCGGTAGCGTCGCAGCTCGTCCTCCAAGCGGAGCGTGTGGTTCCTCAGATCGTTCTTCTCTTCGGTCAGACGGCTGACAAAACCTGTCAGCTCGGCGTTCTGCCTCAGCAGCCGCTCCGTCAGGGAGTTGGAGGAGCTGGAGGAGCCTCCTGCCAGCAGGGAAACACTCTGCGGGAAACAAACAATCACAGCAGTCACAACCATGTGTGGCTCATATTAGGAGCTCAACAGATAACAGACGTACGGACAAATAAACAAACAGTTGAGCTCATCAGAAGTAGAGTACGTAGAAGTTAAACCATCAAAGCAAACAGTTTCTGACCTCGGGGACGGAGGGTAGACCTGGGGATTGCTGCAGCATAGTGATGACCTCATCAACATTGGACTGCACCCAGGATAACTCTTCACTGTCGACCTCTGCAGTCAGCCTGTACTCAACATGTACAGATAAACAATCAGTTCATTCCCATAAGGCTACATTCCTCATACATTTATGGATTCTGCAGTCACATGATCTATTGTTATTATAAAAACGCTGATTATAGCCGCTGTGATTACCTCCCAGTAGTCTTGCTCGCCATGCCACGGATCTTCGAGGATACAAGGTGGAGTTTGCCCAGGATCTTGTCGACTGTGCGCCAAGGACCTTGGTGCGGTCCACTGGTGTGGCTGGTTGGTGAGACCTCCTGGTGGGGTGACGTGCTGAAGCTCGCTGACTGACCATTTCCACTCTTCTGCTGGAACACCCAGTCTTTGGTGCGGTCGGTGGACTCACTGTGCCAGACCGCCTTCTGTTAACATAATAACAACAGAGCACAACAACAAAGCACGATTAAAGAAATGACTAAAAAAGGATTTATTAGGAGTGTTTGTTGCTGGTTGCTGATACTCACAGTGTGGCCATCAGCCTGCAGAGGTCCACTCCCCTCCTTCCCTCCTCTCTGCCCTCCTAACTGGTTCAACCTCTCCTCCAGTCTCTCTTTCTCTTCTTCGAGACTCTTCCTCCTCTCCATCTCTCTCTCCAGCTGCTCCTGGGCCTCTGACATTTGTGATTCGAGTCTCTCGAGCTGGGCCCGAGCCTCCAGCAGCGCCTCCTGATCCCGTCTCGACCTCTGACTCGCTAAATTCAGCTCCTCCTCTTTTCGTACCACCTCCAACTTCTGGGCCTCCACCTGACTGAGGAGATGCACCACCTGGAGAAGAGAGATGAGGATAAAATACAGACTTTAAGATAAAAATTATTTTACTAATGTGGATAGATGTTAGCTTTAGCTTCAGCTTTAAAGAGTTTAAGTAGTAAGAAGGTAAAATAATAATACCTGTGCATGTTTGTCATCCATGTCTCTCTGCAGTCTTTCTAGCAGACTCCTATCCTCCTCCGGCCCCCTCCAATCGCCTTCGACCCGTTGCTCATTGGAGGTACCGCTGTCTAAGGACACGGCGCCGGTCCGCAGCTCCCTCTCCCTCCCCAGTGCGGTGCTCATCTCCTGGGCCTTGGCTCGCTCTGTCTCAAGCTGGACCTGGAGCTCCTGGAGGCGGCTGTGGAAGCTCAAGCGGTCCTGTTCAGACTGCTGGGAGAGCTGAGAGGAGGCCTGGCGCTCCTGATCCAGGGTCAGGGTCAGCTGGGCCACACGGCTCTTCTGCTCCCCCAGAGTGAGGTGCAGGTCCTTAGAGAAAAGGGAAATACTTACTTTTATGACTTATATTTATATTTTACCTCTTTAGTAATACTAATCATGGATCATGAGACTAAATATTACATTACTTATTTTAAATTACATTTCGGTAATCTAATAGTTTAAAGTTTGTAGTATTTTTATGTGTTATATGTTTTTAAATATATATATATTTTTTAATTACAGAGATTCTTCCATGTACCACTAGATGGAGTTCATGTACATACCATAGTATAAGATGCCATACAGTATAAAAGTAAAACAAGTAAAAAGTGAATTATAGTTCTATATACACCTCATAAATTACTGCATTCACTGTCTATCTGAAGCTATTGAAGACCCCCAATCAATAGTTAGGCTTTTAAATTTAGATTAAAGAACATAATTAATTAAAAAGGCACCTGCCTAAAGGCTCTTACCTCCAGTTCTTCTTGTTTACTCTCCTCGTCTCTCCCCATTCGACACTTCTCCTTCTCCATGGTCCACTGAAGATCTCTGCTTCTCTTCCTCTCCTCTGTCAGCTGGTCGTTCAGTGTGTCAACCTCAGCAGCCTTCTGCGATACCTCTGCCCTGTTGACAGATATAATAATGAGACAAGAGGTCATATTTAGTATAACCTCCTTTCTCTCCTCATATTTACTATCTATACGCAACCTGAAATATTGTATCTAGTTGTAAATAGTATTTTGAACAAAGCCTTTAAAACACATCAAGTCTCACTAATCACTACAATACCGTTATAGAACATCTGTATGAAGTATTTTTACTGTAGTAGTTACTGAAGTGTATCCAGGTGTGTTGGATACACGTCTGTGAACAAACTTCGTGTCTAACCTGAGTGTGTCCAGCTCTTTGAGGTGTTTGTGCTGAGCCTTGAGCGTCGTCTCCAGCTCCAGTTTGGTCTGGGACAGTTCGCCTTTCAGCTCCTCCACCAGCAGCCTGTCGGCCTCCGCTGCTCCATCAGCTCCTCCTCCCTCCCTCTGCTCCTTCATACTACATTCACTGCCCAGCGACACAGCAGGCTGGGCACCTGAAAGACAACGATAAGAAAACATCAATATCAGGACGTCTTCCCACTCGATTATGAATATGATGTGAGTAGCAGAGTGAGAGGAAGTTTCAAGGGATTTTTCTTTTTAACTGGTTCACCTTGATAAAGTCGCTCTAGTTGACCACGGAGCTGATGGATCTCAGAGATGAGACTGGACCTGTCCACAGTGTGGAGCGAACCCATCGCCTCTCTGTGGTGGGAGTCCTGCATCAGGATCACAAACACAACATCTGTTTGGTTTCTGACCAGCACAAATTATTATTAAAGGAGAGCAAAGACAAGAGAAGGTTGTTTCTGTCCAGTAATGTACAGATTTTTGTCATCTCTTGAGTAAAAGCTAGACACTAAAATAATGTCATTATCAATCACTGAGTAGTGTTAATGACAGCACTTAAAAACACATAGGTCACACTTTTGTTACTGTGTGCAGCAAACTGTTGTGTGTAGTGAAAACAACTAACAGCCTTCAATAATTCTTTATTCCTAAACAGAGCTCGACCACAAGTTTGCCTTTGGAATAGTTTACCTCTTATTATTAGATTTACATTTTTGTAAATTCTTCTTGTTTGTTACTTTCCTGCTTTTAATGTAAAGCATTTTGCAACTTTTTTTAAAAAAAATACTATATAAATAAATCTTAACTTACTTCTAGAAGAGGCAACTGACTGGATTTAAACAATACTAAATATTACATTTTGTCAGGTAAAATCTTTCATAAATTACTACAGCCAAATGTCTTCTTCTTACAGCAACTGTACATTTAAATTGGCCTTTCCACTCACTTCAGGTGTACAAAAACAAACACTAAGAAGTAATCTTAATTTGGAGTTAATTCAGAGCCAGATTACAGATTCAGTTGTTATTTCTGACCTGTTCAGCCAGTCTGCGCTCCAGCTGATTGAGGTGGATGATGGCATCGCTGGTGTCCAGCAGATCCAACTGGCTGTAGAGTGCGCTCTTCAGCACGCTGCGCTCCCTCGTAAACACCTGCCGCACTGCATCCAGAAGCTCGGCACGCCAATCCACGCTGCCTGGCGTCTGTAGCAAGTCAGACACACACACAGATGAAGACACAAAACTTACAGTGGAGGACATTTAAATCTTCTTTTGCTTTAAACTGTGAAGCTTCTGACTGGCTGAGCTCTGTCAAACAGTTAGTAGTGTTATGTCCCTCTACCTGTGTTTCTCTGTGTGTCTGCATCTGGGTGATGAGGCCTTTGAGAGACTCCACAGTTGCCAGTAAGGCGTCTCTTTCCTTCACCCAGCCTGGGACATTGAACTGGCTGCTCGCCTCGCCTTCAGGGAGAGGGAGCTCTGACAGAGAGAGCACCTGCATGCCCTCCTGATGAACCTCACGGAGCAACGTCTAAATAGACAAACACCACACAGAAATGTTGTTGGGTTTACCATCTTCCATTTAATGCTTATACATACAGTATGCAAGCACAGAAACAAAACATAATTTATCTTAAGATCACATATGGTAACCCTGCACCTCACACAGCTCGTCAATATATTGTGTCTCAACTAATTTTAATACATTTGTATATATCAACATTTTATTAGCTCGAGGACAATGTTTCTAATAAGTTGTACCTTGATCCGGTCAGGCAGCGGATCATCAGTCTCTCTCCTGGCGCCCTCTGGAGTGGTCCTGTACTCCTGCTGCAAGTTTGGGAGGTCAAATCCAGTCCGCTGGCTGTAGTCTGAGCTGCTGTCTGCAAGAGGACAAATACAAAAGTATACACTTAAAAAAACTGGTTCAGGTAATTTCAAGTCTGTCTTGAAAGGACCAATGTGTATGATTCAGTGACATCTAGCTGTGAAGTTGCTGCAACCAACTGAATACTGCTCGCGTTCCAAGCGAGAGCCAGTGTTTGGTTCGTCTGTTGTGAGCTACTGCAACAACATGGTGGACTCAACACGGCAGAAGAGCTGCCTCTGTAGATAAAAACGGCTCGTTCTGAGGTGACGAAAATGAAACGATTCTTATTTTCAGGTGATTATACACTAATACAAATCTATTCATGGATTCATGGACATATTATATTCTATTTTTGCCAATAGAGCCTCCTAAATGTGACACAGTGGACTTTTAAATACAATACTGATGTGCCCATGTGTGCGTCCTAGTTGCTGTAACAATTACATAAACTGGAGGGTCAGCGTATCCCCTGCTTTCACACAGCAGCATCACAGCATGACAATGATTACCAATGCTAAAGGAAATTAACATTAGCTGTCATGACAAACTATTTTAAGCTTTGGAAAGTGTTTTATGTAGAGCAAAAAAAAAACCCAACTAAATCCCCTTCAGCTCTATTGCCACATAAAGTAGAAATACACTGAGGCAGAATAGCTGAGCAGACTACCCTCTCAGGGCTGAGTTGTTTATAACTCTCAGGTTATTTCTGTAAACTGTTTGTTTCAGCAAAACCTAGAAAAGCACGAGAGGAATACTGGAGTAAAACATTAAATCATTGTCAAAAACAATGATTAAATTGAGAGATTGTGCTGCATCTATGTGTTGTATCTTACCACTTGTGTAGCCATCTTTGAACTGCGATGCAGGACGGTCTTGTCTTGAGGAAGGAGCCTAGAAAAGATCAAACATGATTCAGATCCTTCTTCTACTGTATTAATCAAAATGATAATACAACAGCAGTAATCTTTGCACATCATCAGTGTGTAACACCTTCAAATCATTAAACTACTGAACATTTCATGAAAAGCTGATAAGAGCTGAAACAATTAACTAGGTAGGCGCCTTAATTAGTCATTTCACATCGATATTGATTTGATTTATCAAATTAAAAGTGGTAAACATTTCCTGGTTTCAGCTTTTAAAATGAGGATTTGCTACTTTTCTCTTTTTTCTATCATTGTACATTGAATATTTTTGGATTTTGTTTGGACAAAATGAGCAATTTAAGATTTGATTTTGCAAACTCTTTTTTAATTAAACTAATTAGACAAACTGATAATAAAACTAATCCCTAGTTGCAGCCCTAAATACAGACCTGATTTCTGATTCCCACAGCATCTAATACATGTTTTATCAACCATCATGTCCTTCAATATGTCTGTAGGAGAAGTATCTTTTACATTTTAGCCATTATGCTTCTTTAAATATGATTTGCAATTTATTGACAAAACTTAAACCACAGCATGAATCAAATACCTTCAAAATCCTTAATAATAATAATACATTTGTAAGTAATGTTTTGTGGAAAAGGGACAACCTTTTCCTGCCCTCACCTCTGTAGAGCGCAGCTTGTCAATGATGGCCTTGAGGGTCTTGCACTCATCTTCCAGAACCTGCGTGTCCCTACGAAGGCTCTCGCTCTCTGAAATATGCCGAGCCTCCATGTCCAGGATCTCCGCTGCGTGGAGCTCCTGCATTTGTACAATCTTCTCCTGGAACTCTCCGATCACCTCCTCCATCTCGTCTTTGGTTGGAGACTTGCTTTCTGGACCGAGGTCGGACATTTGGAGAGGTTCGGTCTGCGTGAACGAGTCCGTCACAGCCGAGTGTTGCTGCTCAGAGCCGCTGTTCAGCCGAGCGCTGTGAGACCTGTTAGAGGACTGGCTAGAAGGGGCAGAGTTTTTCCTGGAGAGAGATGGTTTATCTTTGGCACTGCTTCCCTTGCCAGCCGGCTGTTTGCCTCCTTTCCTTTTAGGTTGGGTGGTGGAGGAGGAAGACGCAGAGGAGAGGGGCTGAGGAGACGGAGAGGGAGAGGGGGAGGGAGAAGGAGATGGAGGACTGGAATCAGCGGTCTTCATCAAAGCTGTCCGTACCTCCTGGAGCTCCTCTCTGAGCTTAGAAATGGAGAGCTCACGGACGTGTAGTTCGTCCTGTAGTTTCTCATTGTGCTGCCTGTAGCTGTTGAGTTCTTCTTTGGTGGTATCCACATTCTGTCTCACCTCCTGGAGCTCCTCTTTGAGTTTAGAAATGGAAACTTCACGGACTTGGAGGTCCTCCTGAAGTTTCTCATTATGCTGCCTGTAGCAGTTGAGTTCTTCTTTGGTGGAAGCCGCATCGTTCCTCACCCCCTGAAGCTCCTGCTGAAGCTCGGACACGCTGACTCTGTCTTCTTCTGCTTTTACCTTGAGGATGATTGAGCAGGTGGTCAGATACTATACACACAGCCAGGTAGCATAAATTAAAGACGATTTCATAAAAAACAACAAATTATCAGTTTTAGAGACAAACAAATGCACTGATATTACTATACAGCATAATTCAGGTAAAATATTTCTGACTTACTTGGAAAAGTTCTCCTTTAAGGTGAGCAATGGTCATTTCCCGCTCCTTTAAAAACACAATTGCATGTAATTAAAATGTAAATAAGTAGAAAATTACATAAATATACATAGTGAACAGATATTTAACTTCGAATTACATAAAACAGTTTAATGGACTTTAAGTGTGTTCTGGCGGACAGTTAGATGTTACAACTGTCTGCAACTGTTAGCATAGACTGAAAATAGTAGGAAACCTCTAGCTCTATCTGAACAAACACAATCCACCTACCAGCACTTCTAAAGCTCACTAATTAACACATATCTTGTTTGTTTAATCTGTAAAAATGTCATATTGTGGTTGTGGAAAATATCAAAAAAGTGTATTTCACAAAATGTTGAACTATTCCTTTAAATGTCTGATTAAGTCAAATCATCAAATTAAGTGAAAATGACAATATTTTGATAGAAAACAGGTAAAAACATAAAGAAATACATGTTTTTGCAATATTGAGGTTTCTACAGATGAATTTCACTGAACTCAGAATATTATTATTAAGATTTTAAACTGGTTTTGTACCTGCAGCAGCTCCTGTAGCTTCTCCAAGCTCTCCCTGCAGCTGTTCAGCTCCTCTTTGGTGGCGGCTGCATCATTCTGAGCCTCCATTAATTCCTCTCGGAGCTCAGACACCTTCGTCTCCTCGCTGGCTACGGACGACACCTAAAGTGACACAATTTAAAATATTAGCCAAAGGAAGATTTTGTTTAGTTTACAGACAATCTGAACAACAAAGGATCAAATATTTCTTCCTACCTTTTGAAGTTGATCCTGTAGTCTCTCTATTGTGAGCACTTTTTCCTAGAAAGAAAATCACATGTTCGTCATTCTCACCAAACAAGAGAAATACTCTCAGAAGTATGAACACTAAGAGGCAGTCACATACTTGGAGCTCCTCCTGAAGTCTGCTGCAGCTCTCCTTGTAGCTGTCCAACTGCTCTTTGGTGGCCGCGGCCTCGTCTCTGACCTCCTGCAACTCCTGAAGAACCTCTGACACAGACGGCTGGTCGTCAGCAGAGGAGGCCTGATAAAAAGATTAAAAGATTACAAAGAACTGCCTACGACTTGATTACAATGTCTTCGCTGGGTTTTCACTGGTTAACCATTAATAAGGGTTCAGACAGAGTTAAAAAAACGGCTCCAATATAAGTTCCATTCAGTACAGTAGTACAATAGTGTAAATATCGGCTTATGTTCGTCATTTTTGGACGAAAAAAATAAAATGTCTTCAAAGGATTATATCACTAATATTATTATTTTACACATTATTTTTACACATTTTCCACAATAAAGACATTTCATATGTATGAGCGCTAAAATAAAATATGTCATTTTCATCGTGTTTTATTTATATTACAGACAAAATTTACCTAAATGTCTAGCTCCGTGAAACCTTCTATCACAGATTCTGTCTCCTTATATATACACAAATAATAAGCTAAGATACCAAGATTGGAAAGGACGTTTGTCTGTGCTCTTTATAGGCTTGTTGAGAGTTATATGAGAAGATCAATACCACTTTAATGTCTGCACATTAAACATGAAGCTACAACCAGTAGCCGGTTAGCTTAGCTTAGCTTAGCATAAAGACTGGAATCAGCTGTCCAGGTTCTATCCAAAGGTAACAAAATCTGCCTACCTAAAAACATCAAATTGCGGTTTTAGAGGGGTTGTCACAACACCTTTTTCACTACGGACCAACTCTTACCCCCACAGCTGGTGATGTCCTTTGGTGCGGTCTGGTCTTCATCTGACTGAGCAGATCCATGAGCACAGACAGCCTCCTCTCGTACTCCAACACCTCTTCCTCAGAGCTGGAGAGCAGCTGCTTCTGGAGCTCCTGGTCTTTCTGCATCCCGCTGAGTCCCACCTCCAGCTCCCGAAGCCTCTGGGTCAGATGGACCACCTTCCCTGTGGGAACTTGTCTCGCTTGACTAATTCCACTGAAGTCCATTTGGGGAATACCAAAGTCACCAAAGTCATAGACATGTGGTTCCACGTCTGGCTCCACATGTGGCTCGGCATGTCTCTGCTCGTTCTGGTCTTCTTTGGACTTCCCTTGTGACCGCTGTTGCTCAAAGGCCTCCAGCGTGGCCTGGCTGACGAGCGCTTCAGCCACTTTCTCACTCAGATTTTTCTCCAGTTTAGAGACTTTCTGTTGGAGACTCTCCACCTCGCTTTGTGTTTGCTCCACAAGGAGGCGACAGCGGCTCAGCTCGCAGTCCTTTTCATTGACCACGTCCTCAAGCTCCCGAATGCGGAGGTCAAGCTCTTCCACTCTGGATGTTGCACTCTGCTCTAAAGCTTGTACTTGAGCCTGCATGACTACAAGGCCTGCAGTTTTCTCTCTGAGAGCTTCTTCCAGTTCTGCCTCTGAGTTGTCCAGTTTTTCTGTTTCGGCTAAAGCTTCAGCGTTCTCTTTCAAGCGCAGATATATCTCCAGCAGCTTAGTGTGCTCTGTTTTGAGCATATCGAGCTCTTTGGTGGCCATGTCCATTCTCTGCTTCATTTCATCATATTCCTCTGTACTTGGCCCCCATTCGCTGCTCTCTAACTCAGCCTTGGTGTCCTCGTCTTCCTCTGAAGCCTGCTTCTGTTCGATATTGGCCAGTTCCTGCTGAAGTTTGTCTATGACTGCATTCAGTTGGTCAAGCTCCTCCTCATTATTCCTCTTCAAGCGTTCTTGTTCGCTCCGAAGGCACTCTACCTGGGACTCCAGGTCTTTAATCAGCTCATCCCTCTCATCAATTTCCTTAAGAGAAACACACAAACATTATCAAAACCATAAAAATATTAGATTTGATGGATGTCCATAGCAATCCCACTATTTGGATAAACCTCTGAGTCCCTGCTTTGCTTAGAGAAATTCTTTGAGTCAAAGAAAATGTAGTTTTCATTGACTTTTGTATTAAAAATGATTGATTTGTAAAAAGTCTTTAGAGACTCAGAGGTTTAATAAGCCACCTCACATGAGCAAATGATCACCTCACAACAGACGATGGTACTGTGGAACTACTTACCAAGACAAAACAAGCAAAAAACAACCCCAAAAAAACGAATGGAGGTAACAAAAATGAAAGCGTACATGAAACCAGAAAACACACACAGTGATGCACTACCACGGAGCTATGCGTATTCGAAATAGACTTATTCTATTTCGTATATGCATATTGCGTTACCTTGTTATCAGAGGCTGTTTCCATGTGTTGGAGCTTAGTGATCTGTTCATTAAGAAGTGCTATTTCCCTGTCCTTCTCCTCCATCACCTTTAAAAGTCAGAGATTATAATGTGATGGCTATTAATGAACACGTTACGCGAAAGTCCACTCAGTGTCAGCCTTGTGGCAGACTACTGAAAGCACACTGATCGAGTCAAAGAAGAAATGTGCCGACAGCGGCGGTGAGTCTTGCATGTCAGAATAACGACCAAAAAAACCTTAAAAAAGAAAATATCTAATCCAAAGTGGTTTTGCACTTTGTGAGCAGAAATATTAATGTTTTATGGACATTTCTTTAGTATATGCATTATGTAGTTGTTTCTTTACAACTGATGGAAGCAGCTTTCCATTGTGTAAATATGCCCGACCTTTGTTGTATTTTTGCAGTTAAAGTAGAAGCTTATCTGGCAATGTCACACATATCACATCAGCAAACAGTTTTAAAGTCAGCAGCAACTGGTTTATCTCTTTAGTACAACAGTTACAATAACTGAGAATACAAGTGTAAGGTAAAACATTGTTTAGCACAATATGTAGCCAGCGTCTGTCTTCACAATCTTAGGTACAGATACTCATAGTAAGATAAATGTTTTTTTAAAGGTACAGTGAAATGTTGTTTTGTTTACCTGGAGCATGCTATCCCTTGTTTCTAGGTATTGCTCCTGGCTGCTGATCTCCTTCCTCTGGATCTCCAGCTGCATGTGAAGCTGCTGTACCTCCTCACTCTTGTTCTCCAGCTCCTCTCTAAACTGCTCCAGCTGCTCTTCCAGGTTACAGATCTGAAGTGACAGATGTAAACATGAGAAACACCTTAGAGGAGACAGCACAAGACTGCGTCGACTATCCAGTACATCTCACTCATACGACTTGAAATCGAGCAACTTGGATTTTACTATTCCTGTAAATAAACAAAAAATGCAAAGTAGTTTTTCCCTGCAGGATGAAGATGCGTTGAAAAACAATGATGTAACACCTGCATGCTGACAACAAACCACAGATTTATTCAAACAGACATTTAATTCCCAGTTGGGTCTTCATCAGATTAAAATATTGTCCATTTAAATAAAAGTGTGATTTAAAGTAGAAGTGCATCTTTTCATCAAAGCTTTGGAAAACCTCTAAAGCACAAACTGAGCAGCACACTACCTCTTTCTCTTTCCGCTCCAGAGCTTCTCTCTCCGTCTGCAACTGAGACTCCAGCGAGTGTTTTGCCTCTGTGATGGTTGCATGCTGCTTCTTTTGTTCAACCTGCGACACACACAACAAAGAACGAAGAAACTATTTAGCACAGCAGTTATTTACAACATGCGCAGGAAGGCGTGTGGGAGCAAACTCTTGTGATCAAACTGATTTTTCAAAGATGCAAGCTACTCATGCACATTGTCCATATAGGTGAGCCATTTGTCAGCTAAGCAGCAGTGCAGCAGATATGAGCATTTCCTCCACTGCTCTTTTTGTTCACTCACCACGGCCCTCCATGAACACTGGGGGGCAATCTTGACAGTTGCTAGCCATAGCTCAGTGTCATCACCAAGAGCAAACTGCCGGGGATGCTGAAGTAGACCCACCCACACATTGTTCTCCCTCTCTGTGCATCCCAGCCCTCCTCCCGTTCCTCCTCTAGCTGTCACCTCATCTACATCCTCTCACACACACACACCCTCCTGCCATGCTCCACGGCTATTGTTCAGACTGCTTTTTCTCTCCCTCACCGTCTCTGACTCAGTTTCCTGCACATCCTTCATCTCCCTCCTCCCCCCTCCCTCTCCCCCCTCCCTCCCCCATCCTAACCTTCTCCAGGGACTCAGCGCTGGCCAGCAGGGCCTGCTCCAGCTCGCGGATGCGGCTCTCCAGCTTGTCAATCTCTTCGTTGCGCTCTCCCAACTCACGACTCAGCTGCTCTGAGCTGAGCAGCAGCTCACTGCACCAATCCGCCTTCTCCTTCAGCTGGGAGGTCAGCTGCTCCACCTGGTAGTGAGTAAGAGAGAGAAGAGAAACGAGGGGAGCGGGGAGAGAGAGAGAGAGAGAGAGACAGAGAGAGAAAGAGAGAGAGAGGGGATCGTTTAAAGAGATTCGCTCTCAGACACCACTCGCTACAGCATAGCTGGTACATGTACAGCTTGCTGGGAGGTCAGCTGATCCACCTGAGAAAGGAGGGGGCCAAGAGTAAAAAGAGGTGCAGGGACAGAGGGGAGAGAGAGATTTCATTCAGGGTGACACAAATCACAGAGCAGTACATTCACCAGGAGGACCGCTGGCAGGTAACTGATCCATCTGTGAGACGGGAAAACATCAGCAGATCAATGAAGGGGAGGAAGAAGAGTCCACAGGAGGGAGGTTTGTTTTGGATTATCTCAGAACTGGGGAAGAAATGTATATCTAGACGGTCAGCTGTTCTCCTGTAAAATTATGAATGTGAATGGCTGACCTTTTTTTATCCTTTTACTCAAAAAATGCCTTTTTAAGGATTCTTTGTCACAGAAAACTGAGTTTCTAATCAAAACAAAATGACACTGTAGTAAGGCAGACGAAATACACCCCCTCACTGGCAGCCCTTCATTAAATATTAATGTGACTAGATGGACTCTTCATCAGAGTACTTCGGCTGTGAAATCTATTTATATTTATTCACAGATGGAATTATAGTGAACTTTAGGGCGTCTTTCTATCCAATTTCTTGCTTGACATTCAGGAAAAACTTGGCTAGAGACATGCCAGTTTGTCATTTACCTCCAAAACATTAATGAGGCAAACAAACAGAGATAATTTCTGATTTGCTGCTATACAAATAAATTTGAATGAATAGAAACTGTTTTGCTGTTGAGTTTTAAACTGGGACATTGAAGGGAGAGACAAGAGGAAGGACAATGTGTTGAATTTCGCTTCCATATGAAGACATATACAGCAGAGAGGGATCAAACAGGAGAAAGGACAAGAGAGATGGACAGGCCATTAATTGCTACAGGGTTGGGCGGGATCACTAAAATGCACTAAATGCTCTCTGGGGGAGATTTGATTCTACATGTAGCTAGAAGCAATACCTTAAAGGTTACTCCATCCACCTGTAATAGCCACGGGAGAGAGAAGGCATAAAGGATCAGAGGATGGAGAGTTCAAGGGCAAGAAGGGGAAGAAAAAGCACTTAGTGATAAAAAATGAGTCTCTGGAAATTATAGAAATTGTCATGGCTATGTTTGGGGTATCTGAAATAAACAAGAAACCACAGAACTAATATCTAACTACAGTATAACATAAATCAAAGCTGGAATCACAAATTATATTATTCAAGTCTTTATCTAATTTATGAGGAAACATGGTTTGCTCTGGTCAGAACAACAAGCAGCCGAGGTGAATCGAGGACACTTCCGTTAAAAAGACCGTAAGGAAACTACAGAGAACAATATGATACCACTGAGCATTAAACTCATCTTTCCCCGGAGGGAATAAGAGACTTATCTTGTTTCAGATTGGGCCCCACAAATCATTGAATTTAACTGTTAAATGTCTTTATTATAAACAAAATGCCTTCACAATGAACAGAGTGGGCTGCTTTACTGGAAAATTACTTTGTTGTATGCAAAGATTTAATCGACTGGTTGGAGGACATAATTAGTGCTTCAAATGTGCTGCAATACAAGGACAACAGTGTTGATCAAAATTACATTTTCTCCTCGCTGAGAGTGAACTAGAGGCTTGTGAGTGGATAACAAATGACAGTTAGTGACTTGGGGGGCAGTGGAAGAAGATGTTAACACAACATGGATTTATTATAACTTTAAAAAGTTGATCTGGCAAATATGATTGCAGACAGTAGCACACCCACACATCCAGCAGATGCAGACCAACATTAGCATTAATTTAAAGAAGTGGAAATATTTGGCTGTTTAGCTGCTAAAATGCTCCATTATGTTCACCAGCTAGTTGCTAACAATCTGTCTGCTGTTCGGTGCTGCAGGATAGCGTACAGTAGGTTTATCTGAGCTTTTAAGAGACTGGAAACAAGGCTGATGAGAACAGAGAGTGAACCAAAGTTGTGGGCTGTAAATCCAAAACAAAGAGCTGAATTATTAAAACAACTCTGAGCTGAGGAGAACCGCAGAGTGAGAGGGTAATAATTCCCTATGGGTTCGTCACTATAAGCAACACCTTTCACATTATCCATCATCAGCTGATCCCGTATTGATGTAAAATATAAATAAATATTAATTAGTGTAACTTAAAAGCAAAATTTTAGAGTTTAGCCTGTAAACAGACAGCAGTTAGTGCTCAGCCATCAGTCTTGACGTGAAATTATGCCACACCAGAACAGTGAATAACATTAGCTAATCTTATGGACACCTCATTCCTACGGTATCGTGTATTCGAGTGTTCATGCGAATGAAACCCACTATTACACAATTTACAAAGGATCACAAGGACAAACATTAATCCCACTCTCACCCTTTAGTCTTTGTAACACTCTCATTATTTGGTGTCATTTTCGAAGCAGCACAGGTAATTCTACCAGCTCTATTGTTCTGCTGTGTGACTCTCAGTTCAGTGTTCATAGTCACAACAGTGTTTTGTTCAGAAAATAAGCATCTCTTTTAACTCCAGGGAACTTAGCTTTCTCCTGTTACCTCTTGGTTTCTTTGCTCAGAGCCAGCCTGGAGCTTCTGTGGATTCTTCAGCTGTTGTTCCAGTTTCTGGATCTCCTGCTGAAAGAAATCTCTCTCGTGTTCTCGATCCACAGCTTGTTCCTGGACGCAAAGATAAAGACGAGTTGCAGAGAGATACACAAATACAGAAGGTAATGTGAAAATATTAAATCAGATCTTCAGTTAAGTGGACTTAATTGCTTTATTTGCAAAGAGATCAACATTGTTTAATTATCAGAGGCTGTGGGAGCAAGTTTCTATGTATTCAACTTTCCTTTCCTTACAGTTTATTATCTAGATAATGTTGTGTAATGCTGAGTGACCATTGGCTCCACTTATGTAAGACAAATTATGTTCCTCCACTAAAACCTTGGCCTTAGATGATCAGAGAAAACATTTACAGTATCACATTAACCCTATTATGTTCTTCATGCCAAAGTAATTAATTACCACCTGCACGATTGACTGTCAAAACAGAAACCATTTTACTGCACACCACAGAAAAATAACAGTGTCTAGTTCTATTCCAAATAATTTAATTAGAAAATTACATAATTACAAATGTCTTTATAGAAAGAATCTGCACCATCACATATCAACTACGGGCCAAGTGGCCCAATTATGACAATGGGAACAACTCAGTAGACCCTGAGCCAAATACGAAATCATGAAGCCATTAGATTTGCTTTTAGATTGGTTGTCGAGTTTGAACCTAAATCTGTAATTAGAACTTCAAGCAGTTATCCTCAAATTAATGACAGAGAAACTTTATGAACCAACAATCTGCAAGTGGATCGGACAAAAAAATAATTTTGCAAAAGCTTTCTAAAAAAGGAAAATATTGAGCACCGGGACTGCAACTATCTCATTATTTATTAATCAAGAAACTAATCTGCAGATCAATCGATTAATAGTTTGGTCTGTACAATATGGAAAGTGTAACCCACAGCTGAAGGTGAGGTCTTCAAAAACCATTCTTTCGTCTGAACCAAAAATATTTTATTCACTTCACTGAAAGGACAATGAAACTAAGTGAAAACTTATTTAATCATATTATATATTACTTTCTCTATTTATCTGCACTTATTTTTGTCCTTCTGCTGCTGCTGCAACTGAATTTCCTCTCTGGTGATGAATAAAGACGTATCTCATATTGAATATTGAGAATACATGTTAAAAAAAAAAATCATAGATTAACAAAATTCTTGCCAATTTTCTGCCTACTGACCAAACATTTAATCTACAATGAGAACTGGTATAAGAATTTCATTCATGATTAAAGGCTTCCCAAAAGGAATAAAAACGTAATACTCTTATCACTGACGTCAGAGTATGTCTACATACATCGTCGTGGAGTAAAACTGCCTCAGATAAACTGCACTGCTATCATTTTCTTTGTCACTTACATCGAGAAACCTCCTGTTCTTCTCCAGTTGTTTCTCCAGAGCTTGGATCTGCTGTTGGAGGTCGCCGTTCTCGGTCCTCTGAGCGTGTTCCAGCTCGATCACCCTGTTGACCTGCTCCTCCAGCTCCGCCTCCAGCAGTTTCACCTGCTTCAGGAGGTCTGCATTCTCCTTCTCCGCCTGACGTTGGACCTCCACCTTCTCCTTCATCAGCTTCTCCGTTTCCTCCAGCAGGTCTACAGAATAGAGCGGAGGGAAGAGGAGCGGTTAGGTATCACTGCCTGTCAGTTAAAGGTGGCCAATTTAAGTTAATTATTCATTCAGGTTTGATTTCGGTGACAAACAGGATGCTGAGATGAAGCTACTGAAGAGTCTGAAGTCTGTGAGCCGTGTGATTAGATTTAACACAGATTTAGCTTTTTGCCAATCTTCTGGTAACTTTTACAGGTTTGTCTGGCTAACCTCAGACTCTTCCAACATCTCAGTCAACGTAATGCCCCGCTACCGAACATGATTCCCCATCATGATGTCTCGTTGCCCCTCCACTGCCACCAGTGAACGACCCACACCGGTTTACCCAGGATCAAACCCCGCAGGATTAGTACAAAAGTTGCAAGGTGAGAGAGTGCAAATGACAGAACAAACATGTGGACAGCCCATACATTGCGATATCCATGCCCAATAAGCATTAACAGGCAGGGGAGAGGGACTTCCTGAATAGCCAATCATCTCACTCACTCAAAGAAATGCTGTAAGCACAGCGTCTACAGAGCAAAAAATATATATAATCATTACAAAAAGATGCCTTAATTTAGAGCGTAGATGATTGACAATTAGGAAATAATGACTCCATAAAAGTGTCTGAAGATTACTTTCATTTCATCATGCTAAAATGAGTGCTAACACCGACTCCAAGACATTAAAAATGACAAACCAGGACAAAAATTAGTCAAAATGAAAAGCTGAAGCAAAACGTTAGTCATTGAACTGAGTGAATTTGTGAGCTCAAAGCAAGCAAGCTCCAAGCTTTATTGGTGAGTTGCTGGATTAGGGTTAGAGAGATGTGCTGTCACTCAGCTACAGTAGACAATCATAAGAACATATAGTAGATATGACTGAGCCATGCTCAAAGTGGACACACCTGCTTCAGGTGCTGCAACCATTGCAGCTTCAACTAGGCCTACAGGAGAATAAGAAAGCACAGGAATGTAACATGCTCTTATTTTTTTTTTTTTTTTTTCATGAACAGGAAAACTCTTGGAAAAAAAGAATAGAAAAGGGTGAAGACAGAATGGCAGTGCTTTTCTGTCGGATTCACTGTGATAGGTTAAGGCTGTAGAAAGGATGCTGTGAAAGGAAAAGGTTTCTGAAACAGCCCGTATGGTTTATACCCTTAGATACAGAATACTCACCAATTTATCAGAGAATGTGCTCATGGGATATCTTTCTGATAATACAGCATATAAAATTAGCAGATACAGTTATGCTTCCAGAGCACTTCTTGGCAAATAAATGTATGACGTGTGGCACAATTACCGGTAGCAAGTGTTAAAGGAATGTAGATAAAGAGTTGCCTCAGTGTTGTTACACTGAAAAAAAACTTTCTAAAAATAAACATTTATTGACTTTTTGACTCTTGGTCTCAATTCCGGTTGCTGGCAATGCAGCACAATCACGGCTCATACATTTTTTATGTAATTTTATTAGACCACAGCTATAAAATAAATCACTATGAGTTCTGTGCACCTTTCAATCAGAGCTGTAGCCCTTTCCCAGAAAGCAGTATAGATCCAGATCTAGGTATTGTGTACTGTCAATATACAGTGATAACAACTGCTGTATGACACGCAGTTGCGACTCTGGGTTAATAATTCACAACAAATCTACCTGTCCCGTGTAATTCAACAAGCAATTTATGCTTTAATGAAGGTGACCTTCATCTAACACAACCATAACAAACAGTGACTTTAAACTTGAACCTTGATAAAAGATGATGTCTAGAATAAAGTTCAACCTACACTTAATGTTCAATAAATTAATCGACTGGTATTTTACTTTCAACTGTAACAATGATAACTTCCGGCAAGTGGGTTATTAAAAATCTGTGTGTATTTTTTCCCCTCTTTGGTGAGGGCATTCTGGGATACGTACGAAGCTCGCGGGGCCCGGCGTGCTCCCTCATGGCGTCCTGTTGCCGTGCCAGCAACTCCCGCTCCTCCTGCATCTGAAACCTCTCGTGTTCCAACTCGTGCAGTCGGCTACCTGTCACCTGCATGGAGAAATTATATATGTTATCACTTAAAAGTTTTTGTGCTCACATTAATGCCAGTGGAAGTTCAGAACTCTTCAGCTATGGAATCAGCAGAGCGTTGGCGACTTTTACGCACCATGCACCTTAGCAGTTGTTGACCCCGCTCTGTGATTTTACGTAGTCTTCCGCTTCGTGGCTGAGTTGCTGTTGTTCCTAAACGCTTCCACTTTCTAATAATATCACTTACAGTTGACCATGGAATATCCAGCAGGGATTAAATTTCACAAACCGTCCTATCACAGTACCACGCTTGAAGTCACTGAGCTCTTCAGAATGACCCATTTTGCATCACAAATGTTTGCAAATGGAGACTGCATGGCTAGGTGCTTGACTTTATACACCTGTGGCAAGGGGTCTGATTGAAACACCTGAATTCAATAATTAACAGGTGTGGCCAAATACTTTTGTCCATATAGTGTATATCTCACCTTTTATTGTATATGTAGACATTTTTTTTCTTTGGATTCAACCTTGTACTTACATGCAAGTCTCTGCGCCAGAAGCAAGATTCAACAATCTACCTTTAAACGATGTCAAGTCATGTGCTATCTCACCAAAAAGGTAATTATTTTTCCTCCACTCTGCAGCTGGAATGCCTCACCTGCAGTTCTTGCTCGAGGCTCAGCTGGAGCTCTTCCTTCTGACGCAACTGATCCTCCAACACAGCCCGTTCACCCGTGTATCCATCAATCAGACCTGAATGTGGACAAAGCAAGAGGGCAGTTATAAAGGGCGCTGAAATAGAAATTTCACTTCCATTTCAGTTTTTGTGTTTTTCGTACCCTCCCATTCGTGCAATCACTCAAAAGAAGAATTAACAGGAATTACTTTGAGCCTAGTTTAAGTCTCTCACACACACACACACACACACACACACACACACACACACACACACACACACACACACACACACACACACACACACACACACACACACACACACACACACACACACACACACACACACACACACAGGCAACCATCCAGATGAACCAGCACTTAGCAGCGGGATACAAAATCCAAGGTTACAGACAACACAACAGCTAACAAAAACATACATACATAGATGCAGAGGCACACAAACACGCATACAAATGCAGAGGACGAACACAAGTGAGCGTGTCTGACCTATTTTGCTTGACATGAAGTACAAGACTGAGCTGTAAACACAATGAAATGCTCCATCATTACTGTACTGCTCTGTCACAGGTCAGCAAGCATGAAGCACCGGGATGGTATTCAGTTCATACGAGGAAAGTAGGTACGCACACACTAACAGACCATTCATTAATTTACAGTAGCTGGAAGTGTAGAATGAGACATGTTTGAAGGTATATTGTGCTTTTTTTTAAATTTGTAGCTCACATGTAGCTCATGTGTGTTATTTAAAACTGAGACAGGCAGAAGGTAAATGTCACCTGTGCTATCAGGACATAGTTGTTATTACAGACCAGCTAGCAGGATCCGAAGCGGTGTATAAAGTTTGCCTAAGGATGGATACGCAGCCATCAGATGCACATGATTACTGGCTGCTGATTGACTACACGGAGCTCCGTTGGGAATCTATAATAACATTTACTCTGCAACACAAATTCCCAAATCTTTATATATTGTCCAACTTAGCCCTTTTTCCCTTGTTAAAACATAACAAAAGCATCCTGTTCAGTGTATTTACTGACATACAATACGTTCCTTCAATCAGTGAAGAAGATCTTTTTTCCAGGTTGAGCCTGTCTCTTAATTCAAAACCAGTTTAAAAAAGGCCGCACCCAGAGCTTTTACCTGCGTGGATCATCCACACAATAGAAGGAGAATAATTTCTCTTTCACTTCATTGGCATTTGCACAAATAGATGTCCACGAGACACAGGCTTAGCAGACATCAAACACTCCCTAAAAGTTAATGAAGAATAGGCATGCAAACATGAGCAGGCAGGCACAGCCTAAAACTCATTTAGATTATAATGACAGGTTGACAGTTTGGGGTGTAACATTTATTGTCTATCAGAGCCAAAACAATTAGTCTATTAATCCATTAGTTGATCAACCGAAAGTTAACTATCATACAATAATTATGATAGTTAACGAGGCAACTATTGACTAATCGTTTCAGTAATTTGTCAAGCAAAGATATTAAATACTCTCTAGTTTCAGCTTCTAAAATGTGAGGATTTGCTGATTTGTCTGAGCTGTTGGTCGAACAAAAACAAGCAAATTGAAGACATCACATTTTTACTGACAGATACATTAGGTAATCAAGAAAATAACCTACAGATGAATTAATAATGAAGATAACTGTTAGTTGCAGCCCTTTTCTCTACAATGTTCTGTTATTTTCTATAGCTTGCCACATGTTCTCCCTCTTTGATGGTCTACTCTAGCCTATAAAATTCTAAAGCTTTTTTATGAGAGCAAATATTTGCCATTCTTCAGGACCTCTATTAGAATTATAGAAAACAAACAGGATACTCAAGTAAAAGACAATATAAGATTACAAAGAGCTATAAACTCACCATTGTTCAGTGTGTACACAAAGCCAGAAAGACATGACTGAGGTACTGTACATTTGCCAACTTGTGTGAGGGACCTAAAATCAGCCGAGTCGACTGGGTTTGGTATGTAAGAGAAAGAGGATGTGGTTGCAACAGTTGCCCCTCGAGGACCAGCTGTCTGTGACATGGATGGGACATCGAGCTAGCTTCACTCCCAACATTATCTGTCACAGTACTTAAACTGGTGTCAAAGATTGGCCACTGACTTCCTGATTAATCAAGGTTAATAGATTTTAATTTGTTCTCACCTCCAAACACAAACCCTCATTATTTAGTTGTCAAACACGCAATCAGACGTTCAAAGATAAAAATCAGAGACAATCTGACAAACAGAAATGACCATTTGTCAATTTCTCACCACAGATGGTCTCACACTCCTTTACTCTCCCTTTCAAACAGCTGATCCCATTACTCCCTGTAACACCCCCTCCCCCAGACACATCCACACATGCATTTTCACTCCAGTGCCTTATGCTCTCTGTTTTCTGTAATTACTCTGACATACAGACAAACAATGTCACATCATCAATTAGAGTCCGTACAGAAAAAGCGAGTGCTTTATTTCTTCCTATATAGATGCTGCATTGAAGAAGATGGCTTTTAGAAGTTGCAAACAGTGAATAACAAATAAAAACGAACCTACATTTATATCAAACTAAGCTATGTCAGAGAAAACTCACTATTTTACGATGATCCTAATTCCTAAATGTTCATGTTGACGTTATCCAGAGGAACTCACCCTCAGCCCGGTGAAGTTCCAGAGCCAGCTGCTCGCGTGCCCGGGCCTCCTCAGTCAACCTCTCCTGCAGCTCCTCCTGCTTCTGCAGCAGCTCGTTCATCTCCTGGTTGTGGCGGAAGGACTCCCGCATCAGCTCAGTCTGGGTCATCCGGGCATGTTCGAGCTGAGAGAGGAAGAGGAAAGAGACGGTGTCATATGGGCAGAAGAGTTAGGAAGGAGGACTGGTCTACAATAAATAAGTTCACAATAAGACACATTAAATATGAATGTGTGCCCTAAAGGGACACTCCACTGATTTTACACATTACTCATGATGAGGAGATTAATTTTAGTGGCTGACGTGTCATCAGGGTTATCTTGGCTTGGGTTCAAGAGTCAAGATTTTTAACAGAAAGCCTGTGTTATAAATTAGAGATGATGGGTTTTAAAAGAGATGGACATTCAGGAGGCATATAATGAAAGATGCTAATAAACTGTATCACGGGAAGTGTAGGATCCAGTATTTTTTGCTGGGCTTTTATTGCCTTTAATGGATACTGACAGGTGACAAGTGACAGGAAAGTGAGGAGAGAGAGAGGAAAAGGCCACAGGTCGGACTCAAACCCTGGGCCCCCTGTAGCAAGGACCCAGCCTTGATACACGTGGCACCAGGCGAGCTATCTGGACGACCCCTGCTTTATTGATTATGACCTATCTTTTATAATTAATTCTCCATCACTGGTATGCAGCCACACTCCACACTGGACTACTGTATGACATGGGAAAGGGTAAAAGAAACTTTTCTTTTTGAAATGGAGCTGGGTTACAATTGAAATATATTGCTTTCAGTTGAATCATATATTAACAATTGATCATATTACTGCATTACAAATTCCTGTTGTCCACATTCAGAATAATAGAGTTGAAATTAAAATCTAACAAAACAAAGTTCTTTTTTTCTACATATAAAACCTTCAAGCTCACATAATGCATAACAGTTCATTCCTGTCCATTTGAGACTTTTACACATCATTTTTACATGTTGCATACTTACTGAATGCAGAGAATTTTATTTTTATTATCAAAATATTTATTTCAACTGTATCTTCTGGACCATTTTGGAAGTTTATACACTTAATATGAGGTAGATAAGTTAAAAGGTTGTGTGTAACATTCAGGAGGATCTATTGACAAACATATAAGAATTGTTTTGTACAATACAAAAGTACACTGGAAATGAACAAATAAGGCAACTAGTACAAAAGTAAACAATAAAATTAGGTTAGATAATGATATAACTTTTGTATAATGACCTCCTGGTCAGGGGAGAGGAAGCATCTTTTCCTTATGGCACAGCTATGAAATCATTATAATGTAATAACCCTTCACATTCACATTCACATTCACATTCACATTCATACCGCATATTTCCATATCTCTCTGAGCAAAGGTCTTATTGTAACATTATGGTAACCAGGAAGTGGTAACTTGACCCTGCCACATAGAAGTCATATAATCTTTCACCTACTCTTTGAAAAGCAGCACACAGAGCCTCTGTGCTCCTACGTGGAACGACATTTAACTTGCATCACATCCGCATGTGCGGACCTGAACTACATTAAACAGCCTGTGAAATTGTTCTTATAAAATATTAAGCAACAGCACAGTTCTCTCTATCCAATGTACAGACTGAATTAAGGCAAACCCAGTCTTGATGTATAATTTACAATGTGGGTTAGCAGGTGAAACTTACTGTATAAGGAGGAGTGGGCAGGGAGATTTTGGAGATAACCTTGAGAAGGTGACCATTAGTCCTGTGATTGACATGCGAGATTTGGGTCTGCACCACCACAGCATTTTTCTCGTTCAAGGTGCTGCATAGTGGGAAAGGTCGGGGAAGGGGTACACGAGATTCCACCTCGTACACATCCTGGTCCTCCCCTTCCATCCAAGTCTTGCTCGGCATGCTCGCGTTCCAGTAAGAGCGGTAGGAATCCATGGTAAGGGATGGATGGATGAAGGGAGAACTTCCAACCTCAGTTTGTTACGTCGCAGCTGCTTTTCTGGAGTCATCAAAAGAGGTGTCCATGCGCTATGATCCGTCAGGCTGAGCTGTGCAACCGCAAATGAGAATAAAGTCCAGTGGGGAATAAAGTAGTGAGCAGCGTTGTGGGTAGCTCCAAGCAACAGTTTCTATGTGTTTGCCTCACACACAAGAAGAGTAAACAACATTCGGAGAGGTTGACATTCACGTCATCTCAATCACATTCTGCCTGGTGGAGGCAGAACAAGCTCCAGGTAAATATTCAGAGAAAATCATCTGGTAACTGTGAGAATTTCTACCGTCCGATTAAAAAGTGTCATCCTCGGCAGCAGGTGGAAGTCTCATCTTGGTCCAACAGCTTAAAAAGCATTCCTGACCATAACCACAGGAGGTGGTTAAACACAAAGGCAAGCATTTCTTCTCTTCTTGTCCTCTTTGAAGATCTCCAGCCCGCTCTCTGTTCTCTCTGACCTTCTTTCTTCACATTAAAACCATATCATGCCGCTCGGTGAAGCTCACACCCCCACGTCTGCTCCAGCTTGCTCTCCTCTCTCGCTGCGCTCTCTCTCTCTCTCTCTCTGGAGATTCATTAACAATACTATGCGGCCGTAGCAACCCCGACCTGTGGGGGAAGCCTCCCAGGGGCCCCTTTTAATTGTTAAGTCTGAGCGGCAGCCCGCAGAGGTTGAAATGACAGCGTTAGTATCTCAAGTCTTCCACTCTTTCCTTTTGACTTCCTTCTGGGATTGCTGTCATTCCCTCTCTACGCATGCTCCCGTGCCCATAGCACAATATTACTCACTGTAGCCAGATCTCTCTCCTGTCAGACGAGATTTACTAACCTAGGCAGACTACTGTTACTATGTTACACTCACTCTGCCTCTATTTACTTATCCATCTCAAAAAAATTAAATAAAAACATTAAATCCCAGACTTCCAGGGCAGTTTCCAACACTCAAGACGAGAGGATTTTTCTTCCACTTCCTACATTGATCGCACAGAGCAGGATACTGTTCAGAAAATGTGGGAGGGAAGCAGGTGTGGCTTCAGTCTTAACAGCCAGTGGGCCAGGTAGGTTTGCATATAGATCACACGCTCTCCCCAAACACACACACACACACACACACACACACACACACAAATAACTCTTAGACAGCCATGCCCTTCCCACAAAAAGTTGTCAAACTGGATTCCCGTCCTACGTAGCCACAGAAAAAGAGCAATTAAGGCGTTGTGACACGCTGCTTCTTGATCCCACCTACTGTCTCTGTTAGGCATGTCAACCGTCATACTGACTGCACATGAACAATTTCCACGACTCACCGGCAGATAATGGGGGTGAGCAATGAGTGAGCAAACAGCTTCCACAGGCAAATTATTTACAGCAGTAGTTTAACAAAGACACTTAAGATTCCTGACCGGCTTGTTACATCAATCTTTGTTCACGACGCTGCTTCACAGGCAAGGCATGATGATCCAGCACCGATCACAGACAAGACTAATGTGTTTCAGATCAATAGCAGCAGGAAAATCATTGAAGAAACCATTAGAGGCTTTGTTGATTACAAGTTTACTGTGCTGTTAATTGTGTGTACTTAGAGGAGACGTAAACAGTGTAACATGGAAACTGCTGGAAACTGCAACTGGGGTTGAAGCGGTATACCAATACCATGGTACCAATACCAATACCATGGTATACCGTGTACATTTGTCTACCTACGGTATTGAATTCTACCATATTACTGTAGTATTATTTTTAAAAAATGGACTAAGCCTATGTTCAACTACCATCCTTTAATGGTAATTGTAACTGAAACCTACAAATTTCCTGGTATTTTTGCTTAAAAAATGTGTTAAACACTTTATTATTATCAAAAGCTATTCTTTACTATTATGACAACCCTCTGTTAGTGGGGCAAATCACAATTTCTTGAGTTTGTGACACTGTGGTATTAAAAATGAACAGTATATGTATTGTAGTATATGTAAAATAATACGTGTGGAAAAACCACCAAGAAGATGCCAGAGAAAATGATAGAGGGTGTATTGTAATCAAAATGTAGCAAATACATTGCAGCCTTTAAAAAAACCCAAAGATGTAAATGATTCAATAGATAACACTCAACCAACATGCACTCTGTGGTGGAGATGGATGCTGGACTGAAATTTCTTTAAAGCTATTTTTAGATCGCCAAGATAAAACCCATCTCAGCGTGAGTAAAGCATGAATTTCAGCCAACGGGAAGATGTGCTGTGCAGTCAGTTACAGTAACACATTCAATGGCCTAGTTACACTGGCCTCGTCTCTCTGGGCTGACACTGCACACAGCGGGGGCACTACATGGACGGCCTGAGGGTGGGGGGGGGGGGGGGGGGGAGGAGGGGAGGAGTTACTCTGTCCGACTGGACCATGATTGGCCGATCGACCACACAAAAGCTCGGTGTAAATACAGCTCGTATCTATAGGCAACCAGAGGGAATGAGGCAGCTCTTTTGTGTGTGAATTCTAGACAGGCCAACTTTGTTGCTGGCCACATTCTGCAGTCTCATCCCCATTATGCCTCCATGAACAGGCGTAGAAACCCACAGAGGGGGTTAACAGTGTCGAGTGTGAGTATTTAAATGTTCTGACAAAGCCTAAATGTGTCACTAGAGCTTTCTGTTCATTGGTCACTTTGAAGCGCACACACACACACAAACACACAAACACACAAACACACACACACACACACACACACACACACACACACACACACACACACACACACACACACACACACACACACACACACACACAGAGGACTGTTTATGAAGGAAACGTTTGCATCAAATGTTTGGTCAGATTTTTTTAATTAATAATTTTTTACCCTAATCAACGTAAATCAGGAAACTTTGCTTTCTTAAGATGATTTTAACAAACAAAATAATTTTTTTTAAAAAGGTATAGGTTCAACATTTTTGTTAAGCTAACCGGCAGCTGGTTCTAGCTACATATTTACCATAAAAGTTAAACTATTCCTTTAACACTGATGCATCTAGCAGTTTGAAAACATGTTTATGTTCCTCAAACTAAGGTATTGTAATAAACTAAAACTAAATTAAACCTTTGTACTGACAGCTATGTGAAATTTTCAAAAGGCTACCCAGCCCTGCTATGAACTATTGAATTATTTTGTTCCTTTCATGCCTTGCCTTATAATTCAGACTGAATTGCCATTTTGTTTGATTTCATTCATTATTTTTATTTTTATTGTCTACTTGAATCACTGAACCCATCTCAGATGTGGGTGATGATTCAGATGTCTGGAACAAGACTAACTCAAGCCAATTTATTTGACATTATATAGTATAAAATATAGCAGAATATTTCAGACCCACTAACTGTTTACAAGACAACTAAATACAGTTTACCCCCTTAGATAAAACACTACAAGTTTCTTAGTGGGCAGAAGGTGCCATACGCAGTAAGACAAAACAATACTACAACAACCATAAAAATGGTACCTGGTTGGTGGTGTCGGTGATGGCCATCAACATCTTCTCCAGAGCAGTTTGGAGTCGGCTGCTGATGCCCATCAGATATTCCTCGTTCTCTAGTTGTGTCCCCGCCCCCAGCAGCAGGCTTTCCATCATCTGCTGGGACACCTCCAGACCCTCGTCAGCCTCCGTTTCCCCGGACCACAAACTCACATTGTCTGTGCCAGTCTCACTGCCTGGGAAACTTTCTGCAGAGTGACCTGGTATGACCAGAGAGCAGAAACATGTCACACTCAAACCTGATGCATATTACACTATCAACAGATTTCAGTTCACTGCAATATGTTGTTTATTACAGCTTCCTGAAGACAACTGCACACCTGTACGCTCAAACTTAAAGTAAACCAATAATATTGTGAAAGAATATTCAGCATAATCATGTAAAATGCTGCTAAGATAGTAAAGTAGCATGATGAAATAAATCAATGTAAAGCTTGGTGCAGGACAAGTACAAAATGTTAGTGAAGTGTAGTTCATATTCATAATGGAACAGGAGAAAAAGCAGTGCTAAATACATAACCATAAGAAGGGTGTAGGCGCAGACATCATCCGGATCAAATGAGTACGCTGCACTCACATGACTGAGCCTTTAAGCTAGTTTACATGACGTGATCTGCATTTATTCACTCAACTTTGCAACCTCATTCACGTTCACATTGTCAGAGGAATATCACGACAGCAGCAGTCAGAAGGATGGGTCACACATGAAAACATTTTCATGTCGGAACAACGTTGACATGCAGACACATCACGGTCTACGATTTTCAGGAGAAAAAAATTGATCCGTGCAATCGAAACAAAACTGACACATCAGATTATAACACATATTGTTGACGCGATGCATGAAACAGCTACAGTCCTGTAGTCTCTGTGTGAGTCATACAGCTCTATGGCATGATGCTAAATGTAGGCTGCAATCGCACCGCTGAACATCATTTGAAAGTTTTTACATAAAAACATGTGATTAGATTAGAGAAGGGATGCCACAAACTGTCTTGCAGGTATGTAATTTGACAAGCACCAACCATAATTTTAATATTCAAAGAGCTGCACGTGCAGTGAAGCAGAAAAACTGGCTTTTTGAGAAAACTTGTGTATTATAAAATGAGTGTTTACTGTAAAGTATGCAGCAGAAAGTTCTGAAACAGAACTTTCAGAATTTATATTCACTTAAAAAGAAAGAAAAACAGAAAGACAGGGTCTAATGACATCCATTGATCCACAGGGGGGCGACCCTTCCAGTGAGCTATACTGTAGTTTAGTGATTAATATGAGTAGCTATGGTTTTGTTTTGGTATCAAGTGTTAGGATTAGCTTGTTTAACATGAGACTTTGTTGTCTTTAGCTCCCATGGAGTTATCGCCTTCAGTTATAATGAACTATTCAGAGCGAATCTGATATTTTTCTGACGTCTGAATTACAGGACAAACAGCCCATGTTGTTATTTGCATGTTATCACGTTGAATTTGTGTGTGACAACTGTACGAAGAAAAATCTCCAGGCTAGATGAAGAAAGAGAGGAGCATCCACTCTTTGTTTATGCACTAGCATTATGTAGTCATGGTGCAGTATTGCTCTGTAGCACCAGACTATATTATCAGCAGAGGAGGTAAGCTTAAATTGCAGTCCCAGCTGCCTGCAACACTGTGGATGGCGCATCAGTGCTGTGTGGCAAGTTGAATTCTCAAACACATTTAAAATTTAAATCTAGAAGCCCATTTAAAAACAGATTAAAACTTCAATAAATGTGATTTAAAACAGATTTGCACCAAATGTTTTTGTTATTCAGACTTAATTAATGCAAACTAATTCTAAGCTCCATAAAATGCCACAAGCTGGATTTGGGATGCCAGACTGAGGATAGCCCCAGAAACTGCAAAGCAGAGAAATATTCCAATATATTATTTCCAATACTGAGTTGTTGTGTAGTGAGCATAATAATACACATGATTTTGTAGATTTTCTAATCTGTTTTCTGATATAGTTGCCTGCTTTCTACACTACTAATCTCTCCTCCAGCCAACTACCAACATCTGAACCAACCTATTTGGGTAGGTGGGCTGTGAAACCTGTTGGCTAAACGTAGGCACCGGCATTATTATTACTACTTATGACCTGATGTTACTTGCCTGCAGCAAAAGGTCTATTGGGCTCTGTGTTAGCTCTCTGTGTAGTGGAGGCGGGCAGTGTAGCCTGCTGAGCTCCACTGGAAGCAGACAGACTCTGTATGTGGAGGCCTATCGTTTCCTCCGCCGCTGCCGTCGTCTTCAGGACGTCAACCAGCACCTGACTAAGTTTCTCATTGGCCTGGCGCAAGATGTTTCTGAAAGCAGCAAAAGAGGTTACGTTAATAGCAACCACAGTAAAGAAGAGTTTCTTGCTCTAGATATCTGTAGTGTTATCCAATCAGAAAAAACTGTTCACTAAAATAAAGGGCACACACACTTGTGTCTACTTTAAGAAACAAACATGCAACAGGTTATCATTAACTTTGTGGAGCATCTCTGTGCTCAAAGTTGATTTAATATTTAGGAAACAGTATGAACACAGTTTTTGTCTCTACCTTTCAGTGTCCTTATCGGAGGAATCTCCATCATCCTGCAACGACAATTTGCCTCCACCAGCCTGTTTTATTCCCGGCCCCCCTGGATCTTCCTCTTCCTCAACTTCTTCTTGCACATCTTCTCTCTTCTTTAAGGCCTGAACAGGCAGGAGAGAGAACACAGACAGCAGCCCCGTCATTGCAAAGTTGCAGTTGGATAAACAGACTCTGAAAACTCTGGACAGCAAATGACAGAGTGGCTGTGTGCACAACCATTAGTAAAAGTGAATTCAAATAAGGCGCAGTGAGGCGCACGTATACACACTGCCCTTGTACGAGCACAGAGACACACACAAACACAAAGGCGCACTTCTAACTCCCTTAGAGCCGAGAGAAACACTAGTATCTTTGTGCTGCTATGGCAACAGGTGCACCTGAGGTACAGCGACCCGCAGAGGCAATAGCTCCACCTCCTGGAAGAACAGCAGAAATACAGCTCTGCATCTCCAGTCACTTCACTCCCAGACACTGGACTGTGAAGAGACTGCAGATGAGTGAGACTGGCACTGGTTTTCAGTCAAAGAATCACTTCTTTAGAAAGATGAGAGGAAATGTTTTGAATGATACGGTTTTATAGTAACACACAATATAAAGTTAAAGAGGTTTTTTTCATGTTTTTGAGACAGAAATGTTTCTGATCATTATTTATAGTAAAAGAGGCTTCTCATATTATACATATTATATTTCTTGTATATATTTTAAGTTACATAAACATGGTATAAAGCCTGAGTTTACCAACCAAATAATTATTTATGGCTCTATAATATTAGCTAAAGAAAGCTGTGACATTAAACTGCATGCAAACATATACAAATATCAATTGATGTTTTATAATTTGTAATCTCATCACTCAACTTCTTTTGTAAACTTGAGAATTTAAACCTAAAATGTCAAAATGTTTATAATCTAGAGCTGCTTCATCCTTATGGGCCTAGTGTACGTCTGTATATAAGCTTTTATCTTTTAATAAAAGATTCTTCTGGCTTTCAATGTCACATTTATCAACCTTCACAGTTTATTTACTATGGATCAACTCTACAATATTTATAGAAATTAGATAATTTAGGAGAAAATAACATAATGCATGTAAACATCTCAATTGAGTGTTGTACAGAGGCATTTTTCTCATCATTAAATCTCATCTGAACCAATTACTGAAGCTTAAGAACTTTTTTTAAAAAACTAAAATATCATTACTGAATCAGTGTGTTGGAGCAACTCATCTCACAAAGAAAACTGAAGCTGACAGCCACTGCTATCACACAGTTAAAGCCTAATCATGCAATAAATGGTTAGTGAAAGCCTCGCAGGCCCTAGGATTAGCTCTTCAAAGCACGAGGAGTGATTTTAAACAGAATTCCAAATCAACATGAAGAAGCCAATGTGTGCGGAGTAGATCGTCGAGAAAGTATGCATCTAAAATGTTATTCTTTGACAACAGTGGATAAATATGCTTTACCTTAAATAACTTAAGCTGTAGTGAGAGACCCTGACAAACTATTTTACCTCTGATGTTGGTAGTGGTTGTGTGTGTGTGTGTGTGTGTGTGTGTGTGTGTGTGTGTGTGTGTGTGTGTGTGTGTGTGTGTGTGATAAGATTATCTACTTAAAAAGGAGGGTTTTGGTTAAATACTGGTTAAACAATATTATAGAAGACTAGAATAGGGCACATAGAAAAAAAAACATCCCACTCACATACTGCATTAATAAAGGTGCAAATTGCACAAACATGTTGCTGCACAGTTTTACATCCTGGTTCAGACACAATAAGATCAAACTGCTTCAACCACATTATTAATTGTAGTAATTTAAACAAATACTTTCATTTCAGTAACAAAAGAGAGACAAAATCACAGTGAGCAGGTAAAAAGCAGTGAAGAATATTACTTTAGGCATACATAATCAACGATAGAGCAGTCAATGCAACACCTGCATTGCGACACAGTGCATCTGAAAATTAATGACACAGCAGTAATAAATTCTCTCAGATGAAATTAATGAAATTTGTGAATTGTGGTGAAAGTGGAGAGTAAATCAACACAATACATGTGACAGCTCAGTTAGTGACACCAACCTGAACAGGTCCAGATTCGTTTTTCTGCAGCTCCTCTTTTAACTTTCTGATCTCTGCGTTCCTCTCCTCCAGCTCCCTCTCCAGTCTCTCCTTCTCCACTTCCTCCAGCCAGGCGCCTGGGGTAAGGGAAGCCCCAGGAGTCCGCTCCTCGGTCTCCTTCTCCTCCACCTCCTCTTCGTCCGACTGGGTTTGCATGGAGGTGCACCTCTGGCAGGCACGCTTGTTGATTCGAGCCAACTCCGTCTGCTGTGCAAACTCCACAGACATCTGAACTATGGCCTGAAAATATGGATCCAAAGATAATGTGTCTTAGGACTTAATTTGATGCAGAGACACAGAGATCTAAAAGTGCTGCTACAATGTTATTATCAATTTTACAGGATAACTTTCCCCAATTATAAAGGTTTTTTATACAGGTTGGAGGGATGAATCTAACAATTATTACATTATTCTGCTGATTATTTTCTTTTAACTATAAAACATTAGACAAAAGGGAAAATGCACTTTTCCGAAGCCCAGGTGACATCTTTAAATGTCTTGTTTTGTCCGACCTGCAGTCCACAATTTGATTAATTGATGACTGATTCATCGACTATTAATCTAAACTGTGTTCTTTCATATCAATCAAACTGAAACATCAAATATTTGGTCACCTACCTTGGCAACTTCCTCCTCCACTCTCTCCCAGTCTTGTCTCTCTTCCAAGGCGACTTGCCCCACTGCCCCGAGGCTCTCAATTGAGCTTCCAGTGCCGTTAATACCGTTGAGATCCTGCTCCTTCTCTCCTCTCCCTCCCTGACACTCCTCTCTTTTCCACTCTGGTTCCCTTTCTTCTCTCAGTTTCCTCAGCTCCCTGTTGTGCTGCTCTTTGAGAGCAGCTACTTCTTGGACATACTTGTGGTAGAGAGCCTTCCTCAGTGCCTGCAGCTGTGCTGTCAGGCCTGCAGACCTGGTAGGGTAGCGCAACTCCACACCTTCCTCTGACAAATCCCCCTCACCCAGGTCCTGTGAAGAGTGGAAGAAAGAAGAAAATAGGAATTTACAAAAATTACAACTAATGTACCAGATAACAGCAACTGTGGTGTCTTAAAATGAGACAAAAAACAAAATATGAAGTTCAGGACAATAAAAGTTCCTCAAGACTGTTCCTGAAATAAACATGTTCTCTTTACTGTAGCTAAACCCCTCCCACCCTTTAACCACTGTTAAATACACATTGTTCTCTCCATCCTCCCGGGATGATGAAGCGATAAAGAGACGTTTTGCGTTACATTACAGACACACTTTGCCCTAACATACTAGCACTCTGTCTCAAGATGAATCCACGTCTTGTCTGTTTCACAGTCATTCAGCTTCTTCAGAACCACTCGCCTCAACCCTAAATTTCCCTTACAAACATACAATCTCTTATAGTGTATCATGCCCTAAATCTATTGCAGTGTCTCTCCCATTCTCACTCTTCTTGTGCGTTTGTCAATCTTCTACTCTCCTTTCTTCCTCTCTGATCTCTGCACAGAGATGCAAGAGTCACAATCATACGAGCAGTGGGAGCTTTGACGTTGGAGTGAGAGAAAGACAAACTAAGTCACGATGGAAGTTGGAGTGACGTGAGTGAGAGATGAGGCTTAAATGGAGAGCAGCTCATTCACGCAAGACAGGATCCTCCTTTCATGCAGCCGCCGAGACGTAGAGTACGTCCGCAACGCACTAAAATGGCAGGTTATGCAACGTCCAAACATTTTAATCGTTAAGATATAGGGCTGTTCATGATGCTGCCTCTGAAGCAAAGCTGGGGATTTAGGGCACATTTTAGCCTAAAGGCTGCAACTGCCCTCCTCCCGCCCACCCTCACTGTCATAGCGTCTTAATGCATGTACACGTTTCAGCTCGTAGTAAGATGTGATGTATGTGACATGGAAGATTTAGATGAGGGCAAAATGAAGCAGCCAAACCTTTAATAGTTCCTCTCCGTGCTCCTCCATCCTCTCAGAGCTGGACTCCGTAACACTGGACAGGCAGAAAGAGAAAGTGTCAAAATGAATTGTTCTACAAGCTCAAATCATTTTAAAAGTTTGATATGGTTTAATCTATATTATATGTTTCTCTTTACAATTACTTACCTGGTAGCCAGAAGTGCTTTATTACTATTTTACAGGTAAGTATAAATGTAGGTTATTAAAATGTACTGATAAGGAACATGAAGCTGCTGTTACAAGTACTAAGGAAAAAACAAACTAATGATTGATTCTCGATTAATGGATTAATCGTTTATCTATACATTTTTCAAAAATAGATTATAAAATATCCAAGGTGGCGTCTTCAAATTACTTGTTTTGTTCAACCAATACTCCAAAATATATTCAGTTTAATGACAAATCCTCACATCTGAGAAGCTGAAATGAAAGTTTATGTTTCGATGTTATGTTTATGTTACTGTCCTATCTAGAGCCAGCGTTTGTCTGTTATTGCGGACTCCATGGAAGGCAGCCTGCAGCATCTGTAGATATAAAAGGCTCATTCTAAGGTAACAAAATCATAACAATTATTATTTTCATGTGATTATAAACTGATGAAAACATAGTTATTATGTGTGCATAAACACCAGTAGGTCATAGATATGAGAGGTTTCTAGATAGCAGAGTTTAACAATACAGGCTTACATTATGTGCAATTATGTTATTTATATCTTAACAATTTCCTTGCAATTTCAGTGACCAACTTCAGTAACCTTCTATAATTCACGTTCATCTTGTTTTCTGTGTAGAACATTAGTGGTCATCACTTCCCTCAGGAAGACATCTAGAATGGCTGAAAAGGTACCTTTATAGGTTAGTGGGCTAACAAAAGGAATGAATAAAGCTTTAAACAACACAATATGAATATTTCATTAGTTAAGGCTTTGTTGTTGTCAACTGAACTGGGTCAGGTAGCTTCCACGTGCTACACAGGATGTGCAGACCAGCTCCTATTAGATTTTATCTGTAGAAGATCAGTAGCTCAGTTTGCGGTTCTTCTAACAAATGCACTGCATCAATTATTCAAGTGAAGAGTAACAATTAACATTACTGTTTATGGGTGGACACTGAAAGAATCCAGTGATCATGCCCCTTAAATGCTGAACAGCCACAACTGATAATATTTGCAGTGACATCCATTCATGTGAACGCCATGCATGCCTGTTGTGGAACGTCTGGCTTTTTATTTCGGTGGACATGTTAAATGCAATAAGAATCTGTTCATAGTCACATTAACGTTATAACAGCAACATATTCACGAGTTTCAATGTTTATATCTGGAGAATACAGATTTAACAAATTACAGAAAACAATATAACTTCTTTTTTTAATTGAACACTCCTGTGTCTGTTTCAGATTAAAAGCTCTCTAGTGTTTCTGTGGACAGAATCCATTCATTTGTTAACAAGGCTTTAATTGTATTGTCTTTATCAAAGGCAAACTCAGTGTAGAGAGATAGGGCTGGCAGAGGCAGAAACGCTCTCTGTATGGACACCACACAGAGAGCCAGCCATCAGGCACTGCTCACGCGGGCAGTGTGTCCAGCTCTTTTTTTTTTTTTTTTTTTTTTTTTACCATTAGAGCTAATTTAAAGGGTTGCTCTCTTGTTTTTCAATTTTCAAAATTCAAAAATTGTATATGTACGTCACCTAATTTTTCTGCGTTTAACATTTCTTTTGTAAAAATATATGAGAGTTTGCTGTACATTTACACTGCCCAACTCTGGACACGTAACAATATATTCCATATATAGAAACATTCGAATTTGTGGTCATCACCTGAAGTGGGACTGAGTGCCTGTGACCTCCTGCAGTCGCTGCTGCAGCATGAAGAGCTCGGTGAGGTATCGCTCCTCAGTCTCTGAGGCTTGCTGCTGGTAGTGAGCTCTGAGATGCTCCACCTCTTGTCTGTGACTCTCCTCCAGCTGCAGCTGCTTCTCCTGCTCTTCGGCCTTCAGCCTCTGTAGTTCCTCCGTAAGGCCGGTAGATGGCGCACCAGCCCGCTCCTCCAGATCTAATAAGGGAGATAAGAGAGGTGAAATGTGAAATGCAGTATGCTCAACTAGATAATGTTTAAGATTAGAATCAATCAGATTAAATTTTAATGTTTCTTCTGGGAAAAACTGATCACTGCAGTAACAAATAATGGCATATAGTTAAACTGAATGAACAGAGAGAGGTGTAAAAACAAATCAGGGAAAACAACTGAGAACAATACAACTAAAATATGTTTGCAGTTTCCAAATATACATTTTACATTATATACGTATGTGATATGTGCAAAAGTTTCACTGCTGCTGAGTGAAGTTTAGCTTAATTGCCAGTTGGGTTGATGTATTCATTAAAAAAAAAATCAAAGCAGGAGAGTGTTACTGTTTGATGTTTGCTGATGAACTACACAAAACACACACTACAAAAGCACAAAGTGAGTTGCTGTTTTCATTCAGACATTATAATGACCCAAACCTCTAAAATACTGAGGATAGAGAAAGAATACGACAGAATATTTAACTTTTGTCTGTTTTTCATTGTATTACACACTTCTGTGTTTTGACTCAGTAACTTTAAATTCACGCCTGCCCTGTTTGTTGTATATTTTTTGTTTGAGAGAACTCCACATTTACCTTTGCTTGTAGAGGAGCTTAAGCTGGTAACTTGCACACGCAGGTCAGAGATCTCCTTCTCACTGCTGCTCTTCAGTTCATCGTATGCTGCCTGCAGTTCCATCATCTAAGAGACCAACAGATTTGTTTAGTGTGTTTCAGATAGCTTTGTCATCCTCTCTGTTCCTCAAACAGACTAATAATGTGTGCCAATTCCATACTACATACTGACTCCACACAATATGTATACAGTTGTGTATAAACAGTATGCGCAGTATGAACACAAAACAGCATCAGTACCATTTTGCCAGTTGGGTTGATGTATTCATTAAAAAAAAAAGAATGCTAATCAATCTTCTGAATCTCACTATATTAATATACTATATTTTTAGATTTAGTATTTTGGGGGTTTTTTTTGGTGTTCACAATATTTGTTTTAAGTTTTTTCAGCTGCTCTATTTCCTTTCCAATGTACTGTGGGAAAATAGTGGCTCAAAATTCAAGCATTTATTCAGTATAAATGCTGACAGTTTTGTGAAACAGTGTATTAGAGCCATTGTAGGTTAAGAAAAGATACAGAGCTGGGGAAGGGGGGGTAATATTCTGAACTTAAAGTTGTACATTTGCTTGAAAAAGCATGGATATTCTCAGAGATTAAAGTCACAAATTTACAAGATAAAAAACTTGGGAAAATTGTGTTTTAGGGACGCTGAAAGTCAGAGTTGGGGTTTCTGAGATAAAGTCAGTCTATATGATGAAGTCATACTAAATGCTGCACGACATTCATGGTTTTCGCATTCATTTGAATGGCCAGGATTATTTATATCTAATAGTTATTATTGTCATCATTTTACGCTACAGATAGAAAACTTGAACACCAAGATATTGTGTGTGTTGTATGACTGGAGTCTCTGCTTAGCATGTAGCTTGTGGGACTGGGACACAGCTTACGTCTACAGATGTGTAAGTTCTTACCTTGTTCCCATCAGCTCTCAGCAGAGCCTGAAGCTGCGACAGTCGGAGGTGTTCCTGCTCAATCCTCTCCCTCACCTGCTGAAGATCTCTGTAGAGCTCTACATACGAGATTAATAGATACAATTTGAATGACCTCAACAGAGAAATTGAGTATGTGTAAATGTGCTACTTGGTTTGAATACGTTTGATATTTAAAGCATATTATTTAAAAGCACTTCGTAGGTGTAAAGTGAATTTGGAACTGGAAATATGTGTTATACTATCTGTAATACTTTTAAACTGTAATTTAATTTCTTTAAAAAGACAAATTACCTCTTGCCTCCAGTACAATGGAGGTAGATTCACTAGTTTCTGGTCTTTCCACTGAAGGGGGGGACCGACCGTCTGCACCAACACTCTCCAAAAACTCTTCACCAAATATCTTTTGAAAACACTGAACAGAGAACAGACAGACAAAGTCTTAAATGTTTTGGCAAAGTGGCAACACACATGAATAAAATCCATTCAGAAAACAATTTGTCTTGAATAATTACCAGAATAATCTCACTGCACTCTTTTGACACAGCTTGTAACGTGTTGTGATACTTGAAGATTTTTGGCTCATCTGAAAAAAATGAGCAGAAGCATTTGAATTAATAGAACAATTCAAATGTTTCACACAGCCCCAGGCAGACACACTACAAGTACAAAAACAAGACACATCTAGATACCTCAGCCAGTCAGAATCCTGTTCCTCATGAATGATGAATCAAAAAGCATCTCTGAGGGAACCACTGCTTTGCCGCAAACACACACACACACACACACACACACACACACACACACACACACACACACACACACACACACACACAGAAAAAGGTAACTGACTACACATCCACTCACCCTGGTCACCGTGATCTCTCAGGTCCTGAAGTTCCAGCTCCAGAGAGTGTGTGCGGGCGTCCGTCGACTCCTGCAGCAGCTCGAGCTGGGCGGCGTGGATTTGAGACAGGCTGATGCGCTGAGCCTCCATCTGCAGCCTGCACTCACCCTGTAAACCACCGGAGGAAATATCATGACATTAACACGGTTAGAATAAAACAGGGGAGAATTTTCACATATATATAATTTAATTTCACATTAGGAATGTTGGTCTTAATATTTCTAAAAATCTTACAACAAGAAAATACTAAATTACTCTGATAAAAAAAGGTTATATAAATACATATCACTTATAATTTATAATACATTAAATTATGTAGCATGCTACATCCATTTGCTAATCAGAGGAGATAAATGATTAAATAACGTAATTCCACCAATCCTATTTTTATGACAGAGCAGTAGCACAAGCCATCTGTGTTCAGGATGAGAGGTCTGCTATTATCACTTCTGTAACAGAGAACAAAAGGCAAACAGTGAGGCCTCTTTCTCTAATTATGCATTATGCATTAGTGCACATTCGTTAGGGTTACACAATTATGAAATTGCGATTCTGTTACCTTTGATGTCAGATGTTTTTAAAGTGCACTCTACATTTTAATTAGGTTGTATTTAAAACGCTTTGTTATGATACAATCTCCCCGTCCGCACTACATCTGACAGTGTGGCGTAGAGAGTCCTTTCAAACCTGTAACCGCTCAGATGTTGCTGCTTAAAACATGCAGACAAGAGTAATCAGTGCCTAACAAATAGATGGCAGCTGTGTTATGATGCACCGCTAATACAGAAGAAAAACGGAATTACTTCTATGAAGAAAATTATACAAGTTTACTAAGAAACATCACCTCCAACTAAAAAGGAAATTACTAAAATCTATAAAACTCTTTGATTTAAGAGAATTTGTGGCACTCAAATTTTCACATACCTAGAATTTGGTACGAAGGAAATTCACAAGTCGTACAAGCTTGTCGTACGAGTCATACAATACGGAGAGTTTGCCTTTCTGTACAGCAGGAAAAACACTTTAACTTGACAGAATTATAATGCCCTAATCTGAATGACTTTAGAGTTTAAATACTGTACATGATGCCAAAATAAAAATTAAACATGACAAATAAATTAACTTAATGCCAAATTACTGAGATTTGGTTTGAGGTTTTTTTAGATTTCACTGGCATATTTTGGCACTGCATCTTCCACAGTTCAGTAGTTGTTAGCAAATTTCTCTCAGTCCGACAGCTGCCTCAGAGTGCTGTCCAGGGTCATCTTCCAGTGCACCCGATAATCTAACATCATCGATTGCTTTGCTTTAGAAAGAGCTTTCCCATTGCCTTTTTACTTCGGTCACAGTACAGCTCTGATAACACTTCTATGGCAGCTGTAATATTTTCTACAGACTTTGCCAAATTTCTTATGGTTTTGTCAGTTGATTTCTGCCTGCAGGACTATAACTGTAATTTCTTCTTTTGCTAACAAACGGAGCAGAACAGGCAGTCAAATATGGCAATTTGGTAGTGTTGATAATTAAAATGATCATAAAATCTCATGAACACACATCTAATCCTGAACAGGTGGCATTCATCAGACTGGAAAGGAGCAATTTACAACAACTCTGTGCAATAAAGAGGTATCCTAGGTTTGTGTGGTTTGATAAGAATAAGCATTGTAGTTTAGCTGTATGAGCACCTATTTATTGACCTTTACACCACACTGTATGATGTATCAAAAAGCAAAGCAAAGGGCAGGATGTGAGCTTAAGTGACATTTACATGCTCAGTAGTCTCTCCCTCCTCCTCCTCCTCCGCTCCCTGACACACGACAGGCTCCGCGTGGTGGCCCGTCCCATGTCTGCTCACCTAAACAAGCAAGCAGAAGAAAGATTTTGTACTTTTTTTAACTACTGTCTTACATATTACCCCAGTACAAATGTAGACAAATATGACATTGACGGACGGAAGGACAAGATGCAGCATCACTTCCTGAGAGGGAGCAGAAAGTAACTGTACAGTAAGTTCAGAAATGTTATTCAAATGATCCATTATAACTTACAACCAAAGGAGTCCGACGATCACCTTCAGTTGCCTTTATTTTTTGTTTCACCCATGTGGAGTGTTGTTTATTAAGCTCTTGTAACAGCTTTATAAAGAAGTTGGTCACACAGAACCAATTATTTTTTTTAAAGACACCCATTTTCAGTTAATTCTGTAAGCATCTGCACACCTGTACAGAAAAATAATGTTTTTCCCCTGCATCAAAAGATAATTTTGATACTACTTTTAACATTTTAGGGTTTTGGTCACGTAGAAATGTCGTCCCGGACCATATGTAGTGTTCCAACCCAGGAGGTGACAAAAACAATATGAAACACAGATATGAAATGGCAGACAGACACTGTACACTCTCTTTTGTCTGGTGTAATTGAGACACAGCTTGAAGTGACACAGACACAGAAGTGACTGGGGTAAAATGGCTTCTCACCTCAAACCCTTCACTCCCTGCAGGATGGAAAGAAACTAGAATGTACACATTTCTACACAACGGCAACGATTCAAAGCTATCAGAAGACTGTGGGTGATTGTTTTCTTTCTTTTTTGTTTGCAGCCCTTTTCAAAAACCAATATGATATTCAGTTTGAGGACAGGCAGCATCAAATGAAAACAGATTATAAATATTGTATAGTGCCCCTTTAAAAGTAGAAATGAGCAGAATATCGATGGAGTCCTGACACCTCACTGTTATGTGCAGGCTGTACTCCATATGCATTTTTTCTTTTACATTGCTGTTCTCATAATAATCCCACTTACTGTAATGTCGCTGAATGGTCTGCACAAACTTCAAAACAAATGCCTGCCTATCTTTTAACACAACAGTCACTGAGCACAGTCTGTGCTGCTCAATGCTACCTTTGGGAGCAAGCCTGCAGACACTCAGGCAATTTGCAATCATGACCGTTAGTCACAAGAGAGAAAACATGTCAGTGCTGAAATGCCTCAGTCATATTCTGTTCAATGTTAAAGCTTCATCTGGCTACGAATGCAATCCACACATTTCTGATGAAGCTAATAACAATATCAAACATCACAGCACTAATTGTGACTGTGATATGTTTGAAGCATGCAATTTCAGCTCCGCTTTCTTTTGACGTGCACAGTTTTTTTGAAAAGCCCTTTAATTACTCAATCAAACATGGAATTTAATCAGAGTTAAAAAGGCAGCAAAGAAAAAGGCAGCAGGGTCGTTTTTATAACTGGAGAGTGGTGCAGTAGATGCATGTGAGCGCTTACCCGTTTGTTGATGTAGTCTCTGCCTCCGTCTCCCTGGTACCCGTCAGTGGAGTCCTCCTTACCGGCCCTCTCTTGTGAACATGACATAACCCGGCTCTCCATCTGAGGCTGCACCTCCGGCTCTGCAGCACTTGTAGCTCTCTCTTCCTCCACCACTGCCTCCTCTTCCTCCTCCCTTTGTCGTTCTTCTCTGCAGTCTGTTAGAGCGGCGCCCAGTTTACGCTCCTGCTTAGACCTCTGCCGTCTCTTGCGCCTGCTTGACCCTGAGGCTGTGGACTTGTGTGGGGAGGATCGTCCTTCAACAGGTCCCTCCCCTGAGGAATGGGCTGCTGCTGGGGATGGAGTCTGTGAAAGCCTCTGGAGCTCCAAGTTCTGCCGTATGCTGTCTCTCTCTGATTCAGCTGCCTGCAAGAGAGACTGAAGAGCCTTTATCTCCTCTTGCAAAGATTGAATCTGAAGGTGATGATCCTCAAAAGAACAAACTGGCTCAACAGCTTGCTCTTCTTGCTGGAGCTGTCTCTGGGCATCCTGCCCCCTCGCCTGCTCTCTCATAATCTCTTGCTTCTTTTCTAGTTCTTTCCCTAGGCTTTCATTCTGGGCGATGACCTTCGTATTTTCTTGTCTCACTGTCATCAGCTCTTCCTCCAGCTGTCCCACTTTTCTCTCCGTGAACATCATTTGCTCTGTAACTTCGGAAAGCCTCCCAGCCAGACTTTCCTTCTCCTTCAAAGTAACATTAAGCTTCTCCATTAGCTCAGTAGTATCTTTTTCTATCACAGATTTTTCCGAGCGGTCTGTATTTTTGTCCTCCATTTTGATATCTCCGCTGCTCTCCTCCAGCTCTCGAATCTGTGACTGAAGGCTGGCAATTTTTGCCTCAAACTCAAGTGTCTCCTTCAGTGTCCTCTCTTCTAGCTGTGCCTTTGTCTCAATAAGACACGTGTACTCCTCCTTCAGCTCCTGATAGTTTACCTCAAAATTCTTTTCAGCAAAAGAGAAAGTAGTCCTCTGCTTTTCAATTTCCTCATTAAGCTCAACTACTTGTTGCTGTATTTGATTGTTCTCTGCTGTGAGTGTCTCAATTTTCATAGTTTGTGAGTCTAACTTTTCTTTCAAAGTGTTATTAGACTCTATCAACGTCTCCTTTTCCAATTCTTGTTCTTTCCTTTTGGTCTCCCAACATTGTTCTTTCTCTTTTGACTGGTTTTCAAGCACCTCTGTCCTTTTTAGTAATGTCTGAATTTCGTTTTCCATTCGAGCTCGCTCTTCTCCTCCCTTTCGCAGTTCCTCAAGCTCTACCTGAAGCTCTTGAAGCTGCTGGACAAGCTCGTCTGCTTTGGAGCTGTGCATAGCAAGTTTTAGATCTTCTTTTAGTCCAAGAATTTGGTGCAAAAGCTCATCTCGCTCTGTGACAAAATTTGCCTTCTCCCTTTGTAACAATTGTAGTTTTTCTTCATATCCAATGCGCAGCTCATCCAACGCTCTCTCGTGTTTGACAGCGGCTTCATTGAGAAGGTTTTCTGTGTTCAGGAAGCTCTCCCTTTGCAATTCTTCCTTCAGATTGGTGAGCTCTTCCTCGTGGCTAAACAGAAGCTGAGTCCTGAGTCGTTCCAGCTCTGCTTCCTGTGACTCCGCCATGCGGTCCAGCACAGCGTCTTTCTCCCTCTCCAGCATCTCCAACTTGATCTTGTAGTTGGTTATTTCTGAATCGTGTTTTGCTTCTGTCTCTTTTGCCGCTTCCTGAGCAGCAGCCAGCTCACTCTTCAGATTGTCAATGGTCTCCTGGAGGCGCTGCAGTTCACGTCGTTGGCTTTCCTGAGAGATAAGATTTTGGGAGACCTGCTCCACATTTTCTTTAGCAGACCAGAGATCTTGGAGAAGATCCTCAACCTTGGCCTGCAAGTTGAACTTCTCTTCTGCAACTTGGCTAAGCTCATGTCGGGCTTTATCGTGCACTGCTTGGGATTGCTGTAATGTCTCTTGAAGCTCTCTAATCTTAGCATTGAGAGCGTCCACCTCAACAGTGCTAACAGCGGAGCTTTGAGACAGTTGTTGTGCTTGTAGAAGCTCGAGCTCAGCACGATGTTGTGCGGCCATTTGCTCCACTCTCCCTGCATGCTGCAAATTAAGCTCCTGCTTCATCTGGACTATTTGCTGGCCATACATCTCATCCAGCTCTGCCCTGAGAAGTTCGAGCTTCCTCACAGTCTGTTCCTCCATCTTCTGGACAATGTCACTCTCAGACAGGCTGCCCCGATGACAACGCTTCTGCAGGTCCTCTACTGTGCCCATGAGCTGCATGATTTCACTAGATGACATTCGTTCTTTCTGTCGGGAGGTTGCAAGTTCACCCTTACAAATTTCTAACTCTGTTTGCTCTTTCTGCAATTCTAATTTACAACTCTCTATTTCACATCTACAGCTTTCCAAGTCAGACTTGGTGCTTTCCAAGTCAGACTTGGTGCTTTCCAACTCATCCACGCATCTTTCAAGCTCTGATTCTTTTGCAGCCATTCGCTGTTGGAGGTCACGCAGGCGTTTTTCAGAGGACTCCAACTCATCCTCAAGCTGGGTAAGAGAGCAGTCACGTTCTGAAATGACTCTCTCTTGCTCCGCTATAATCAAGTCTTTATCATCTGACTGGGTTATAACGTTTTCATCTGTAGTCCGTCCCACATGGACAAGTTCCTCTCTAAGAAGGGTCAATGACAGCTCGTGTTCTTTGATTATTGCAGTTTGCTCTGAAATTAACAGATTTTTCTCTTTCAGCGTTTGTGCAAAAGATTCCTCTGCCGTTCGTGACGCTGTGAGCGACTGCTCTCGGCTCAAAATAACTTTTTCTTGTTCAGCAATAAGCAGGTCCTTTTCGTTTATCCTTTGTGTGAATGATTCTTCTGATTTTCTCCCTGACTACAAAGAAAAACAATTATTAGAAAAGCAGAGAGAGAATGAGAACATACTGTATAACTACTTACATTCAACAGAATATGTCAGAAGATATCTGCAGGATCACACTAGGCAACTTCTTACCATCTCCATGTCACTGATCTTGTGCTGGAGCTGGCTGATGTGCTCCAGCTGCTCACTGCTCTTCTCCTGGTACATTTTGAGCTCAACATTCATCTCATCCAGTTGCTGCTGGTATTGCATGAGCTGCTGTCTGGACTGAAGAAGATCAGCTGCCGTGCTGCTGTGGCTGGTGTTCCTCAGTGTCTCTCCCGCCTGCAGCTGTGATATTACCACACACAAATTAATTTCTAACTGAAGCAAGTACTAGAACAAAATAATAATAGTGTAATGAAGTAGGTGGTGTAGGATAAATTGGTAAAATAACTGCAGTTAAGACTTTCAGCGTTCCTACCTGCTGGAACTGAATATGTAGTTTTTGGCTTTGCTCTGTCAGTTCCAGGAATTCTTTCATGATCTCGTCTTTCTCTTCACGAGCCTGCTGAAGGTTAGCTGTGAGCTGGGTAATGATGCCATCTCGCTGCTTCAGAGCCGCCTCAAAGTCCTGCAGCTATAAAAGTAAAATGCATATATGCAATAGTGAGATAGAGCAGAGAGAAGAGAGCGGAAAGAGCAAGTTTCCAAAGACAGAGCTTAAAAACAGGAGTAAAAGTAAAATACTTGTTATATTGAACCTGTTATAAAGAAGGAAAGCAAATTGTGATTGTCAAGGCTATAAAGGTTTCTGGCAAATAATCTGAAATGGACGATAATACTTAAAAAGAAATGTTATTATATCCATTTGGTATTTAAAATTCAAAACTACAAGTAAAAATCTGATTAAAAAAAATTAAAAATTAGAAAAAAACGAGATATGCTAAAACTCCAACGGTATGACCTATAATAAAGTAATTAAACATTTACCTGTTGTACTCCCTCTGTGCCGAAAGCGGCCCTTATTTCTTCAAGCTCTCGACTCAGCTCCTCCACTGCCTGGGTCTTGGCGGCTAGAGCATCCTCCATATCCTGCATCGTTCCTCCTTTTGTCACCTGTTGCAAGGGCTCCACCTCCTCCTGAGCAGGAAAATTAGTGTTTGTAAAGCATTTACATTGTTTCGGTAAAGCAGTCAAGGTCAGCTTTCAAGAATGAGTTAAGTACTTAGTGACCACCCAAGATCGACAGCAGGTTAGTTAGAAGACCCAGGAGCCCCATGAAGGAATGCGTAGTAAATAAGTTAATGTTATCAAATAGATCCTGCTTTTTTCCTCATCTAGACTGCTTTGGTTTATTGGCCACAGCAGTCCCCCTTTTTTTGGAAGATCCAGCAAAGTCTGTCTGTTAGTTCTGTAAGAGGGAGTTAATATATCCTGCAAGGTAATTCAATTCAGCTATAAATCTGAAATTCTTAATATTATCAAAGAAAAGTTGTAGGTCTAGAACAGTCAAGTTTGTTATTGGACAGAATCCTTTACTAGTTTTCTTGAATTTTGCAGGTTGCTGACAGTTGATTAGATATGATTGTTGTGGGTTCTCAAAGTAATTAAAAGGAAATCAGAGGAAGAAAATGATGCCATCATTTGATATTTCCTTCTTGCAAGATAATTAAGAATTTTCAGTTGTGTATATATATATATATATATTTTGATATGGTCTGTAAGCTCAGTGCAAGTAAAATAGTTTTCTAAATGTAACATTGTTCAAATATTACTTTAATTTTATCAGTTATATTCCATTTTGAACTCACTCATTCCACAAAATTCAAGAAAATTAGAGAGGAGACAGAAATGCTTAGTGTTATTACACTTTTCTTTTCAGTGATGATGAAAGCTGATCATCTGGGAAATAATTATTGGGTTTCATCAAAGGAATAAAAACTCATTCATGAATTTATATGTTTGCACAGATATATCTTTCTTAAGATCTCAGTGTAATTCGTACTACAGTCGGCATGTCACTTTAACCTGGTTTTGCTCCCCATCTATCTAACTGTATTGATCAGCAGCTCCCTGGTTTCTGTCTCCTCTATTCAAATATCAGCACTGTGAATCTGAAGAGAGCTGCTCTTTGTTTGACACCTCCTGTCCTCTCTCCTCCAAACTCTCCAGTGTCCTCTCCCTTCTTTTCAATCATTTACCCTCCCTCACCAGCTTTCAGAGATAATTTACACCTGTAAAATGTCAAAGAGCTCTGTTCAATCCCAAACTCCCCAGTCATTTGTGCTTTCAAAAGTGTCATTTATAAGTCTTTATTTCTTATTTTTCCCATGGTGCAGTTTTCATATATGTATAATCAAGTACGTACAGCATAAAACAGGCTTGGTTAGTAAGTTACAGGAAATCTTGCAGAGGACTATAAGCAAATAGAGAGTTACATCCAGCAGCCAGTGCCTTTGCTAGCAGAGCCAAAAGCAGAGCCAAAAGAACTGCTTGATCGGATTACTGTACCCAGATAAAATCCTTTGAAGACATCATTAGGTTCTCTGTCATCTCATCGTGGCACCCATTTACCTGTTAAGTCACAGTGCTGTCAGTGAAACATTTAGATTTTGGAACTGTGATGGAAAAAGTCATCATTGGGTAGATTTGTGGTGCTAATGCCTTTTTTATTTATTTTCTTGACAAATGTTCTTACGATTTGGTTTTAGTTTGGACTAAAAATCACATCACATCACAACATCCTCTCACTGATTTCAATTTTCTAAATTTAGTCTTGCTTACTTAAGTTCTTAATGTCAGGTAAATTAGGCAACATAACAACTGAAAATCAGCAAGAAAAGTTTGAAGAATTTTAGATAATACTGTTTTTGAGTCAGCTTGTGTCATCATCAGTAGCTACCTGATGAACTTATTAAGTTTGCATTTGATTCATAGTGATTTATCCACCAAAGACTGTCTAGTAGTCTGACTCATTTGCTTCTGTCTGCTCTTCCCCAGTACCATCTCCAAATAAAACAACAAGCGTATGCAGTCAACCCGGCTAATAAGCTACATGTAAGTGATGAAAAACACAATTGGAATTGCGCAGTTAATTAGCCACAAGCTAAATCTTTTTAAACCCACAAAAACATCCTCTGGCAGTCAGTCGTTAAACAGTCCTATATGACTCTCAGGTGAGCCACAGCAGCCCCATTCAGGGATCGTAACAGTGTAAACCTGGCATTGTGAAAAACTTTTTTTTTGTACCGTAACATTACAAGAAGGACATTAAAAGGATGGTCATGTCACAAAATGATCATACGTATTTTCGGAAAGGTCATCTCACCTCTGAGGAACAGTCTTCGGCAGTAGTGGACATTTCACTCTCTGGCTGCAATAGAGAAGATTAAAAGAAATGTATTAAAACTGCAGATATGAACAATGTAAATAGAAGTGTTTTCAGTCGTAACCCAAGACAAATTAAGCAAGTTAAGTAGAGACAACATTACATTAATAACAAAAAAACACTTAATTACAAGTGAACACAATCAGTCAAGTCACATATGTAAACAGTTAAATGAATGCAGTTGCAGTAAAAATGTATGTGGTGTTTTATTTTGAAATGAAAAAGGGTCCCTCACTTTACCAAGTCATTACAGTTTCAGAAGTCTTCCGATCTGTAATCCGATTTAAAATGCACATAATAAAATGTTCAATCATAACAAAATACCTACTTCATATCCTATTTAAGTAGGCTCTCAGCATTCAAACATGGGCCTAACCTACTTCTGCCACAGCGCTCCTTTCTCACTCCCACAGAGTAATGACGGCCATTATTGAAGTCTATTTTCGGGTTAATTCTTGGGTCATAAATTGAAACTGTATGGGGTCCAGAACTGGGAGAGAAATTACAGGTTTAGCTTTGACTGATTGCAGAACTTGAACATCACCTCAAACTGCAACAAAAAGAGGAAAACTGTCCAAGTAACATGAGCCATATCACATGTAAACATTTTACTTGCAACCTTGATGATAAGTAGAACTTGATGCTGACGTCTAAGCGGCATTGATGAGTCAACACACTTGTATTTACAATTACAATCTCTTTCAGATGCCTGTGAAAGACTTGAGAATGGAAAACTTTGTGTTTCCACAGCAACCCCTTCCTGCTCACAGAAAGCAGCAACACTACGAGATCTCTCAAGAGAACAAAACCCCATGACCAGTAAGTCCAGGAACAAAAAAAACAAAAAAAATAACAGGAGAATAAACCATAAAAAGGTTCAATCATTTATCTACATAGATGACTCACACATACCGTTCTGTATGGCTCAGTCTCTTAACATTCATGAGTTTCACTTAAGAGTGATACATAACAGCTCCCATCCATGCAGCAGAAAAATACAGCATGTCCCACATCCTTTTGTAACAGAGAGAATGTGGGTCGCTCCCAAGGTAGAAAAACTTGCCGTGCAACGAAACATTCGTACATTCAATCAACCTTGAGGTCTGCAAAATAAAATAAAATAAAGTGATCCAAGGCCACAGGAATTGGTCACATAGACAGACACATCTCAACCTGTTTAAAGGCAATTGTCTGTTTCCATGGCAACAGGTAGTTTTGTGGGCATGTACCGCATCAAATGTACAGTGGGTTCAGGGAAAGAGTGGCTGCACAGCGCCGATAAAAAGAGACTGAGAGGGCTTGAATAACGAAAGGAAAAAAAAAAACCATAAGAGCTCTCAGGTCTCTGCATATTGTTTTAAACTGCTTAATTAATTCGTTTTCTGCGGAATAATGCAAGTGGCTAAATATTTGTTTATCAGAATCATGATTGAGACGAGTGAATGTTCAGGCTTCAACTTTTCCATTTATCTTCAAATACAGGAATCCAGGGCCGGTTGGAAGGTCATGTATGTGTATGTATGTATGTAACTGTACACGACAAACATCAATTATCTTTTAAAAAGTTTTACATAAAGAAAAAAACCTGTTAAATTGTTTTAAATGAAAAGAAGCAGTGCTTGCATGGGCTGCAGTAGTGTATGTGAATATGAATTAGACTCAGTGCATCAACATTGAATTTTAGCATCCCTGTGTTTTTAAGTTTCAAATAGCATGTTTGATGAAGGTATCTGTCCATGATGTAAAATGCAAAAGGAAGAACTAAGCGGTTCAAAGTTTAACCAAATCCCAGATCAACTAAAACCTTTCAGAAGTTTGAGAATTGTTTAAAATTACACCCAATAATACAACAGAGTGCAAGATCAAAATGACCAGCAAAGCAGAACTGCACCAATGTATAAAACGTGCTGGAGCTGTGTAAAGCAGCACAGAACTTGAGCATTAATCAAAGCAAATTGTTAACATTATAGGATGAACACAAGTTCTTCTTATGTCCTATTCAAGTTTCTCCAGTTCTTTTTTCCCCAACATCATAAAGTCTGTAGCCTCGCAGTCTCAAGATACAGTAACATTAATGCCGCCTACATTAGTAATTAGTAGTAGTAATAATTCTCAAAGGGTATAAAAGATGTTTTTAAGAGTTTAAACTTTACTCTTAGGATACAAATTCAAAGATACATTTCCTTTCTATAGAAGTGAGGTTCTCAAGAAATTGTTCTCACAATAAACCAAAATGCATATTACCAAAAATTACTGATCATTTTCTAAAGAAACTGTGTAATTCAGTACAAATTAGTGCTGGGCAGTATGACCAGACATTTTTGTTTTGTGCATAATCATGGTTCTACTGTCAGAAGTACATGCAATATAAAAACATTTTAATCGCAAAAATGTGTATACTAAAGGCTTTGATTGCTGTACGGGTTTTCTTGGCCCCGTGAAGATGATACAATATTTAAAGCCATCAGAATGAATGAAACAGAGTCGTAAAAACAGAACTTAAAAATATAAAGAAGATATTGATAACAACATTAACATTGCTTCCTTTTCAAGAACAAAATATAAACACTATTAATTAATAAATTGTCACAAATTGGGTAAAGTTATAACTGTTAGAAAGGTACACAGTGAATAAGGCTCCCCTTTCAATATGTACTACACAGGTTGCTCCTCTGTAGCACTCTTTGCAGCAAAAACATAAAAAACAATATTGCTGCCTATTGGAATTTTTATCTTTTATCTATTAGTATTATTAATAATACTGCTGCTGTTGTTATTATTGTTATCGTTATGGTTTTTATTATTATTCATAAATGTACTTTCAACAAGATGTAAACATTTTTAAAAAGCTTATATTTCCCAACTCCACCTGGATTCTTCTTGTTTAATTAACACAGAATTTTAAAATTCTGAAGGAAATAAGGTAACAAATGTGTTTTTATTCGTTCTTTCCTATGGACGTCCTCCATCACTGCTCTGTGCTCCCAGTGGGTTTGGTTGTCATGACAGCAGCTAGCTACAGCGGGCTCATTAAGCTCCGGGAGACAACAGAAACAAAACTCTGGAGAAGACGGTGATCATTTTCATACAGATCTACCACTGGGAACACAACTCTTATAAGCTCTTTTCATTACACGTTAATAATAATAAACTAAAGCCATAAAATGAACCTGCAGCATTTGAAGTTAAAAGACTTTCTGGCTGCTGGAGGAGCAGACAGATTGTATATTAATAAAATCAGACTGCGGCATCTGAGACGGAAAAAAACACTTTTGTGTCGAATGCTGATTTCTAAAAAGGCATCAAATATGTCCTAAATAACTCTTTCGATGGACGGCTGCAATTACTGAAAGATTCATAAACATTATACATTTAGGGCAACTGTGTGTGACTTATGAATCACTGAAAGACATATTGTGCTGCATGCTGTTTCAAAGCATTTAGACAGTGACCCTGAACAGACTGAGAGAGATGTGAATGAATGAATACATACTGACATGTTATATAATATCAAGTCATAATTTAATAATTATTTACATAAAATAAAGTGAGTTATAGTATTACATTGTCTTACTGTTACAAGAGGTCTTGTAACAGACAATATTTGTGGATTTTACTCTGGTTAATGTCACTCATTTGTTTTCTCTCTGGCTAAACAGACTTTGCAGTTGTGCCGCTGTTAAACCAGTTCTGAATTATGATTGAATCTATTCTTCACATCTATGTAGGATTTAGTGGCATCAAGCAGTGAAGTTGCAGACTGCAACTAACTGAATACCCCTCACCCTCCAAGCGAGTAGGAAACTACATTAGCTGCAACACTCGAGAAAAAAGCAGCAATGTTTGGTTTGTCCGTTGTGGGCTACTGTAGAAACATGGCGGTTCAACGTTGTAGAGGAAGCGCTCCCTCTTTCATTCTAAGGTCCCGAAAAAACATTCTTATTTTCAGGGTGATTATACACTAATACATATCGATGAATATTTCTCCCCATAGATTCTCCTAAATGTTAAAAACTGGACCTTCAAAGAAAGTTCTCAGTATTTTTCCGACATTTTATAGACTATAAAGTGATTAATAGAGAAAATACAATGAACAATGAAAATATTTATTAACTCTAGCCCAACAGATGCTCATTTTGTACACTCTGTCCAGCAGTGTTATTGTCTTTCTTATGCATTAAAACAAATTAATAGACTAGTATTCTGTATTGTGGCCACCGGTAGTTAAGACTGAGTAAGATTAAGGGTTTACCTCTATAGTGTAGGTCTGGTCATGCTTGACAGTCTCTCCACTCCGCAGCGTCCTGGCGAAGGTAAACTCTGTGGTGGGTGGGTCTTTAGTTCCTTCTTTTGATCCATCTCGTTCTCCGCCTGAGCCTTCCTCTCCTCCCACAGACTGATCCGGGTCGACCTCCACCCTACCCTGAGAATCCACCTCCGAGTCCTCTGCTGTCTTCTTTTTCTTCTTCTTTTTCTGTTTCTTCTGGGAGTCCACGTGAGCTTTTCTCTGGCGGTACTCAGCCAGCTGCAGAGGGAAGAGGGAAACAGGCAAGTGTTAAAGAGAAAAATCACACTTTCTGCTCCAGTGGTGCTTCTTCATAGTAAAAAAAAAAAAAAAAGAACATAGTAAACACTTCCACAAACATCCTTTTAAGTGTCTAGTCTACATTTCCACAAGTAGCTTCCGTTCAGATCTTTGTCTATCCGACCCGAATGCTAAAGACCTGAGGGAAAGAACTAATTAACTAAACATCATTAGTCTGCTTAGCACAAAGTTTATATTTTAAACAAAAAAACTAACAAAAATATATATGAACCTACCCTGAGTCTACACAGTTTGGCGAAACCAAAGCGAAACATAATGTGCTCCATGTGTCCTTCCAACTCCGAGCGAGACCTCCCTCCCTGTGTCCATATGACTCGACACATGCCTCTTGCTGTGCCAGGTGCTAATCCTCATTAAAGGGATTACATTTTAAACTATGTCAACGATCTGTACAAACAGCCAATGACATCCCTGTTATCTTCGGCCATTTTCAAATGCTTTATTCAACAAAACCTGATGTTGACTTCTGTTTTTACTGTTTTACATTTTTAATATTCATAAATAAAATAAATGAGTAATTTAGTAATAGTGGGTACAAGAATCAATCTCAACTTCACATCAGTTTTGTAAACTTAAGTGTTTGTGCTATTGTATGTTTCATATTTGGGATTTTGGGATTGGACTTCATATAAATCTGAATCAGTTTACAGTGACATAAAACAATCCAACACTGGTTCTTTATTTTCTATCCCTCATCACATCAAGTACACATAAGAAAGAGATCTCAACAACTCATCCTCTGTTACACGCTGACACTCGTACTCCCTCTCTTTCACACATACAAACCAATTTTATACCATAAACGAAAGCAGCAGGAGTGTGTTACATTAATCATCATCAGGGAAATGATACTAATTACACGGCGTGGACAGTACAACCGGTATGCATTATGCATGAGCAACCGGTGAAAGCAAAGAGACGGCAGAGTCAGCTGAGCAGGGCAGACAGCAGGGCTACAGGTGTCACACCACAGACAGACTGTTGCCAAAGATACCTCGCTAATGCCTGCTCACCTGTCCCGGAAATCTACCCCATGACATTAATAATAACCCTAAATGCACATTAACATACATTTTTGGCAAATATACTGGTTCAGAAGTAGTTTATGTTCTGTGTTTCTTTCTTTCTAAAGGCCAAATGGTTAATGTTTGTGTTTATTTTGGGCAATATGGATAAAACACTATATCACATCATCTATCATCTACATCATGATACAGCAAATTTGGTCACTACTAATATTGTACTCCACTACAGCTACTATTCCCAAGATCAAGGATGAAATTTCACACATCAACTGTTAAAATATTTATAGGTAAAATACCCAAATGGGAATGTTTGTTTTTGTTGTATCCATTGATTAAAACAGCTGACAAATAATGACTTCATCACATTGATGGACAAATATTTCATAAAACACACAAGAAAACACTGATTTGCAACATTGCCCGCAACAGCCAAACACACCTAGAAATATTAAAAAGCTACAGTAGTTTAAATGATAAACAAAATCTCAGTAGGAAGTAGATACATTTATACAACTTCAGGCTATATGAGCATATCACCCACCTCTAATTGTCAATTAAAAGAGACCTGAGAGTTTTCCTCCATTATGTTGCCATGTTTTTATGAGCAGGTTGAAGTGAAAGAGTGAAGATTACTGACAAGGCAGCTCATATAGTGATTTTTGAAAATAGACCTTTTCTGTGTGGACTGTGCACAGATTTTGCACCAATATGACTCAGACGACTGCTTCCTTAAACAAACAACATTATTAAAGAATATCTCAGTTAAATATTCGTTAACATGTTTAAGAATAACTAATCATATGTCACAAAAGAAGTGCATCAAATCCTGACATTTGAGAAGCCAGAACCAGCAAATATTTGTGTTGTTTTTTTTGCTTGAAACATGACCCCACTCCTGTAGCAGCAGCGTCAGCATAAAAGTAAGCACTTTTTGACAGGTCTGGTGTGGTGATGCTGTACAAAAGGTTAGAGGCTGACACAACAGAGCTAAGAGTGGGCGTTGTGGTCACGTCCCCCCCCCACCTACAACACACAGCTTAAAAGCTCAAAGGGCTTCTGATCTGTGCCTCTGCACCTCACACCCCACACCTCAGCCAAATATATACCCATCTATCTGCGTTTCCACAAGAGCTTTATCCATTAAATACCAGAGCACACAGAAGGCAGATATGAGTGAATGGCAGTTTTACATGATGGAGAATCTAGTGACTACAATGACAGAGAGACTCTGAAAACACAACAAGAATATATTTATATATATTCCGACTCAATCAGAATAACACACCGGCAGCAGTCAGTGGACCCACCAGCAGAAATCATCCTGTGTTTTGGAAAGGTCTCGGGAACCCCGGTCTTTTACGTTGAGCCGCTTATCATTGCAGGCTGCCCTATTTGGCTCGGCACAAGAGAGCATTGGCTGAGCATATGGAGTCGGTGTAGCTGTATCACCATCTGGGAAAAACAGAAACTACGTAGGTGTATCACCATCTGCTGTCTGCAAACATTTACACAGGCATTTTTCTTACACACGCTTTTTTTTTTTTTTTTTTTTTTAATGCATGTCTACTAGGAGCTGACTAACAGCATCAACAACAACAACGGAAACATCCAGTAAACTGTGTTTTAGTTTTCTCACCTTTCATTCAGTTAGAATCTGGTGTTACTATATCAATAAATATAAATATATCAATATGTCAATTGTAAATATCAATTACCATAAATAATATTTTATCCATGTCACCCACTCTTACACAGGCTTTCATTACAGCATGTAGAAGGGCAGAAATTCATAAGAAAACTTCATTAACAATAGGTTTATTGAAAATAAAAGCAAGATGAAAATGTTTCCTGTACAGATTGTGAGGCAGCGTTGTATTTGCATTATAGAGATATATAAATAAAGTTGATTTGACTTGATTTTGTTAAGCTTAGCTGTTCTGGCTCTGCTGTATGTCTACTAGTGTGTAAGTTAATTGAAAACAACAAAAACCAGAGTTCAAATCCTTGTGTGTTTTAACATTTGGCACTTGAATTCTGACACAAAGTTGTAGCCACGCCGGTCGACAACACTCAAAATATGCATTACACACATCTTCAACCCGGCAGCACAGAAGATCCCCTCAGTTTCAAGGTGGGCACCTCTGATTAGTGTTGCCCATTCAGTATCTGACTGAAATATGGTCACAATGTTCCCTTCTGTTCCTGAGTTATGGCTTTAAATAATGGCCAAATGTTTTTGCAGTGAGGTTGACCATTGACCTTTTGGATAGAATATGGCATTTATCCTATTAGACATGTGTGTGATAATTGACGTATGAATTCTGAAGTCACGGTGACTTTGACCTTTGACCACTGAAACCTAATCAGCTCATCATTGAGTCCAAGTTGGACGTTTGTGCCAAAAGAAACTTGGAGAGACTTCCTCCAGGCATTCTTTAGATATCGCCTTCACCAGAATGGGATGGACAACCCGAAAGCACAGCGCCTTCACCCAAGGCCGTCGCCAGCGTGGAACCGTACAAACATATGAGTCTTGTGTGATGCACGATAAGTCAGGCTCAACATCAGTAACTCTGCAGCATTTGTGAATTGATGACGTATGAAAAGTAAATGATCTTCTTAGAAGACAACGACTTTAATGCCTCGGGAAAAAGCATCCTGAATGTCTGCACAACAAGTCTGTGTTACATCACAAACTGGAAAAGTAGTTTGGTACATGTGATGCTTTAATATACTGTTTACAAGTATTACTCATAAATGTTTCCTTAAATAAGTAACAAAGTGGTTTTCTGTTGTTTGTTTGATGCCTGTGAGACACACTGCTAAAAATACTGAAGCAGTCTCTGAAATACAGCAGTGCAGAGGAACCTGGAGGGAGGAGGGAGGGGACTCACAGCCTCCAATGTCATGTGTCAGTGAGACTGCCAGCAACATTGTGTTAGTCAAAACCCAGCTGCTACAGGGCAAAAATCCTGTGCTTTACACACACATTCATGTCCCAAAAACAAATCAGCAACAACTGAAGCTGCCCCTCCTGGTTCATGACTGATGCAGCGTTCAAGAGGCTCCAAACACACGATTTACAAATGCATTATTACCTCACAGACATACAATGAAAGCTGAGCTACGAGGGAGAAAATGACTCCTGCCCTGAAGTCTCTTCACACTGATAAGACTGTTTTTGAGAGTCACTTCAGTGGTTTATTCTGATTCTCATCATGTGCGCGTTGCCAGTGAATAATGAAATTTGCTCTGGCCTAATCTGCAGACCGACAAATCACCCTTGTTTCTCACTCGAGCAATATTCATTTTTCACGACCTTTACGTGCTGTTACCTCAACAAATCTAAGCCATGACCAAAGTCAAGTATCCTTAAAACCTCTACTGAGAATGAGGTGCTCATGCATCCTCCTCCTCCTGATGACAGCTGTGTCATACGTAGGAAGTGAACAACAGACAAATGTCTTTGGAAATAGTCTCTACTCCAATGAGCCAATCAAAACCTGAGCTCAAAGGGTAAATACACAAGACCAATGCATTACACCAGACCCACCTATGGGGATTTGTTGGACCGTTAGAAACGTGTATCTTCATGTACAACAGCGTAGCACGGGCCTTAAATACATTTTTATTACAACTCATCCAATTCCAGGCTCAGTAACTTGTATGAAGTGCCTGGCATGCAGGTGCAACATCCTGGATTTTACCTAGCTTACAGGACCATTGTTGCATGTCCTCATCCTATTCCCCTCAATTATATTGTGTTTTTTTTTAATGTATCTAAAGTCCTGACACACAAAGTAGCATTTTGGGGGAGACAATCGTGACATAACACCTTCAAAATTGTTATTTGGTGCAAATCATATTGGCATTAAAACTGTAGTGTGACCAAACAAAACAAAATGACTCGAAAAACTGCAAAAAGCATCCTGGTGTGAAAACATCCAAAGCGTTAAGCGTTTATGCTATTTTGGGCATACAGATACTAGTTCCTGTCTAAAAAAACTTCTCTCTCATGTTGACAGTAAATGGTATGGTCTCTGAACATTAGTTAGGAGTTGTGATGTGCAGCGGCAGCTCCAGATAACATCTAAAACGTTCCTGCTTCTAGCACCTCTCTGCAAGACGTTGAATGTTTGTGTGTATATCAAGAGTTGAAAGGGCGTCCTTTAGTCATTACAAGTTAGGTTCAGTCATCATCCAGGTTGTAGCTAGTTAAAAGTGGACAGCTGTTAGACTCAGATCACATTCAATTAATCACCTGGCATTCCCTTCTGAAGCAGTACAGACATTATAGGAGCTTAAAATGTTAAATCAATGTTAGATATACAAACATATATGGGTGATAAAGACTGCAGCAAAAAAGTGAAACTCTCCAATGTCAATTAAGCCAATCAATAAACTGAATGAACCATAGTGGTCAAAGTCTATTCATCACATAAAGCTGTACAGGGCACATCCATGAATAGTCACATAAAGGATTAACCATTCAGGCCTAAGCTAAGTAGATCAACTTGTACCTTTGCTGTCCCCAAATCCTCCAATGCTGCCTGACACTGACCTTTAGGCTATCTGAACCTGGAAACCTACTTGCAGTGTCCTGGATGCACCGTTAAGATTTGCTGCGTTATACATAGTTTGGTAAATAGTCTCTGCTGTTTCGGATGAAAATATCCTTTACTGCTATTAAAAAAGTTAGTTTAAAGCTAATTTGGCTTGTAGATAGTGACAACAGGGGATGTTTTAGCACCACAATTAGCCGTCAATAGAAAGAGAAGTGAAGAATTACTCATTTAATCTATGATACTGTGCATCAGATATTCACTGCCCTGATGCCTCATTTAGCAGAATCATACCAAGCTTTACATCAACCCCATCAACATTAATAGCAGATGCTGGTAAAGCTACGAACATACTGTTAATCAGTGAACACCGGCAGGCACATCAGGGAAGCAGAGAAACAAATAAGTGCCATCCACCATGACACACAAATACATCCCTTGGGCCAAATTAAAAAAAAAACCCTGCAGTGTCGTCCCCCTGAGACAATCAGAATAATTCTGAAAGTGATGGCACAGCAAATGGGCCGGCGCACGTCCCTGAAGTTTCATTAAAGATCAGTGCTATTCAACATACTGTGGGCCGACAGAGCTGATCTACAGGCAAAAAGTACAAGGGAAAAACAACATCCAAATTTCATTAAATGGAGACAGTAAAAAAAGAGGAGAGTAAAACATCTCAACCTTTATGGGCGACAACCATTCGGATAAAACATTCCTCTTCAATCTTTCAGTTGTAAAGTAACGCCACTGGACTACACAGGCGCACACACAGTTTCTTCCTAAAAGAGCGGCACTATAAGGTGACTTTACAGAGGGTTTGTTAAAGCGCCAGCAGTGTCTGGGTTCAGACAGTGTGGACCTGAGAGAGGTAAAAAGAAAGGGATGAAGGCAGTATTTTAAAGTCACACGCCCTGTTTATACCTGGCATTAACACATGTCTTCGGTGATCCGAAGTAGAAGTGTGAATGCGACATTGAGATCCGATCACTCAGACCACATTCAGAGGTGGTTATTATCTTATATATATATATGCCATTATCATGGCACCTGTCAGTGGGTGGTATATATTATGCAGCAAGTGAACATTTTGTCCTCAAAGTTGATGTGTTAGAGGCAGGACAAATGGGCAGCATGAGGATTTGAGCGACTTTGACAAGGGCCAGTTAGTGATGGCTAGACGACTGAGTCAGAGCATCTCCAAAACTGCAGCTCTTGTGGGGTGTTCCCAGTCTGCAGAGGTCAGAACCAGAACCGGAGACAGGGTTATGGGCGGACAAGGCTCAGTGATGCACGTGGGGATCGAAGGCTGAGGATACAGGGTTTTTTTGCACATAGAGCGAGGAAGTGGTGACTCGAGACGCTTGTGGAGACACACAGTCTCTAACGCCAGGTGTGAACTGACAGACTTAGAGCTGTCCACTTGTGATCGGATCACCCAAGACTCATGTTAAAGCCAGGTGCAAACAGAGCCACAGATTCCCAGAGTCTGTGAGATTATTTAACCCAACACAAAATCTTTATACCATCTTGAGCTCTTCATCAGAAAATGAAACTCAAAAGCCTCCTCTACCATGGAACAGGAGAGAGTAACTCCATAACGCCGGTAATGCTCTTGTCAATATGGTCCATTCTGCCACAGAGAAAAGTGGGAGCAACAATACATCTGCAGCTAATGACTCGACAATAGGCCAGCAACACCAGCCCACGATTTACGTTGTGCTCATTGTCTGGTAATGACTCAACAGGAACTGGCTTGGGACAGACATCATTTCAAGAAGGCTATACAAGAGATGATTGACAGTTCTCCCTTTACTCAGACATCAACATAAACTATACCTATACCTGCTGGGGTTTTTATTAAACTAGAAAAAACACAGCAGCTGTCCTATAAATGTCATACTTCTCCTGAACTATCTATCTAACTAACTATCACCAAAGGCCACACAGATGCAGACTCCTTATTCATTTTATAGCTAAAACAACAGGTTTAAGCAGTTCAGGCAGCGGGGTTATGTCATCATCTAAACACTCCCCATAGCGTGCTGACTGACACATATCCGACATATATCAGCTTGGACTCAATCTGAGCTTACAAGATTCAGTCTGTGAGACTATTAGAACAAATAATAATGTCCTGGATGTCCCTGCTGGCCATTATCAATGTGCTTATTCAGTAAAATATCTTGTGAAGTTTCTCCCCTGCATGTGAGGACATGGTGACATGGTACTGCGTAAAAAAAAAAACCTCCTGCAGCACAGTGGGGCCTTTTATACACCAAAATGCCACAGCCAATACCCTGGAGATGGTCTTTCTCATGGTCTCCCCCCGCTGTGTTAACCTAAAAGCCAGAGCACCCGCTCCAGTTACGAAACCTGGAGTGACCAAAAGACACCAAACGCAACCTTTTAGATGTTTCTCTGCAGTGTCGGGATGGAAAGCTTTTAGTGAATCACCTTTTCAAGCCCGCCTGACAGAATTAAACCAACTTTGTAAATATATTGGGTTTATAGAGCTATAGTTACATAATGAGTGAACGTGAACAAGTATTTGTGACTTTTGTGGTGAGATGAGGCTGTCAAGATTAATCCTGCAAACGGCTAAATTGTAACACTGATTTTCTTCATTTGATTCCTCTTTCTGATCCAATTAGCCACATGTCTTCAGGGTGTATTATAATCATACTGTACATTACATATTATTAAGCACAAAATAGGGATTGGAAAATCTAAATCACACTGTGGTCCGACCAGCTTGGAAAGATAATATATTATGTTGTTATCTTTCTACAGGCAGATACCCAGGATGTCAACAGCAGGGCTGATGTAAGGGTATACAATAATAAGAGCTTTAAGAAGTGAGGAAGCCCACATGAAACCATGCTCAATAAAAATTAAATGGGCATCAATGCAGCTTTACAAGGCAAAATTAAGATTGTTCTGCTTTGTGGCAACCCTGTTTTAATGGGTGGGTATTGGGGGGGGATGTCCTGACCCAAATGTTGATGCTTCTGGTTGATAAAAGTCAATGCAGCACAGGTTTGGCATGTGGGGCAATGTTTGCTCTGGCTATCGGGGACATGTCCTGTAAAGCCTGTTACACCAGCTAGTCAAGCCTCATCTCAGGTGGCGTTTATAAGCCTTTGATAACGATAACGATGAGACGGGGCTTGCATTTGTGACTTGTGACTTGTGTGGGTAATTTTAAGTTCCCAACCAAAAAATAAGAAACACTGCAGTCACGTTAAGTTAGATATGCAAGCATGACAAACGAGTCCCGTGGCTAGCAGTGGCTATGCTAACACCCCCGGCGAGCCAGCCCGGCTGTCAGAGCAAGGGCGCATGTTTCCTGGGACTGACAGCTGAGAGGTGGGGGGGGGGGGTGGGGGGTACAAAGGGAAGGGGAGGGGACCCTTTAAAAAAAAAAAAAACAGCTGACAGACCCAGCCGTGAGAGAATAAGTTGTCCACATTAAGCTACTACTTTACAACAGTTAACAGCAGTGTTCGTGGGTTCGATACCTTTGCTTTGCCGGCCTCCAGCTTCTTTTGCCTCTCCTCGTCTTCCATCACCGCGGTCCCTGTGGCTGAAACGAGAGGGAAACTGCTTCATGCGAAATGTCCGGAGAGACTAAAAACATTTAAAAGAATCAGAGAAACGGTTTTAACGGCTGACGGTTAAACGTCCGCCGTTCGGATTCCAGCGCGCGGCCACACACACTTTCCAACCGCCCGCATTTACGAGGAGCTGTCTCCTTGTTGGTAGTCCGCCGCCATGTTTTCCACGTAAACATGAGACCCGACTGTGATGACGTCGTGTAGGTGCCTTCAGAGCCACGCCCACCTTCGCGTTCCACTAGCGTTGCCTTCAAGTGCTGTCGGAAATCTTTTACAAATGTTCACCACCCAAAACAGCGTTAAGAGAGATGATTACAAAGTCCTATGTAACCTTGTTTTTCATTTAGGAACTTTTTATCTTATATACATTCTTATTTTTTTTGTATTCCCTTTATTTTGTTATGTGTATTTGTTTATTTTATTATTATATATTGGCGGTTCAAAGGGATAATTTTTCACTGTATCGACATATTTGTACAATGTATTGCAATTTTTGTACGTCTGAAATTTAAAAAAGAGGTGATTTTTAGTTATTACTCATTACTCTTTACAAAAATAATCTTATTACTTCACTTATTACTCACTGCCAAAAGTAAATAGTTGCAATACTAGATATTTTACTTTTCACGAACAATTGGTTTTTGTGTCCTTGCTCCCCAAAATTCAGATTTAAGACGATTAAAATCCAGTTTTGTTTGTTAAAATCAAAGTAATGGAATATTAATATTGTAAGCGTTTCCATCTTTATCAACTAGTTTCCTCCACGATTACAAAAATTAATCCAAGGATGTGATTGGATCAAAAGTAATATTGTTACTAATTATTTTTTTGGGGGGGGTAACTGTAATATTATTATATGTAATTTATTAGTAATTAGTTACACTACTAGTTACTGGGGAAAGTAATAATATAATTATTAATACTTAAGTAAAAGTAGCAATACTACTACAGCAGGAAAATGTTTTACTTTTCTAAAACTGCATGTGTATTAGCAACAAAATGTACTTAAAGTATAAAAAGTATTCAGTATGCAAAATGGCAATATGCAGAGTGTTATATTTATCAGATATTTTATTGGATTACTATCATTGATGCATTATTAATGTGGTCACGGTGGAGCTAATATTAAGAATTCTGTATACTCTTGGGTTTTCAAAATAATCAAGCACAGTAAACTGGCTTGTGGCCACTGCTGGTATTGTCCTCACAAAGGAGCACCAACGTTCAAATACTACAAGAAAGTGCAATATTCTGAAAACATTTCATTTCTAACATCATACTTGACCAAAAAAGCAAAAAAAACAACAGTTTCTATACATTTTTATGTCATCTCGCGGCTCATATTATTTATTTAACACTGTATATGAAGGCGTAGTTTAAATGCTTTTGAAACAATTAGAAAAGATTAATTTAAAATAATAATAATCTTGCGGGCAGGATCATATTGTATTTTTGACATCATGTCGCGGGCCAGATGGAGGGGATGAATGGCCCCTGGGCCCCCAGTTTGAGATCCCCTTTCTTTCCATTTGTAGATATATATTTTCTTGTATTTACTTTGTCTTTTCATTGAATTTGTAGAGGCAATACAGACACGGCTAACGTCTTAATGCACAGCAATCGTTGGTAATAAAGCCAAAACATCTCCTGATTTTCATAATGTCATAACTTTCCCTGCATTATACGCAGTCTGAATCCTGCTTAAAACGTCTGCTCAGTTTCTATGGTAACGGGGGAAAAAGGCTGCCAGAGCTGTCCCAGTTGAGAGGTTTCTTTTTTAACACTAAATATTTTCATTTCAAAGCAATGTTTTTTTCCTAATAAAGGCTTCAGCCATCACTTCACATTTTACAGCATTGCACTCGATCGGGCTATTTTGAGCACATTTCAAACAGTAGTACAGACTCCTTTGAACAGGAAACATCTGAGCTTCCTTGGCTGAATGGGACAACAGGTAACATGAGAGACTGGCATCAGTTTCTAGGACAGATGGAGGACAGGAAGGCCAATATTTATCTCACAGACAGACTCCATGTGGAATGGATCCTTAGTCCACAAAGACTTTATATATATATACCATTAGAACAGGTCATTATCACGTCTTGTAATCTGAATGCTTGCCCTCTCTCTGTTCTACAGCAGGGGTAACCCATCACAGAGAGTCAGACTGAATTGTCTTTTTGGGCCACTTCATTAAGTCACTAAGTCATTAATTCATTAATTCATTAGTCTACATTAATTGCTGAACAAATTGGACATTTGGGTGCCATTCAGGGGTCTGAAAGCAGGATTTTAGAAATATTGCTGATTTTTTTTATATTTTTTACTATTTTCAGCCTCCTTTGTGTGATTCTTGTACCGTTGTGCTTATAAATCAAACTACTAAATCCAAATTCCCCCAGCGTAACCCCACCCTGCAGAGGTAAGACCAAAGAAAGTTTGGAAAATGTTCAGATTGTTCACATTTTTGTTCTTTTAATTGTGCAATTACGTTATATGTGAATTTCCCTATTGCCAGGAATGTCATTCTGGTGGAGAGATACTTGAGATATGAGTATCTCATATTAGATCACCTTTTAATCCCTTCCCTTAAAACAGACAAATGCATGTGTATTTACAGAACTCATCCTCTCGTCTTTGAAAACCTCCAGAGATTCACAGAAACAACATTAAAGCACCTGTAAAATATTCTCTTGTTGACTGCAGTTCTGTCAACTCATTATGATTAATATAAAATATACATACTTTATAGACTTTCTCAGAGAAAACCTGGATTCACATAAGTTACCAAGTTTTTTCTCCTGCTTCTTAGAAACAATTAAAACATACCGGTGGCAGCAGCAGCAGCAGCAGCAGCAGCAGGAGAGGATGCTCTGTGTCTTCGGCTGACGGGAGCTGAACAGCTTATAGTCTGGCAGATTTTGAATTCCACCCATCTTCTTTTGGACATTCTTGCCAAATTGATCCCACCTGCAAACTCCCGCTGTGCTACAACGTCTATAGGAACCACTGAGCATTTGAAAGTTTCGCCAGTTTCTAAATTATTGATTCACTGAAGGAGTACTGTGTCAGCAGTTACCCAAGCAACTTTACCAAGTAGACCACAACAAATGGATCATGACAGAATTCAGTTTAATATTAAAAACACAGACATATGCATGCATGAAGGAACACATAAATTCACTTGACATTTCCAAGAGGTTCAGAGAAAGTGAACAAATAGACAAACTGACATTAAAATGGAATAAGACGAACAGAAAGATATAAAGAGAAAATGATAGGTATTAACTATGATTACAAAGACATTTAGAAATGTGTGTTTTACAAAAGTCTGACTGAGAGGAAGGAGAGCCACTCAGTTGACAGTTAATATGTTACACCTGTCTGAAGCTAATCCAGTCTAAAACAAAAGCTGGAAATCCGACCTTCATTGGGGTAAAACAGGGAGGAAAGAATGTTTGGTGTTCAAGTCTTTTGAAAATGTTCACATACCTGTTATCTGAGAGTAAATATAAGAGAGAAGAGTGTCTTTTGTTTTTTGTCTGTGTTGCCTGAAGATGCATGGGTCAAAGGTCTGACATCATATGGTGATAAAAACACACTAACTAACTAACTGTGTAAAACTGCACTACAGTTTAAGCTTAGGTGTTCATCATAAACTGGCACCTGAGTGTAAGATATGGCCAAGGAAGCAGAAATAAGACACTGTACAGTGCAAAAGATGTAACGTGTATTAAGTGTCTCACAGGATCAAATTAATTTTCTCCTGTGTGAGCAAATTCAACCACAACCCTCTTTCTTCTGTTTCCCACTTTTCTCCTCTTTTCATTTATCTTCTAAATGATTGAATCAGACAAGAACATAGACCCCAAGAGTTGCTCCCTATCACGTCATTATGCAAAAACAGGGAAGAGATTAACTGTAATGGAAAATAAACTCTGTCCTGTTGATGACAGAGACAAAATAATACTGAGACTCTATCATGGAGAAAGCTGTTTTGACTAAGAGCAGCTGGGTGAAAGCTCATTTGCATAGTGAAGATATCACTGTGCTGTATTAAAATATTCATGAGTGGTGGGACTCGTCAGTAAAAGAAACTCGATGGGTCAGTAGGTTTTTCAGTGCTAAGCTGTGAGCCACACCACATGGTAAATGCTCTCTTGTACCTCTCGAGTGTACAAAAACGTCAGCTGTATGTCTGACATTGATTCATGAAGTATTAATGCCTAGTAACACACAGCTCAGTATACTCTACATACAACCTGGTATGTTCATGATTATACTGAAAAGCTTGCCAGGTATCATAATAAAACAATAAGTGGACTGTTTAAATTCTATCATAAGGTAAATTAAAATATAATTTAGTGTATCTTCACCAGAAATACATCCATTGTGAAAAATGCCCTGAACCATTTATACCCTCAATTGTGGTGATTAACTATACAGAAAATATAACTGAGTTAACTGCATTCATAAAATAACGGGAAAATAATCATAATTAAAAAAAATACACAGACACAGAACATAATGTGACGGTTAATCAATCAATCAATGAAGTCTAATGACCTAATTTAATTAATTTTATTACATTTATAATGACCCTACAACAGTATAAGTGTATCCTATGATGGGTAGAAACTTAAAGGCCCTAAATAAAAGCCCTTTGCTTCCATCTAGTGGCTGAAAGTGGACCCAGAACCCATTTTAACCCCCAAAACAATTGAGTTGAGTTATTAGCAACAGGCAAATTCTTCAGGTTGTGAGAGTTTGTCAGCAGATCTCGCGAGATCTTATTCAAGCGTAACACTTCCGCTCTTACTTGGAGAGAGTTGGTAGAACTACTTCTCTCACTGAAGTCGGTGAACCGAGAGAAAGTGTTTGTGGTATGTTGTTACTCAATTTCTAAAAGAAGACAGACCTTTGATACGCTGCTGTACCACATTGTACGTTGTTTGAAGATATAAAAGTAGCGTAGCAACAACGGACGGTCAAAGTGCTCTGAGCGCCACGTGACAAATGCCTCAGACATAGAGACACAACTAAGGTTTTGTGGCAATTAGTAGTCAATAAGTGTATTGATTTGCAGAATTTAGCCTATATATCACCTCAATATGTTTATATAATTACATTAATATGTTTTTGTTTTATCTGAACTGTGGATATATATCTTGGTTAAAGAGTGTGTTGCTGTTATTTAGTTTTATTTTTTGTGTGTGATTATATGTTTTTAAACTTGTACAGTTAAAAACAAACACATTGTAATGTTTATTGATATATTTAGAGGGAGGGAGAGGGTAGGGTAAGTAAATAAGTACATTTAATGACAGGTGATTCAACTGACTGCACAACAGGTCAATGGACTACCATCAGTGTGTTCTGTTTACAATTATTATATATATATATATATATATATATATATATATTAAACTGAGAAATTGAGAAAATAGTCATTTAATACCTGAAGTATATACGTATATCAAACATTTCATTATAAAATTATTTGTCTAATATTTAGTGTACAACAATATATGGTGCCTCAATACTTAAATACAATAATAAAGCATATAACACTCTGAATAGGGCCAGTCTGCATTATGAGTACTTCAGCACATTTATTTAATCACACTTATTGTGCTTTTACTTACATAAATTGAACTGTTACTTATAATAAAGGATTTGTATTGAGTGGTATTGGTACTTTTTCTAAAGGATCTGTAAAGGTAAAGCATCTGATTACTTATTCCACCCCTGAAACATTGTGTAATAGCCATTTAAATGATCCCTTCAAAGACATTATTACCTATTAGATACTTATAACAAACATTATGTCGGTGTGCACTGTTTATGACCAGGCGACTATGATAACTCTTGTTTCTTTGTCTAGATTTCAGCTGATTGTACCGTGTTTTTATTTGTCTTCTTTTAGGTCCACAGACACTACATCACAAGGAGAGTGTAGTCCTCCTTGTTAATAATGGCAGTAGTACATGGAGTGAGGGCTCTCCTCAGCCTCCATCGATCCGCGTTGTTTCAGCGCAGCTTTAGGCTCATTCCAGTACAACTGACATCAACCTGCCTTCCCACCAGGCTTTGCAGTGCTACTACTAAAAGTAAAAAGGCAAACCTGGAACAGAAGAAGGCCAATAAATCTATACTGGACAACCTGCATCTCATGGGAGTTGATGTGGAGATGGCATGCCAGCGTCAGCCTGGCGTGTTTCGTAAAAACTTCACCAATGAGCAAGGTCTCGCTCAGTTTCTGCAAAGCAAAGGTGCCACCAGCGAGGAGATTGCAAGCATCATATCCCGTTTTCCCCGCGCCATCACCCGCTCGACTGAACACTTGGAAGAGCGCTGGGAGCTGTGGAGAAAGATCTTAAACAATGATTCAGAAATTGTGAGTGTCTTGGAGCGCTCACCTGAGGCTTTCTTCCGGTCCAGTGATAATAAGAACTTTGAGAATATCATTACTTTTCTGACCTCGCTGGGCTTCACAACCAAAGACCTCGAACGGCTGCTGCTCAGATCGCCGCGGATATTCAGCTGCAGTTTAGCGCTCATCAGGCAGAAGGTGAAGTTTCTGAATGACATCTGTGTCGAACTTGGTGGCACGAACCCAGAGCAATTCACCAAAACCGTCCTGAGCAGAAACGCTTTCATCTTCAGCGACAGCATCAAGAGAATCAGGATGAACATTGATTTCCTAAGAACTTATCTTAAGTTGGGCAACTCAGAGATGCTTTCTTTCATTCAAGGCTCTGCTACAAGAATTCTGGTCCTTTCCACTGAATATATGCAAAAAAATTTAAACAGTGTCGAGCAGATGATGGTTTCACTTGGCTGCCAGAAAGCTGACATACAAAAACTGATCCACACCTATCCAGTGGTTCTGTACATTAGGCCAGAGACACTGAGTTCTAAGCTGGAGTGTCTCCTAAAGGTAGGAATCACACTGGAGCAGATTCTGGAGACGCCGAAGGTTTTAGACTACAGCACACAGACCATTTTAGGGCGACTGGAGCTGCTGCAAGAGGTGGGATATAACTTCCGGGTGAATGGCATCAGTGTCCTCGACAATAGCCAAAAGCGATTTCTGGCTAAGATAAAAAAAATTAAAGTATGACTGTTACATAATGTTGGATGCTACTTGTACTTGGCTTCAGCATAATCAGGTTTTTTGGGTTTTTTTTGTTCTGTTCTCACTATTGATTAAACCGTTCTCTAACAGCTCTAATAGGTTTTTATTGAGAAGAATGTTATTTTTGTAAAAAATATTTTTTTGTCCTGGTCGAAGTTTTATATATTACATGTTGGAGAGTTTTTGTAATTTATGTGAAGACGCAAACTTGTAATAAAAGTGAAATCCTAAAAAAAAAAAACATCTAACTACATGTTACTTTATTTGTACCTCTGACAAACACTATACAAACATGATGAAGGGTAAAAATGAAAGTAAAAGTGCTCCAGGACTTATGTACTAATATGTATTTGCTGATACTTAATTTAATTTCAGGCACAGCTTTATATTAACATCAAAACAAACAAAATACAAAACATGGACAACAACATAGAGATATAAAATAAACGGATTAAAACACACAAACAAACAAGAGGGGCAACTTGTGTGTTTTGTGAGTTAAAACTGAAACATGTTAATAAATAAATATGAATAAATAATAGTTGAATCCATCAATATATCTGAATCATTGATCTGAAGGTGAGAGCTGCTGTGACATCCGGAACCAATGTTAGTCGGAGCAGGACACGGCGGACCTCACCAAACTGCTGCACAACCCTCTCCTCACGCTGTCGGATTGTTGATGTGCAGTTTAGGTCCCGAGACAGACGTGTGATCCAATTTAACCGTGTATATTTATTTATTTTTATTTTTAACAGGACTTTTAATCGCCACGAATCAGCGAGAAACGCGTTAGCCATCTGTTAGCCACCTGTTCGCTTGTTAGCAGGGCCATCGTAGTTTCACTGTTACAGCAAAGCTACAGTAAGTTAGCTCTGGTTAGTTAACTTAGGTCATCGTAAAGTAGTTCCAGTTAAATGTGCAGTTTTCTCCTGCAAGGCTGCACGTTTAACCGGCTTCAGAGTTGTGGGCTGATGTATGAACATGTTTCAGGAGAGGAGTTGTGAAGGTGTGATGGACAAAGCGACGGAGGAACCCGCTGGAAAGAGGACAGATGTTCCTGTGAAGGGTGAAGCTGCAATCAAACCAGAGTATGTAACTAAACATCTGTCCAGCACAGGTTGAAAGCAGATGAGACTTTACTGGTCCCACATTGGGGGAGTTCACTCTCTACTGCAAGAACATACACATTCAATGAAAATAGAAAAGAAAAATACAAGATATAATGATAAATAGTTGTATTTATACTAGATGCTTATTTTCATACAGATGTGATTGATGTGGGATATTGCACAGGTTACAGCAGGAGGTAGTGGCATGGCATAAAAATAAATACTTGCACAGGATAAACTCCAGCAACACTAATAAAAAGAAAGGTCTCCATGCCTCTTGGAAGTCGGTGAAGTTGTGTCAGAAATCCCCTTTTCTTTCTGTCTGCGTCTTCCCCATGACAGTCCATTATAGTCCTTGTATCACTGCCACACCAGTCTGCCTCTCACACTTGAAGGCGCTTCCCTCAAACAACCATTTCACACACCGAGCGCTGCTTTGTCTGATGGAGCCAACAGAACTGACACGGTCAGCAAAAAACAAGTCATAGCTCTCGCTCAAGCTTTACTAAGGATTGGCTGGTCCCTATCAGTAGCCCCTGTTGTAATTGTACCATTAACCGAACAATTATGATAAATGGCTCTCTTAAAGTAAGACTTGTGCCAAAAATACACAGGAAGACTGCCACATGAATTAAAACTAAGAGCAGTGCACGATTTCGTACAGTCTTCAGGTTAGGTTGTTGCACCACCAAAACGGGCAGGATGAACACGTTTGTTTTTGTTCTTGCATTTGCAGATTCCTAACAACCAAAGAAAAATTCCATGGGTTTGTCGACTCTGAGTGGCGGGGCCCAAAAGGAGACAAGGCCAGCGAGAATGACAAAGTCGAGGAGACAAAGGTGGCACCTCCTGTGGAACCTGATACCAAAAAGCTCAAACTGGATTCTGAGGAGAGCAACAAATCGGGAAAACCAGATGGGAAACGGATACGTGGACAGAATAAGTCAAGGCCACACACAAAGCCTACCACCTATGATGAAAAACGACTGTGTCTTTCAGTCCTTCAGGTATGAAACTTTAACCAACCATTCACAAACGACCACATACAGTACCTCTCAATCGCTGTGTCAGCTGATTGTTGTTGCCCTGACTTTCCCCATCCACGCAGGACAATAGGGAATGCCCCTTTGGAGACAAATGCCACTTTCACCATGACATCGCTGAGTACATGGCCACTAAGCCCGCTGACATCAGGGAAAGCTGCTACCTCCATGACACGTTTGGAAAGTGTGCGTTTGGCCTCACCTGCCGCTTCGCCAAGGCGCACACTACACCTGACTTCAAGACCATGGAGAATGCAGAACTAATAAAAGCCTGCGAGGGGAAGACCCCGGTGAAGAACAGCCTGAGTAAAGACCTCCAGAATCGTCTGAGGAAGCGTTCGGTCTCCTTCAAGAAGTCAGCAGAGTACCTCAAAACACTTTCAGACAACAGAGACAAAAGAGAAGAGCGAGGAAATGGTGAGATGACTAAAGACGTTTTAAAATCAATTAAAGTCGCTTATACATGATTTAATGACGGTGAACATGAGTTTCTGCTCTTATAATGAGTGTTAAATTACACAGAAACTGACAGAAGTGCAGTAATCGTTCAGCCACATGCACAATGCCATTTTGTGTCCGCTGAGTTGAACAGGTGTTGAATGATAACCTGTAATAATCTTCATCCTTGATTTAAGAGATACTTCGTTAGTCAGTGTTGCGGCTCATATGTTTAGCCTCCAAATATTCTGTATATTTGATGAAATTATCTTTTTATTATATAAAATAATATATAACAAAATGTGATATTATAATTCTGTGTTGTTGTTTTTAGGTGAGGCCTGTGCTGCTGAAGTATCTGCAGATCAAACAGGAGGAGAACAGCAAGCAGCTACTAAAGTAGAAACACAGGTACAAACCTCTACTCAATACCTCTTTATATACATATATGTGTCTGCGTTTGTTATATACCAGTATTGTAACATGTTTGCTTTATGACAAGCTACAGGCCAGCCCAGATAAACAGCCTCCAGTGAAGACTATTGGCCCTCTGACTGATGTAGATGTCATCAAGTTGCGCCCATGTGAAAAGAAACAGGTATATTTCAGCCAATTTTCTTAAGGTAGTTTGTTGACCAACAAGTAATGACGTGTAGTCCCTTTTTCTTGCTAAATAAATGTACAAATGAATAATGGCCAACTCATACAGATAAATATTTAAAACGTTTGCAGAAGTTATATTTCTGTACTTCACTAAGGAGTGATTTATTTTTCTTTGTGTTTAAGGTGGACTTTCAGGACAAGCTCTACCTTGCTCCCTTAACAACTGTAAGTACAACCAGAATGAATTGAATTGAGCACTGAAGCATCGTTCTTAATGTAGCTATATATTTAAATGCTGCCAAACAAATCAGATTTTATTTAAAATGTAACCCAAGTATATAAAATCCCAGCCCTTTAAATAAAGGTTTGACCTGACTGAATGATTCGCTCTCTTTGCTCAGTGTGGAAATCTGCCTTTCCGTCGCGTGTGCAAGCGCTTTGGAGCAGATATCACCTGTGGGGAAATGGCCATGTGCACAAACCTGCTGCAGGGGCAGCAGTCAGAGTGGGCCCTCCTGAAACGGCACGAAAGTGAAGATGTTTTTGGCGTCCAGGTGATTTTATCCTCGATTATTGGGACTCCTCAGAGGAGCTGAATCACACTGTTCATGTTGTTGTTATAAACACGGCTTGTGGAAATGCAGTTTTTATGAAAGATGGCCTCAGTTCTGAAGTCCATAATGTGTGTCCAGGTGGAGGGCTGCTTCCCTGACACCATGACGAGGTGTGCAGAGCTCATCAACAACAACACTGATGTTGATTTTGTGGACATCAACTCTGGATGCCCCATTGACCTTGTCTACAAGAAGGTAAACCTCTCATCAAACCAATTCAGGCAAAGTAAAGGTCCACTGTGTCTTTCCCTCCAGCTTTATCCACATGCTACAGTGTGAGATTTCTTTAAATCAAACCTTTCTGTGGTTAAATTACGACTCACATTAAAGCTTAAAATCAACACTCTCTCTTTTATAACCAAAATAAAAGCTTCATTATACTCCTTGGGTGACGTCACAGACAGACTTTTTTTTTTTTTTACTATCATGTTGCCACGATCAGTGAGAGCTTTGTGTTTTATGATTGAGTGCACAAAGCACAGAGGCATCAGTATCAAACATCAGTGTGACTCTCTCTGACAGATGGTGTTTGTTTGCTTTCCCTCATCAGGGTGGAGGCTGCGGGTTGATGACACGCACCAGAAAGTTTGAACAGATAATCAAGGGAATGAACTATGTAAGTGTTTTATTTTTTATACCTAATGTCTTGTTTTTCATTGTAGGCAGTCATATAGTGTTGACTTTTTCCAAAATATTTTTTTGCTGTTAGGAAGAAATAAAACAATAATCATGAATAAAAACAAAATGTAACTATACTGTATATTCTTCTTTGGCTTGGATTAAATGTACAGTGACTGTATTAAAATATAATGTTTCTTTGCAAGTTATTAGCAGAATAAAAACATGATTTTTTTCTGCCTGAAGGTCCTTGATGTCCCTTTGACAGTCAAGATCCGCACTGGTGTTCAGGAGAAGAGCAACATAGCTCACAAACTCATCCCTGAGATGAAGAAATGGGGCGTCTCCATGATCACAGTAAGTCCTGTAGTAGAAGAAACGTTAATAGATGTGAAAAGAGAAATGGGTTTTAGCAGTTATTTCCCCTGATTTTATGTTTATTTATTTAACTATAAGTATATTTAACTATATTTAACATTAGTCATCATGGCTTCATAGCAAGTGTGGAAAAATAGGAAATAATGGGAGTCACATTTAAGATTTTCCAGGTTTAAGTCATTATACAAAAAACATATCATTTCAGTTTTCATTTTAGTCATATTATAACGTTTGACTTGTTTTACTCTCTTTTTCTTATGAGTTGTAGTCTCATTAAATCACTGACGCCGTTGTTTCCTTACAGTTGCATGGCCGGTCCAGAGAGCAGCGGTACACTAAGTTAGCTGACTGGGACTATATCACCACCTGCTCCAAGCTGGCTAGTCCTGTCCCACTATTTGGTATGTGAATTTGTAAAGAATAAAGCTGCAGATAGTGCAGATAGAGAGACAAATACTAAAAAAACATTGTGTGGGAAAAGAAACCCTCCATTTTTATATTTTGGAAATGTTTTAAAATCATGCTCAACAGTCATTTATTGCTGGTGATGAGAAGTTGACCTGTGTTTATTGTCCCAGGTAATGGAGACATTCTGTCCTATGAAGACGCCATGAAAGCCAGAGAGACGGGAGTTTCTGGTATTATGATTGCAAGGTTGGTGCCATTTTTAAAGATTAAACACATTAGAAGAAAGTCTCCCACCTTCTGTTGCGATAAAGAATTAAATATTCTTCTTATTTGGAAGTAAATTATATGTGGTCATACATATTGGCACTATTTACTTAGACTCTTTTGACTGGTGTTACTGTAGTTCAGAGTTTATTTGACCCTTTTGTAACCAGCAGTCCCTTTTTAAAATTTCTTCAAAACGTATACATAAGTTTGAAAATGTCAGACCCCTTTAAAGCTGACTCATACAGCTGATTAGCAGTTAATTTGAGCTCTATTGTTGCATTACTGCCTTCTTTGTAGCTTCCTTGTCTAATTGTTTTCCACATAGGGCTTCTGTGGTGCATCATCAGCACTTTATTTCTTGAGCTTTCTTGCTTTTATATTGACTAAGAGGATAGTAGATCCATAAAGAAGAGGAGTTACTCCACGTTTATGTAGTGAACTTGAATTCGACAGTGAATAAAATGTTTAATCCGCATTGCAGTTTGGACATTTGTTGTGGTTGTCTCTTTTCAGAGGTGCTCTCATCAAGCCCTGGATCTTCACAGAAATAAAGGAGAGCAGACACTGGGACATCTCGTCCAATGAGCGACTGGACATCCTCAGGGATTTCACCAACTTTGGTCTGGAGCACTGGGGCTCCGACACTCGAGGCGTGGAGAAGATCCGCACCTTCATGCTGGAATGGCTCTCCTTCATGTGCAGGTAGGCGGCAACTTCAATAGATTGTATTTCTCCTGCTATGAACTATCAGACGGAGTTCATTACCATTTGTCATTCGATACAGACTCAGACTCAGTATGTACACGCTGGGAGTAATACTGTATTTTAATAGGACGCCCTCTGTTAGTCATGGTGTCATCTCATCAGCGTTTGCAGGGACATTTGATACCTTTTTTAACAACACTAGTGGCTCCAAAACGGTGGATTATGAATGATTATACTTCACTTTTCCCCTCCATCTATCTCTGTCTCCCAGGTATATTCCAGTGGGCCTGTTGGAGCGAGTGCCTCAGAAGATCAACGAGCGACCTCCATACTACATGGGCAGAAACTACCTGGAGTCACTGATGGCCAGTCAGCACGTTGGGGACTGGGTCAGGATCAGGTGAGCAGAAAACTGTCCAGAAGCATCTTTTAAAATCAAATGAAGCCTATCTCTACCTATTATAACCACTCACTCTGTCCCCTCTCCAGTGAGATGCTGCTCGGACCCGTACCGACGAATTTCAACTTCTTGCCGAAACACAAAGCCAACGCCTACAAATAAAATGTCTCTTTTTCTGACTATTGAAAAACATCCAGGTTTGTTTTTAATGGCTCCAGAGATTAAGATTTAAATAAAGAAGATTGTGTTTTAAATGATAAAGACTATTGAATAGTCTGTCTGTTTGTTTGAGCTGTGGTACAGTAGTGGAACACATGGTTGTTTGTGTACTTGAAATATATGCAATAAACTCTTTTGCCACACTAAGAAATGTGTCTTTTTATAAGAGAAGGTGTGATTTCTCATTTATCATCATGGAATAACTATAAACTCACATTACGTAATTATTTTGCTTTTTCTTTTGGAAATTGTAATAAAAAACATCTGATTCTAATACATTTGTTTGAAAACTGGAAATAATGAAGCTTATATAATTTATTGTCTTTGGGAGATTGAGTTTCCTATTTAATATATTTTAATGTTTTGTTTAATTGCATCTACATAATGTGAGTGAAAGAACATTAGAGAAAAAACAATGCAGCACCTTCAATTAAAGCACCAAGCCATATCCATGGTGTTATTTTAGTTAATTTAAGCTAATTGTTGGAAATTAAGAAAGTTACATTTTTGTTCATTATTCAAAATCCTTGTTAATTAAAAAATATTTTCCACTTACACTTAATAATAGGTAAGTGTACAAAAAATGTATTTGCCCAGACTGACATAAAATGTAAATAATAAATCATACTCTTAATTATAAAACACATTTGGGTAATTAATCTGTTTTAAAAGAATTATAAAATGTAATCAGACACATGAAATAGGGCTGATGTTCTAGCATTCAGGAGGTTTTCACTCACACAGGTGTAAGTGGGACCTTAAGGAGCCACAAAGTGTAATCAATTAACTTCAACCTCTACTTGTAGTTTGGCAGCAGCTGCCTCTTTAGCTGGAGTTCATCGGCCGCAGGAGGGCTTTCACTTGGATCCATGGCTGGGTTCAGGGTTGAGCTGCTGTTTGTGGTGCTGACTGGGACTCTGCTGCTGGTTCCGGTCCGAGGGTGGGAGACAATCAGCGAGACTCAACTCACAAATTTCTACCAGACGGGACAGTGGAGTAAACCACAAAGCCTCACAAAGCCAGGTACTGCAGACACTGCCCTCACATAATGAGTGTGGACAGGTATTAAATCTGAGCCTGTGTGTTCTTTAAAGTGGCTTTTAAACCATATGTAAGAAATAAATGACAAATTCTTGTTAGAAAAGCTGAATTATTAAGGAATAAAGTACATAACTTATCAGACTTTGCTTTGTAACTCATTTACTGAGTCAATTCACTGACTTTGATTAACTTACTGTTGCAATACATTTTAACATCATGCAACTGTTTCATAGTCTGGCTTTAACCTGTGTAACTGCCTTTTTGGAGCAAACTAAATTAGTAAAACTTTATTGTGTTTGTGTGTAGATTTTTGTGCTCAACCTGTATTTGCAGTTAACCAAAAGCTTTAGAAGACTTAAAGCAACTGAACCTAATGTCAGTGAGTCGAACAGTTGCTGGAAACTCTCACTCAAAGTGACTTAACATGAATTAAACATGTTAAAATGCACCAGTAGCTCAGAAACATGAATGTCCAGAGATTTTTGTGTCATTTGTAGAAGTTCAGTCTTTCCCAATAGAAATGGGGGTTTTCAGATTTATTACCATATTTTCTAAAATGTTTAACTCGAGCTCAACGGTCTTCAGTCAGACTTGTTAATCAGTTCACACTACATATTCAGTGATTTTTATTTTTTATTTTTTGGGGGGGTAAAGCAAGAGATGACTTAAACAGTTGCTGACGTTTTTAAATGAGAAAATGGCTGCTGCTTTTTGACTGCGGTCACCTGTGACCTTGCTAAAAACCACCACTCTCCCCTCCAGATGACAGCAGCATATTTTATGACTTTGATGAGCAAATTCCTGAGGATGCGCTTCCTGACGTTGAAGGTGCTGCCACCAGCGACCATGGATTCCAGGTGGAAACGGACTCTGGACCGAGAGACTGGGCCAGTGGTACGGACAGTGGATTCCACATGGAGTTTGTAGATGCCCCTCCAAGAACCTGGTCTGGTCAGAGTTCAAGTGAGCTCAGCGTGGTTTGCAGTGAAGTTGGCTTCCAGATTAAACTGCCGACGGGTCCATTAAGTGAAGTTAAGGTTTTGGGTATGTACTCTGGCTCTTCTGCACTATATTTAAATCAAGTTTTGCTGAATACATGTCTGTTTACTGGGTTTGTTTGACTCTCCAGGTTCGAAGGATCTGCTGTCTGTCACGACTGCACCAGCATCTTGTGGTTATGAAGTGAACTCTTTCAAGAACACATTGACTGTACCCTTTACTGGGTGCAATGTGAAACTTGTAGGTAGCTGTAAAGTAAGTGTACTCCTGATTTAATGATTGCTTTTAATATCCAAGTCCTACGATAAAATGTAGTTTTGCTTACATGGAATTCAGTTTAAGGGCTTACCTAGAAAGCTGTATTTCTAAATGACTGCAGACGGACAGCTACAGCCTGCAGTTGTTGTATGTCGATAACTTTGGTGCAACACAAGTTGCCACCGCATCCTGTGACGTGAAGAAAGTAAAGTCAGACGGTAAACTGTTCCCTCGTGGCAATGGTCAACCCACACTGAAGTGCAGTGACCCAACCACTGCGCCACCAACACCGTCAAACTCTCAAAGTGAGTGCAAACAATATTTAACATCACTTTTAGGGAGGTTTTTATTGTTTAATGGCTTTTTTTATTTTTTTTTATTTAAATAACTTCAGACTGTGCTGTGACTGTGGGGGAGCGGGTGCAGTGTGGTCACTGGGGAATGTCTTCCTCAGCCTGTGAGATGATGGGATGCTGTGTGGATCTTTCTAAATCTGCCTGCTACTACCCGCTGGATGGTAAGGCTTCTGTTTACGTAGATATGATATTTAAAATCTTCACTTTTTAACTTAACTCTGTATTTAAAGTAACCTTTCTGGTATAACTTTTATTCTTCTCACTTTAGAGTGCACTGCAGATCAACACCTTGTTTTCGCCATTCGATACAACTCTGCATCCATCCCTGTGGACCCCACCAAGCTCGTTACTCCTGGGTTTACAAACTGTAAACCAGTCATTGTTAATGACCAGGTCGCCATCTTTAAGTTCAAAGTTACAGAATGTGGAACTCGTGCTTATGTAAGTTGTCCCCTTTTACTTCTTCCCCCCCCCCCCACACCACTTTATTAGGTCAAGTGCAATGTTAGGAGTCCCACTTATTTAAGTCAGGTTGCCAGACTTGTGGACTCGCTTGATTTTGATAGCTACTGCTTGTTAGGGCAGATAACAGTGTCTCAATTAGACCCTAATACAATTTTTTTTTTTTTTGGAGTTTTATTTTTTCCAGGATAGTTTCAGCACCCTAACTCTTTTTTCACTGTTAAGCTATCTTTGTTTTAAACAGATGCTTACCCAGCTCACCAGGCAGTGGCGGTACCCAGTAAGGGTACTCCTAGACAATGGTCTGGTACTTGGTACCAGTGGGTACCAGGCACTACAGATAATCAAGAACTTAATGCTGCAGCCCTTTCAACTTTCAGCTGCATAGACAGGTGGTATTGTCCTGCCATTGGAGCAAATGGGAGTCGATAAACTTGTATTACTAGAGTTTTTCATAAGGTGCTTACAAGTAAAACTAAACAAACATGTTTCTCAGTTCTCAAATGTGGCAACAACCAATCCAAATGGTTTGGACTAAAAGTCATCTTTTAGAGATCATACATGCTGTGTAACTGAAGAGACCGGAGTTGACTGAAAAGGTTTTACTACTTGACAGACCGTTGGTGAGACGACCATCTACCTGGCTGAAGTGCAGAGTGTTGTACAAGCTCTGAACCTCAAGTATGGAGTAATTACAAGAAGTGATCCACTCAGGTTGGTTATTCCTACTTTTACTCTGCAAGCACACTCCTATCCCAAGTTAATTACCATGAGCCTAATTGTGGCTCTAGTGACTGAATAATATGGTCCAGATGTAGACTTGCATGTTTTAACCTTTATATGCAGTATAAACAGAGTGTACTCTAAGCATTGACCCATGTCTGTCTGTAGGTTCATGATTGAATGCCGCTACGGCAAACAGGGCTCCAGTCAGCAGTCACTGGCCAGTGTTGGTTACATGGTGATGACTCCAACTTCTACCTTGCCCTCATCAGTTGTCGCCAGTGGCTTATATGGCGTTGAATTGAGAATTGCTACAGGTTGGATATTTATACGTCACTTTCCAAAACCAGATGAGTAAAATCTTGATCAGTTTAGCTCTCAAACGGTAACATTTCATCAACTTCAGTGAAAGTTTGCTCCCCATCTGTCTAACCCCAACAGATCAGACGTATTCCAGCTACTTGCCCACGTACCATCAGCCCTTGAGACTTCTCCTTGGCAAACCAGTGCATCTTGAACTGCTCCTAAAGTCTCCAAAACCAGACGCAGTTATTCTTGTCAACTACTGTATAGCTTACCCGCGCTCTGCAAAGAACGCACTGGTGCTCGTTTATGAAGGGTAAGCGACTGTCTGACCTTTTTAATGTGAAATTAATTTCCTTTTGCCCTCGGTTCATTTATTCATGAGTTATGTTTGTCTCCGTAGGTGTCGCAACCCTTATGATCCAAATGTGTCCATCCTTCAAATCAGTGACCTTCCAAAAAATCGCTTTGTAAGGCGTTTTGTGGTCAAGGCCTTTCAGTTCATGGATCAAACAACAAACCAGTACCTTGATGAAGAAGTGAGTTGACGTGTTCAGGGAGCCATTGTGGGCCTGAATGGTCAAATCTATACTGTGCAGACTAAAAGGGACCCTGACACAGTAAATGTGGTTTAAGTGTTATGATTTCAACTCTGACACATTTGCTTAATTAAATTCGTTCACTTGAGATTTTGAGGCAACCCCCTCTAAAGGTTGTATGACCTCTTTTCCTCACATGGTGACGGTTTCTTTGTCCTGCAGATCTATTTCATGTGCTCTACAGAAGTTTGTCGGACGGCAGAAAAGACGTGTCAAGAACGATGCTTTGACGGAAAGGTGAGCCTCCTATAAACCGCTGTATGCATGTATCTAGTCTGTTTTTTAAATGGCTAATACGTTTGTTTTTTTTTCCCCAGGCACCGTAAGGATTTGCAACTGCAGCGTAAAGGAAAAATGAATTGCAAATAATAAACATTTTAACACTGTACGAGATCTGTGGTTTCTGTTTAAATGTAGTAGTGCCTCTATCAATGTCAGATCTCTCCCTACTTCCTGTGTTTTCTTTGGCATACTAGATTTTAACGGTGAACTCTTAAGTTCAGAGCTAATAAGGAATTCATAAGAGTTTATTGCCCCTTAATCAAGCTCTGACCCTACATGTACATTAGTACTTTGCATGATAGGAAACTTTGCAATTACTAGGTTGTCAGATCTGGGGGGGAGAATCAAAATTTCCATTGTGTGTTCATACAATATTGTAATCTTTGTTTTGTCAAGGTTTGAGTAGAGGAATCTCCACAGTATATTAAAAATGGAAGTGAAACTGCAAGTACCCAGAGGGAGCCAACAGAAACCTCTCTGTATAATGCAATAACACCACAACCCACATCCAAAGTGAAAGTTGAATCAACACATTTTTTAAAAACACTCTTGAAGGAGACTTACAAATGGATATAGACTATAAACTGCTAAAATGTACATTAAACTGTTTTGTGGGTTCTTGCAGGATTAAAATGATAAGGTTTTTTTTTTGTTTTTTTACAGTTCTGCTATAAAACTCATTGCTTCATAGTCTAAAATGTACAGTAGGCAACTTGAGTACTGAACAGAACTGGTTTCTGTTTGGTAGTTTACCCTGAAGCAGTTTTAATAGGATCCAGGTTGCCCATTCACAACCAAATGGATGTAATAGAAGTTGACAGGCTAGAATAGATAAGTAAGATGAGATTTGTTGAGTCTCCCACAAAATTACACAACACTTTTACTTAAACGTAAGTATAAAATCTCACTGAAATAAACGTCTGTGACCTGTAGAAGATATTTGTGGGCTTTTACTGCAGATATACCATAAACCATTCAATTCAATTCAGTTTAAAATGTAAAACATCTTCCTGAACAGTTTACTTGAATGTGTTTTAATCTTATTTAAATCATCTAGTATAAAATGTTTGTTTGAATCCATGTTTAACTATTAAAGGCTTAAACAGTTACTGTAACATTAAAACAACTTACCTATAAATTATATTTAGTTTCAAATATGCAGGTTATGTTTTTAACACACGTACTCTACATAACCACTTCATGTATGTAAATGTATATTTTTGTTATTAATTAATTAATATTTGTTTACAATTTACAGAAACGACTTATATCAACATTGTATATTGTTGCATTGTTTATATTTATGTATATACAACTATTGTTTCACCTTCTTGTATGTATATAATAGTTATATTTACCTATTTTTGTTCAGCTTTGTTGTTTTTATGTCAATGTTTATGTCTTCTGTCTGTAAAATTGTTCTGTATCTAATTGTCAACACCACTTTGCAGAAGATCTAAAAACATTTTAGTGGCATTATTATAAATTTTTTTATTCCTCGTGGTCTCATTGTTTTACTGTTTACATTTGTGCTATCTTATGATCCTATCAGTCATCAATTTAGCACTTTGAACTGCGTCAACATGGAGGAAAAGATTCTTAATGGGGAGATTTTGAGTCTTAAATTTAAGAACAATTTTGGGGGCTGTAAGAAAACAGTGGACCTATATCTCAGCTTTTTTTTTTTATTATTATTTTTGTAAGTTAAAGCAACCAAACTGAACAATGGCCAAACGTCAGAGAGAAGGAAAAAAAAGAAGCCTATTAAATATTAATTAAAAAAAAAAATATTACAGAGATAATTGTATTAAAAATGTGTATAAAATGTGTCCGGTGAAACATTCACAGGAGATAATTAAATAACTAGTTGTTAAATATAATATGAACAATAAAATAGGTCTCTGAATGAGGAGGTGGTCCTTTGTACCCCTGCACAGCTCCACCCAGGAGGTCGCTCTCCCTCTGTAAACAATCTCTGAACCATATGGACCAACATGACGAGGCATCTGCCGCTCACCCACAATTCTTTGCGCCACAATCAAAAACACCCACTTTTGTTCCCACTTGGTGCAGTTTTGAAAGTCTCGCTGTTTGACTCTTGTGCTTGTTTCCTGTTTTTTTTATTATCTCGCTCACAATAAAAACAAAAACATTATTAAAGTACGCGTGCGCGTCACTGAGGGAACACAGGAAGTAGCGTCGGTCAGGTGAGAGGAGTCACATGTGCTCATCAGCTGTACGGCTATAAACACGAAGTGAGTATACTTATAACTGAGCAAATAGCTTGTGTGCGTTGTTCCTTAATGCAGAAAGTAGCAGCTCATAATCAGAGCCAGGAAGAGGCTGATGTTATCTTTAAGTTACCCGGTTATTGATGCGGTTTTGGAGGCATTTGGGGCAGTTAGCCGGGGCAGCTAATGGCTGTCTGACCTGTCACCTGTCTGCTACTCACAGTTAACATCTGAGTAACTGCAGGTCCGTCACAAGCTTCCTGTTAGATCACACTATTTGTTTTAAAGTCTTTCATGTAATTTGCGAGATAAAATCTGTGGTGCAGTTTCCTGTATTTGGCATATATACATATATATATATATATATATATATATATATAAATGTATATGTGTGTGTGTAATGTTATATAATATATATAAAAGGTGCTGTATTTTAGTCCCAGCTGTATATATTCATGTAAATATGCAGTATTTAATCTGTTTGTTCTAATAAAACCGCTCAGTTCACAGTTTATTTCCCAATTCTGAGACAATAAGGAATTCATACCGATTATATGGGCTGCTCATGTTTGACTATTTAATTTGCATAGATCTCTTAGACTAAGAGTCATGCATTAATGTAACTGTAATGAAATGTATGAAAACCTTCAAAGTAAAGCAGTAGCATCAGTACTCTGTGGCTTAAATTACATATGTGATGTTATAAATGTTCATACATAAAGCTTGTGTTATAGTCACCAAAGGGAGAGGAAAGAGCTTTCTGCTATATTAAGACCTTTTTTAATGATGTCACTTTCTACTTTGTGCCTGTTTTTTATTGTTTACTCTTCAAGTTATTGATATAAACTACAAGACTACACAAATTAATGGGCCAGTCAGCTGTAATGTTCCACAACTATCACAAACTCAGCTTCCTGATATGAAACATGCTCCTCTGCCACCACTTGTGTGTGTGTGTGTGTGTGTGTGTGTGTAAAGCAGCAGTCAGCAGGTTTGCATGAGGGCGTGGTTTGTGTCCTCCCTTAAGACACCAAGCGACAGGAGGTGGACTCTCACTCTCATTCTGCTTGTTAAACTCCTCAGCTCCTGTTGCTGGCAAACATGGCTCATCTCACAGCGCTTTTCAAGTATGTGGACGAACACCAGGATCTGTACGTGAAGGTAAGTTAACTGTCGGCTACTCATTGTGGTATTTAGATTGCAGCCAGATGTCTGTCTTCTCTTTATCGAATGGTGTTAACCTTGAATACTAAGCAGCATTGTAGCTCATTCACTCTGAGTTAGTGTGTGTGCCAGACTTTGCGAATGTTCAGCCAGTGGAGATCATTAAATCCAACTGTAGTTGGTAATAAAAAACACATTCACTCTTTAACAAAACTTAAAACTTCTTCCATCTTGCACCCGCTGTATGAAACACCTTCTCCTGTTTTCTATTAAAATATACATTTCTCTTTTTTCTCCCAGCGCCTCGCAGAATGGGTGGAAGTCCAGAGTGTGTCTGCTTGGCCAGAGAAGCGCGGGGAGATCAAGAAGATGATGGAGATGGCAGCCAAGGACATTGAGAAGCTGGGGGGGACAGTGGAGATGGTGGACATCGGCAAACAGAAGGTCAGAGAGTGTTTCACTGTTAATGTCTGTAACTTAGACTCATGTGTTACTTGCCTGTTCATATCTCATCATTAGTAACGTGTTGGTTTTTCATTGCTTTGCCTAAAGAATGTAAAGATATATAGATATACAGTCGTGTGGATTCAAGGTGCAAAGACTTTAGTTTCACTTTGACATAGAAAAGGAAAAATGCATTGTTTTGTGGTGTATACCCTACTTAAATCCTAAATTCATAATTTGTCTTCAATCTCATTTTGTTTGTGAACCCAGTATCATGAATTTTAGTTATATGGTTCTGGTTTTAATTGAACAGAACCTCTTTGTAACCTTCTCTAAAATGTAGGCTTTTTTTTTTGCGCTCTCAGCTTCCCTCCGGAGAGGAGATCCCCCTGCCGCCGATCATCCTGGGTCGTTTGGGGTCAGACCCGGGCAAGAAGACCGTGTGTATCTACGGCCATCTTGATGTCCAGCCAGCCAACCTCGATGACGGCTGGGATACAGAGCCCTTCACTCTGGTGGAGAAAGACGGTGAGAGCATAACTACAAAACCCACCCTGAAGCTGGTTTCGATATGATCTAAAACAAAAGAGCTTCATTGGAGGTTATTTAAGTTGGCTGGAGCGCTGTTTGGGCATGTAAGGCGAGATGTGATGAGATTAACTTTGCGGTTTCTATTGCAAGTCTCTGATGTAATGGTTATACCACTCTGCTTTGTGGCTTGGAAAACTTATAGTATCAAATCTCACTGAAATAAATGTCTGTGCATACGAGGCCTGATGGCAGAAACAAAGAGGACAGTTAAAGGAAAATGTAGTTTAACTGAGCCTACAGAATACAATGAAACTGGTAACTTAGTATCAGAACCATTTATTACAAAGCCATTGTTACAGTCACACTTCAGTATCACATAACAAGAACAACAAGTTGTTCTCATCGCCGCGTTTAAAGGCCTGAATGGTCTTTAAATGCTCTTTGAGCTTTTATCAGCTTTGTGCTTGTGATCGTATCACAGTTTGCTTCATATTTCCAAAGTCCAGCCCGGGTTCCCTTGTGTTTTAGGACAGAGTCGTGTTCTTAATCAGGTCTTATCTGCTAACCTCAAGTTGAACAGGTACTGTTGTGTTTGACAAGAATCAGTAATACACTCGACTTTTACAGAAGGGGCTGATGTGACAGATGTTCTCAGGTGTTTGTGGGTAAAATCTACACAATAATTAAAATGCATCACAGCAGTAGTTTTTAGCTCTGAAGGTGTATTTGTTGTACA